CAAACTACACGGTCACCACATGCCCAAACGCGTGCTGGCGTCTGAAACATACTTTGATACGGAAGATTCACTGCTACCATCGCTCTGCAGAATGAAAGCATGACTGAAGGTTGCAGCTGCCACAATCTCTGCTGGTCCGAATTGCGAAAATCTGCTGGCAACAGACTGAGCATGTACTGCACGCAACGCTGCAAGTCAGTGAGAATCACTCGCTGCCACGAAGAAACTTGCACTTGCAACCATCTGGCTCTACCCGCAGAAAACTTGATGAGTTCAGGCGAAGGAAGCTGCCAAAAGTGAGACATAGGACTGATCATCTGATCTTGCACCAACAACTGATACATGGAAGTCTCGTCCAGAAGCGTGCTCTCAGCTTGGCTCAATGTAAGTTCAGCCCCTGGATCACCCGGTGCAACTGCAGAGTCCGCTGTATGTCGAGCTACAATAGCAGCTACAGCCGCTGCAGGACTAGGCGTGTGTGACTGAGACAGCGCTAGCGGAGGTCCTGAAGCCTTGGATAACACTCCCGGAACCTTTGCAGAAACAAGCACTGGTGTGCCCACGTTTGGCTGCACAGGCAACATTCCTGCCGCGTCAAAAGGCAGTGGAACCGAAGGCGCAGGCTGAGGCGGGGGTGGCGGCGGAGGTGCAACCACAGGCATACTAGCTGGTGGACAAGTACCAGGGGCATCACCTTGCTGAATGACCATCGGCGGACTCAACCATGTTTGGGGCGGATACTGCTGCTGAGCAATAGGATATGCACTCGGCGAAGACTCGCAAGCACGTGCAGCATCCACTTGCATTACTGCAGCATTAGCAGCATTGCCAACCCACTCCACGGGTGGGGCCAGAGAGACATCAGAAGTAACCGAAGATGCGCAATCAGAAGCGGCACGAGAAACTGGAAAGCGTACATCTACTGGATAGTCAGAACGTCTGCTGCTGACCACTGACTCTGACGCAGACACTGACGCTGCACCTCCATGCCCATCATCACGAACTACACGTCGGCGCTGCAAAGGTGGCAAAAAGGCACCAGGAGGTGCGCGATTTCGGTGTGTGTCCAAGGGCGAATGCTCCCTAACTCTGCGCCGACCCTCACGCGACCTGCTTCGACCACGTGGCATAGCTCTAGGCACTATAGGTACAAGCGCGCTAAGACTCACGTCTCCTGTGCTAGAAGCAACCGTCGTTCTGAGCAAAATTGAAAGTGAAAGCAAATCAGATCTGAAGCACAAGCTCAAGGCGCAAACGTGTTCCATCAAAGACTTGTAGGGGTTCAAGCGATAGCGCAAACCGCTCACATCTCAGCAGCTTTTTCAACTTGGGGACAGGTGCGTGACTAAGACCAATCCGAAGCGTTGTTTGAGTGAAACATGTTGGCACGATCAGAAATTCTACAATAGTCACAACACGAAACCTTTAAGTCGGTACAGCTGACGCAGCAAGTCTACCTGACGGCGGCGGTCACTAGGAGGCCACGCATATTTCTGAATCAGAGCTTTCCTGGAATGAAACCCAGCAACCCGCACTCGCATGGAACCAGCGCTGCAAAAATGGCGAATCTGCCATGGCATGATTGGCTGATTGTATTGCACTGTACGCTGCTCCATTGATATCGTAAATCCAAGAAAGGAATGATCTGTAACTGCTTCCAGCTCAATAGACGATCCATAGAAGCCGGAGTGAAGGAATTCCCGCACTGTACCAAGTTGACTGCACGATGCGTCGCATAGCATGAGACGGTTGTCCACATACCTGCAAATAAAGATGTGGTTCGGAAGAATACCCTGCTGCGCAATCTGCAGCTGAAATGACCTTTGCCATACTCTTTCACGAAGAATTACCGGAAGACTGGATAGCACTGGAGATATCTGGTTGCCAATGCAAGTCCCACGAATTTGCCGATAACACTGGTGATTTGCTACAAAGACACCAGTCAGAAACGACAACTGCACAACGCTGACAACATGCTTGAGATGCAGCACACGTGTGTGCACAGAAGCACCACCCCTTGGCCTATGCGGCAGCGCTCTCTCTGAAGTGGGCTTGTTTGCACGCAGATCAATTGCAAACATGTCCGTTCCTGTAGACTCCACATACTGCTGAATCAGCACTTCCAAAGCATGCACAATCATGTCACGAGGAACACTGTTGAAAAAACCAACTAGATCATCATTGAACTCAAGAAGCTGCACATGAGTCGGCAAATCCCGCAGCAGAAAATGAAGTTTCCGCCATGTGGCGGGAAGTGACTCTTCGATGCTGGGCCAAATAGTGCGAACCATCAGCTGGATGACATAAGCAGTTGCGTTGAGTAGTTTTCGCAAAGGAGCATGTAAGTAGGACACAATGGTGCGTCCTTTGAGAAACTGTTTCTTCCGTTTGAGAAGCACAAATCCAACAGGCAGAGAACCTTTCAAGTCAACTCCCCACGGATACTGCCTCTTCAAAGCAGCTGGAATCTGCGCGAACAGCCATGACCGCAACTCATCAGAACTACTGCTCAACGGCTCAAACACTAGGGGATCAGACCACGTGCGCAAAACGCTAGCAAAGTAAAATTGTGGGCAGAACACCATCAGGTGGTTCGGGTGGTGATCCTCGCAGTGAACCACAAAGGGGTTCAACGCCTGCTTACATCTTTGTACCAGCCGCCAATCCAGCCGATGATGTTGCTGAACAGAAGCTGAATGTAAGTGCCACTGCTGTTTCAAAAACTCAACAAAGTCGTCCTCAAGGCACAGGGGTAAGCCATGCACTTTTCTCCAAGTACCAAACCCTTTGCAAGCGACACGCAGATACTGCTGCAGCGACGGAAAGAATGTAGAATTAGCGCTACCCTGTCCCAAAAACTGCAACTCCGAATGAATTGCTCCGAGCATTTCAACGCCAGTGGCCACATGTCCCTGCACAAAGCACACTGGAGACAGGCGATCTCGGAACTGAGCACATGGGCACGGTAACTGCTGAGTTCCATTCTGCTGCAGGAACTGATCCCACTTGGGAACATTGTGAAGCAAATCCTTGCAGGCTTGATGCTTGGTCTCACGGATTTTCCGACTAGGAAGATGAAAAGGCACAAGCACATGCTTGAATCTCTGAACTGTTGCACTCAGCCAACGCTCCAGACTGTGAGCAAATCCAGCGTGAGCAAGAAAAGGAATTCTCAAAGATGAATGACCACTCGGCCAAGTCATTAGTCGGTGCCTTACCACACCTTTAAGCAACTGCCGTACACGGGTCTTCAGCGGCTCTTCCAGACTCAAACTGAGACGAAGGATGGCATATACGTCGTCATCCACAAAACGCTCGCTGCGCAACAACTTCAAAGCTTCAAAGCTGGCTCTGGTGAAACTGGCAATGTCAAAGAGCAACTCCCACGCATGTCTACGGGTCACAGCAAAGCACAACGGCTGCGACGAAACATGGAGTCTCTTCCGGAACTTACGCCAGAGACGAACTCCAAATTTGCCGAAGGCTGTATGTCGCTGTTGTTTGGCCGGGCGAAATCCCAAAGCTGTACGTTTGAGAAATACCTGCACAAATGGATAGTTGAGCTTCGGTTGCCACTGCGAAATCAGTAGATGTTCCAATGTCCACGCCTGTTTGTATGTTGAACATGAAGCAATCTGTAAAAGTGTAAACTGCTGAAAACATTGATTCTGATGCCAGTATCTGATGGACAACTCTGCTTGCACTTCCTGTCCCTGTTCCAACTTACGCAGAACCGACATACGATTGGATTCGCGCAGAGTCACTGATACTGCTGTAGAACCAATGTACATCATTGCTGACGGCTGGCGATACTGCTGAATAGTGCCATAGCATCTCCAGTCGACTGCCACCTTGATATACACTGCACATAGTTCGCGAAATTTAGGCCACGAATACCGCATAGGAGTGACGTCCATGGACAATAACTTTGCTTTGAGAGCTTGTCCCCACGACGACTTCCCCGGCTGCTGAAAGTGAAACAGCAAAACTAGATGCAAAAGACCTTGCGACCAATTCACGTCTGCTTTCGGAAGATGCAAGCACTCATGTTTGAAAAAGGTAAGGGCTTGCCCAAGCAAACAAATGTCATGCAAAAGCTTCTGGCGTGTCAGAGTCCATGAGGTGTGCGTGCGCTCCACACACCAAGCTAGTCACGCAGCTTGGAACTTGGCAACAGCGATGCACTTGCTGAGATTAGTAATGTTCATGCGGGCAGCAAAGTTCGGATTAAGACCAAACACAACGGCTGCTGCACGTATCTCATTCTTGTCAGAACGCTCAGTCAAGATCTCAACCACATGCTTGACATGCTTGGTAAGCTCGCGGTACTTGCCCTTGTACTGAGGCTTGAGAGACGTAAGCCATTTGTCTACACTCTCGTTGGTGACGGCAGACGGGCGGCAGTCTTTGAGGGAAACCTTCGGCTTACCTTTGAGAAGGGAGCGTACTTCCTCAGCAGCCGAAGAGCCATCTGCTGTCTTACACTTCTTCCGAGAAGCATCAGACGCATCAGCTTTCATCACCCTAGTACTCGGACTGGATCCAGCTGCGTCTGCAGAAGCATCAACCTCTTCAGCTTTCCTCTTTTGCGGAGTCAGCGTAAGTCCCGCTTGCGCCAACTTAGCTTTGGCGCGCGCAAGCTCATCTTCTGTGTGGGAAGTAGCAGTCTTGGGCATTTTGCTCTTCATCTCACTCACAAGCAAGTCCACAAGAGCAGCCATGAACTGTGAGGATTGCTTGTGCTTGTCAGGAATGGCGACACCGCTCTGCTTCAAGCACTCTACTGCAACGCTGTCAATGTCAATCTTGGCATCACGAATGGCTTTAAGCAACTGTGTAGTGAGCACACTCTCAGCAGCACTGCGTGTCCACACAAGGGACTGAAAACGCCCTTCAGAAAGCATTCGAAGAGAAAACTCATTCAGTCCTCTGAAACACATCTCGTGCACTCTGATATCCTCAACTGGGCGACCGGCAAGGTTCGCCTTTCTTGACCGATCCGTAGGCTGCACAAGTCGATAAAACTGGTGATTGCCGGAACCTACTGCAGTCGAATCAATGGGTTGCGTCGCTTCGAAAGGATGCAGGGAAACTGGGCTTTGGAGCCGGCACACTCTCAGACCCATAGCTGCTGGCTCCTGTGCTTTCTTGCGGCCACCAATTGCCTGACTCGCGACCCTCACGACCCCACTGGTTGTAAGTGGGCTTGTTCCACTTGTCACCACTCTGCCAGCGGCTGGATTCTGCATTCCACATCTCTGCGCTGCTAACACGGAAGACTACAGCACTACAGGAACTTGAACACTCTCAACACGCTGCGTAAACAATGGTACCAACCAACACTCACGCAACATCACTTGGGTGGAGATAACCCTGGCTGAAGTCTCAAACAGAATGGATCGACAACCGGCGTAGGACCTGTTCAGTATCTGTTTTGAACATCAGCAGACTGTAGACACAGTCAATTTCACTCGCTCAAAGGTGCAGCAGTTGAGGGGGAAAGAATGCTGACAGGCTGTTGCTCCGATCAGGGAGCTCAGAGTGGTCAATCAAGACCATAGTGTCAGGCAGGCAATCCTGCTGCAGACAGTGCGATAAACGAATACTGCCTGGAGCACACTTGTGCAATCTCCACACCAAGTCTTGGGGTCCTGTTTACCTGGTCTACACCTCACAATCCTGAAGCTCCCATCTTGCTAAAAAGATCAGTCAGAGTGAAAAAAATCGCAGGTACACAGAACTGGCCAAGTTCTGCATCCCATGAGATCAGGTAGCTTCATTGGATGTGGTCCCTGATCTCATGCCACATCCCCCTGCATGCTCTCTAAAGCGTTGATTGCTCAGTCACGCGGCATTCTATGAGCACAACAGACATCAGAATTGGCGCACTTCCTCCTAATCTCGCACTTTCTGTCCAAACGGTAACAGCTCTTCACACTTGCTCCCTTGGCAACAGGGTTGGCACACACACACACACACACACACACACACACACACACACACCAGAGAGACACAACGAGGGAGTCAGCCTGTGGGCGGGCTGTGTGCATTCTAAGGGCGTGGGCTCGACTCAGCTAGGAGCTGAAAGTGCCCTGAACCAGCCCTGATAAGGTGCACACCGGGCTGCTATCTCACCCCTGGAGCTTATCGTTGCTTACCCAGCTCCCGCCTTCGCTGCGCGTCGCTTGATGCAGGATGTTAGCCGGGCAAAGGCCTGCGACAAGCCCAAACGTAGATTTGGTGTCTATGCTGCTATGCTGCCTAGGATACTCCTGACAAAGAGATGAGCCAGGCTGCACACAAGCACTGTGCCGTGCCCACTATAGTTTGGTGAAGCCCGCTGCGATGTCCGGCACCGCTAAGCGCTCTCCTTAAATTTAATTAAGTTCATGTCGAGGTGCGCCGTCTGCGCATCTCTGACCTATACTGAACTATGCTGACCTATGCTGAACTGCGCATTTGGCAGCTGAACTGAATAACAGCATAAAACTGAATCGCCTGCCGGGCAGGGGCGACTGGAGTGCATTATTATTCATCAGCAGCTGTTCTCTTTCGGACAGGTGTCCGAATTGCTGAAAACAATAGGTGTGCACGTGAGCTTCTAAAGTTGCTGAGTCATCCCTTCAACCCTCTTGGATGATGGCGCGTGGAGCTCACGCGGGGCAAAAGAAACACCCTTCGCCTGCTTTGGTGGAGCTGCAATTAGATGGGGCCAAGTTCCGAGCGCTGTCCTGAGCATCCCCCACATGCAGGGATGTGCTGCCACGAAGACGTTGGGGACCACCCGCACCATTCAGCACACGCTCGAAATGGTGCTTCTCCCGGCTGGCGTCCAGAGCATGTTCGGCACTGCGGGATGTACTGCCAGGATGAGGACGGAGACCAGCCACACCATTCCAGGCATCCCTCTACAGGTGCGGCAGGGGTTTCGATTGGCACCTGTCCAGAGCAGCCATGGCAGTCTGGCGTGTACTGCAAAGATCCTTGCGGCACCCACTGGCACCAACCAGCACAGGCGGGGTGATTACCTGCGCTGGCAGACCCAGCAAACCCTCGGCATTCAGGCACATACTGCAAGCTCCCAAGTGGGATTGTACTGCACCAGCTCGGATATGCAGAAGCAGCCTTAACCTTGAGGCCAATCTGCTCTGGCTTCGGCTCTCCAATACCTGCATCCCCTGAAGCCTTCGCAGTTGCTGCCACAGAGGTGACTGCACTGCCGGAACGCTGTCCTGAGCAGCCCCCACATGCAGGGATGTGCTGCCACGAAGACGTTGGGGACCACCCGCACCATTCAGCACATGCTCGAAATGGTGCTTCTCCCGGCTGGCGTCCAGAGCATGTTCGGCACTGCGGGATGTACTGCCAGGATGAGGACGGAGACCAGCCACACCATTCCAGGCATCCCTCTACAGGTGCGGCAGGGGTTTCGATTGGCACCTGTCCAGAGCAGCCATGGCAGTCTGGCGTGTACTGCAAAGATCCTTGCGGCACCCACTGGCACCAACCAGCACAGGCGGGGTGATTACCTGCGCTGGCAGACCCAGCAAACCCTCGGCATTCAGGCACATACTGCAAGCTCCCAAGTGGGATTGTACTGCACCAGCTCGGATATGCAGAAGCAGCCTTAACCTTGAGGCCAATCTGCTCTGGCTTCGGCTCTCCAATACCTGCATCCCCTGAAGCCTTCGCAGTTGCTGCCACAGAGGTGACTGCACTGCCGGAACGCTGTCCTGAGCAGCCCCCACATGCAGGGATGTGCTGCCACGAAGACGTTGGGGACCACCCGCACCATTCAGCACATGCTCGAAATGGTGCTTCTCCCGGCTGGCGTCCAGAGCATGTTCGGCACTGCGGGATGTACTGCCAGGATGAGGACGGAGACCAGCCACACCATTCCAGGCATCCCTCTACAGGTGCGGCAGGGGTTTCGATTGGCACCTGTCCAGAGCAGCCATGGCAGTCTGGCGTGTACTGCAAAGATCCTTGCGGCACCCACTGGCACCAACCAGCACAGGCGGGGTGATTACCTGCGCTGGCAGACCCCGCAAACCCTCGGCATTCAGGCACATACTGCAAGCTCCCAAATGGGATTGTGCTGCACCAGCTCGGATATGCAGCAGCTGCCTTAACCTTGATGCCAGTCTGCTCCGGCTTCGGCTCTCCAATACCTGCATCCACTGTCTCCTTCGTCGTTGCTGCGGTAGCATTGTCAGCTGCAGCGCCACCAGCAGCGTCCCCAGCAGCACTATTTACCAGCAGCAAAAGTAACAGCGAAGAGAAGACCATGGTGGAGATTCGCCCTATTCCTGAAGATTCACGTCTAGCTGCTGATGGATCCTCAAGCTGCTAATAGCTCCAATGAGGACTCAAGACACGCTCAAGTTATCCACATCTTTCAAGCGCAGACTGAGGCGAACAACACAGGCCTTGAAGTCCGAAGCTCCTGCTCTGGCTTCCTGTCCCGAGCCAGACGGACAATGCAAGGTATACGAAATATTGAGCACATGTTGATAGCCATGCTCGGCTATACTTTGCAGCATGCCGGTGCACTCACGCACGTATGGCGACGCCTTCAAGAAAACGTCGCACTACGACGCACTACGGGCCCGTGCTCAAGCAACCTGATACTAGTGTTTGTTCAGCACAGACATTCAAACAAGATATGGCCACCTACTCGAGTGGAAGGAGGGAGGGAGGGAGAGAGAGAGAGAGAGAGAGAGAACAACAAGAACATTCCGAGGTGTGCTTTAGCTCGCGAAATGAATCTATCAGGACTGGGAGCAGATAGCCCTGATGCAGTGTCTTTTCGGCCGGGTCACGTGTAAACACGGCGGTTAACTTATGGCTCTTGCACCGAGAGGGTGGCAGCGGTGTCGCTTAAATGAGGTCGAACTGAAGGAGTCTCTCACTTTCGTCACATTGGAATATGTTGTTCGATGCTGCCACGTCATCCGCCGCTGCTGCCCCAACATGACCTGCCTGCTGATCGTGGCCAGGCACGTCCGGCCTGTTGCATCGTCGAAAATGAGAACGATCGTGGAGGTTTGTAGGCTTAAGGGTTTTTGGGGGCTTCGGGTTTAGGTTTTAGGTTTCTAGGGTTCAGGGCTTAGGGCTTTTAAGAGTTTAGGGTTTAAGTTTTTAGGGTAGCTTTGTCAGTAGATGCTTTTTCGTATGACCCTGCATGGGCCACAAAAAAAGTCCCAAACCCTGAGCCGAAGGCATTCCAGCAACGGAGCACAACTGCTCGTGCACGTGAGGCTCCTGCAGCTGGGGAAAATGGGTATACGCGGGCACCAGGTAGCCAAGACTTTATGGCTTTTTGGGGCTTACGGTATGCATGGCTTAGGATGGTTTGGTGCTGAAGGCTGACTGAAGTACCGACGCGTGAGAAAGACGCTGATACTTAAATGTTGTCAAATGTCGCACCCCGACTGTGGGGCCTTCAGCCGGATCTAATCATGCAACCTCATGTTGTTCGAAGTGGGCTTCAATGCCGCCAAGCTTCACATGTGACACCAGCAATGAAGCATGCGAACCCCTGTAGGCCTATACACCCCTCCCAACTCTGGGCACTCCTTGGCCATCCCTGTGTCCAAAGTAGCACAGCTGTGGGCTGCAGCCTTAGGCTGCTCTTGTCTGAGTGCTGTGCTGGCGGGCTCAGGCTTGAAGGGCTGAGGGTGTGGGGGTCTGTGACCAAAAAGAAGGTTCCCTGCGGAAGCTAGGCAGTCTGAACTTCCGATCCTGAACCCTAAACCCTAAACCCTAAACCCTAAACCCTAAACCCTAAACCCTAAACCCTAAACCCTACGCTCTGAAACGTAGAGCGAAATCAAGTGGGGCGAGGGCGATGGCCATGTCGAAGGGCAGGCCGTAGTCCAGCAGACCTGAGCATTCCCTTGAGGGTTCCGGTTCTGAGTGTAGGGTTTTGGAGTTTTAGGGTTTAAGGTTTAGGGTTTAGGGTTTCGGGTTTAGGGTTCAGGGTTTAGGGGTTTGCCACTGATGCCCAACAGTCGTGATGCTCGCAGGATCTGAGGAACAAGCGGCCATAACGGACGACGCCAGCGAAAAACTTGGAGTAACGCTGCAGTACTGCAGCACAAGCTTCATCGAGCTCCTGACATTGACCCCGGCACCACTTTTGCAAAGCTTGGCAAACTCAACATCTTCCTGTGACAGCGGTATGTCATCCGAGGCTGTCTGGATCAGCATGCGTTGGAGCAGAGAAGGCACCATCGACCTGGCACCAGCATCCGATGATGTCGAGATCTCCAGTCCACACATCCTCTCTCATCGATGCAGGAACAAACCAGATGGGAGTTTCCGAATCCGAAATTCGGGGTACCTTACTGGGGCCCTTTTTTAAGGGGGACCCTACTATTTGCTACTATTTGGGGGTCTTGTTTAGGGGCCCCCTGTCGTAAACCCTCAGATGTCTTCCTGTTCTTCCGCTGCTGAACATGCCTCGGATCTGCCCCTGTGGGATTCATGTCTGGCGGTGTCGCCAAGGAGGCCAGGACCTCACGGCAACTTGCAGAGTTTAGGGTCGAGGGTCCAGGGTTTAGGGTTTAGGATTTAGGGTTTAGGGTTTAGGGTTTAGGGTTTGGGGTTTGGGGTTTAGGGTTTAGGATTTAGGGTTTAGGGTTTAGGGTTTAGGGTTTAGACCAAGTGATGCAAGTATGGGGCCCATGCGGAGGACCAGATGCGCGCATCCTGTTCACTGCAAGCTCGGCTGAGTCGACAGCCCCGACCTCTGTCACGTCAGCTCCGACATTCTGCCGTGTGGGGTTTAGGGTTTAGGGTTTAGGGTTTAGGGTTTAGGGTTTAGGGTTTAGGGTCCAGGGGACATTGTTGTGTCTTTTTCATCTTTCTTTTCTATGCATCTCCCTTTCCGCGCTTCACTTCCTAACATGACGTGGCCTACTAAGCACCCCGCGTACGTCTGGCGTTAAAGACGCAGCACATGCATCTGCTGCTTCGTCGTCGTCCGCGCTGCTGAGTCCTCATGGCTGCTTACGCACATATCAAATTCCACTTGTGGGCACGTACAACGAAGTTAACAGATACCCCATGCGCTCAGGCCTTGCGTCCAGGGGCGATCCATCAGTTCGGAGGCGGTGGGGTCTCCCGCCTCCCAACCTGAGAAGCAGAGCAAGAAGTCTGAGACAGGAACTTTGATCCAGGTCCCATCGGCCGGGCACCAGACGATCAATGAGCTCTCGCAGGGTAACCACGGCCATGGCTTTCTGTGTAATGAAGGTTTCGGAAATGGCAACGAGAGCAGCTGCGAGCGCGTTTCCAACAAGGGTTCCCAAGGTCTCAGATGCCAAGTCGCATCAACCAGTCAGGAAAGGACACCGCAGAGCGCTCGCAGCTGCAAGGGCAATTGCCCTTCCAATGTCTGAGAAATGCTGAAGCCAAGGAAAGTGGCAAATGAAATGGAAAGGCAAACGAATGAGTTCTGTGGCTGGCATGTCTGTGGCAACGCACCATGGGCTCTAGATTTGTCTTGGGATCCTGGGGTAGGATGTAGGACCAATGTGGGATCAAGCCCTTTATGAACTCGACCCCAGCATCTCGGTGTGAACCTTGAAATCGAGTAGCTCCAGGGAGTTGTGGGCTTCAGTGCAAGAAGACATGCGCACCGTTTATGTCACGCGACATCTGGCCCGAAAGGGCGAAGGGCTTGGCACCGGGAGTCAGCTCTGCTCAACCTGGGAGATACCCCAATGCTCGGCATGCATTCAAGAAGTGCACAGCGCGATTAAAACCCTTTAGAACCTTCTTGCAGCTTGCTATTACGATTACCTTGTACTTAAGCTTACAGAACATTACAGAACGCTGCTTGAATCGGCCAGAGTCCAGAAAGCTGCTCTAAGGCACCCCCACCTCCTCAAAAAAGTAGCGCCCTGTTGACTCCTGCCAGAACCATCGCTGGCCTGGCACTGGCTGGCGTGCCGGTTCTCAAGCTACACACTCTCAGCGCACCCGCCATTGTCCCGGCGTGCACCTTCTTCCGTGAAGAACATTTCCCAGCCGTCCTCGAGGTCATCCGCCCAAAGAACCTGGTCTCTCACGCTTCGATACGGCGATGACATGTCTTACGCCTGGCGCGCCATGCAAGCACGACGCATTTTCAAACACAGCGCGGCCGCGTAAAGAATGCAGACAGCAACCTTTTCAGCGCGCTCGCTGCTTTGGGTATCTGCATGCATGCTCAGATGCCATGACTCCCCCATTCTGATCCTGATAACCCCTCTGATGATTTGGCACCTGCCGCCACATGCACGCAGCAACTCCGCACTCATCAGAGACAAGGACATCACCGCGTAAGTCTCAGGAACTCATCGCGGTGTGCATGAGACAGCCTCAGATGCACGAGCATTCCGCCTTGGACGCAGTGAGTGTCTGAGCATGACGAGCCACTTAGCTGCCCTGGTTTTCCAGCATCTTCTTGTGCTCCTGTGGAGAGCTTCGGTAAGCATGGCGTTCAGTAACACTAAGCACGATAGATGCTGCCCAGAATGCCCAGGGCCCAGAACGTTCCTCTGGCGTCTTCAGCATCAGGGACAACGCATGCAGCCGACCTGTATCGAGGTCTTCACCTCAGATTTTGAGACTCTCTTGCGGAACTGACTCGGACGAAGGACCGCTTTCGGCCATCACAAGGCACCTACGTAGAAGAGCTTGCACCTCGCGCTGGCGATTCACACGGGTCTTGCCGTGGAACGCCTCGCACCGGAACACGCATGCACCCGGTGTGCCCTCCATTGTGACGATGGCGCTCCCTTGGGACAATGGAGCTGGCCCCGCGCCTGACTCACCATGACTATGGCCACCTGTGCTGAGAGGCACAGGTATGCAAAATGTTGGCTTGAAGTCCTTCAGTCGCACAGAGCCTTCAAAGCTCCGCAAGAGTTGCCTGAGGAGCAAGGCCATGTAGATGGTGCACTACGGAATGACGAATGCTGGACAAATCCCATATGGCACGCTCGTTGATATGACATGTGGTCAGCATGGTGTCACGAGGTGAATGCAGCACATGTCTACAAAACCCGCTGCTGGGCAAGCCACCTTGGTTTTCGATGTCCAGGTACCTGGAGCACACAGATGCACGCGCCCCCCTGGGCAAGCTTCTGGAATCGATTGCATTGCTTTTGGCAGGGCACGTTGGAGCGTACTTCTCCTTCAGGCGCCGCTCAATGTCCTCCGCTTCCAATTGTCAGTCTTGAAACAAGCTTCAAAAGGCCTGCAAGGCGCCTTCTCCAGCGGTATGCCTCAATGTTCAACGCAAAGTGAAACTCTTTGTCTCGGCACCTCTTTTCCCTAAAAGCTTGTGTTGCGGGCCGAGCTGCTCAGGTCGGGGGCTCCAGGCTGTTGGCCGTTCACGGCTATCGCCGCAGCTTTCTGGGCGGCGATGCCTGACAAGCTCGAATGAATGAAGAGCAGCTTGGAGGCCTCCGAATTTTAAGTTTTGGGGGGCTCTCTAACACTTAAGTATAACTTTCTAGTACTTCCCTGCCGAGATGCCCTGAAGCCCAGCTGCCTCAGGGGGCGTAAGCTGCCAAGGAGTGCAGTTGAGCGCAGCTGAAAGCAACTCCCACTTTCACCTTCCGAGCCCCCCAAAGCCCGCCTGCGCAATCTGCAGCGCCACCTCCTCCTGAACAGGCTGCTGCACTAGAACTGGCGTACTGCTAGCCTGCTCCCCAATATGTCGACCTACCGTATGCCCTAATATACCCTAACTAGTATACCCTACCTACCCCCCAGTAGACCCCAAATTAGTAATTATGCCCTCATATACCCTTACTCATCTGGCAAAAGGAGCCGGGAGCCTTGGGCTTGGCGGCCTTGGGAGCTGGCGCCGGCTCGGCCTTCCTCAGCAGAACAATTCAGCGGACATCGCGCGTCACCCGCACGCCCGCGCGTGTGCGGCCAAATCACTTCAGCGCCACCTCTGCCTCTTGAATCTTGGCCTGAGTGCCATGCCAATACGCCACATTTGCAACATCACGCGCGGAAGATGTGCACGAAGGACGAAGCTTCAACCCTCCACTTTGAGACCACACCGCTCAAACCTCAAAGTTCAGACTGATCCCTCAAAACTCCTCTTAGAACTCCCTGTAAAAACTCCGTAAAGTCCTCCCACCTGCAGCTGCTGCCGCCTCAACAGGGCGAGCACAGCCACAGCCCCCAACGAGGCAACGGCAGCCTCACAGCGGGGAGTTCTGATGAAACATGCCTTCGTTAAGAATTCTGTGATATGCTGTGATGTGCTGTCACATACTGTCTGCAGATTCGAGAAGTTTTGGAGAAAGCCCATGGAAGCCTTCAGCACCCAGCTTGGCACGTTGTCCATGGCTCCGCGTGACGCAGCGATTGCTGCACTTCGGAGCCGAGCAAGCAGCCTTTGATGGCCTTTACAGCGGGTGGTTCAAAATCTTCTCAAAAGCCAACTTTGGGGAATTGACGGTCCTCTCCAGGACTCTTTACATCTGCCCAGCAAGTTGTGATGCGTAGCGCTTCATAATGCGTGGCCCGAAATCTCCATGCTCTTTCCAAAGCTTGAGCACAAGGAATCGCCGTAGAACTTCCAGACACGCATGCCATGCGCCTTGTTGGCAACAAGGTCGCAGCAACGCTCGCAACAAGATCTTAATCTTGCACCCAGAGTGCGCTTCAAGAGCAAGCCCCTCTTCAACCCTGAACTCATCATTCCCCAAATTAAAACAGACCTTGAACCCTAAACCCTGAACCCACCTCCTCCGTTGAAGGATTCCAGAACCAGACACGAAAGGTGTCCGGCTCCAACCAGCGCTCCCAGACCTCGCCATTAAAGGCAGGGTTTAGGGTTTAGGGTGTAGGGCTTCGGGCTTAGGGCTTAGGGCTCAGGGTTCAGGGTTCAGGGTTCAGGGTTCAGGGTTCAGGGTTCAGGGTTCAGGGTTCAGGGTTCAGGGTTCAGGGTTCAGGGTTCAGGGTTCAGGGTTCAGGGTTTGTAGGGTTTTAGGGTTTAGGGTTTAGGGTTTAGGGTTTAGGGTTTAGGGTTTTAGGGTTTAGGGTTTAGGGTTTAGGTTAGGGTTTAGGGGGTTTAGGGTTAGGGTTTAGGGTTTAGGGTTTAGGGGGTTTAGGGTTTAGGGTTTAGGTTTTTAGGGTTTAGGGTTTAGGGTTTTAGGGTTAGGGTTTAGGGTTTAGGGTTTAGGGTTTAGGGTTTAGGGTTTAGGGTTTAGGGTTTAGGGTTTAGGGTTTAGGGTTTAGGGTTTAGGGTTTAGGGTTTAGGGTTTAGGGTTTAGGGTTTAGGGTTTAGGGTTTAGGTGTCTCTCACGGCTAATTTCACAGCGAAATTATACGGAGCCTATGTTCATCCTGCTTCAACATGAAAGTCGTTGGAGTTTGGCAGTCTGGCCCTCTTAGCGTGTTGGGTAAGGAATGCGCAGCTTGAGCAATACTAGAGCTGCCGCATCAGGACAAGAGCAACCACAAAGCATAACATCAGAACACTTGCCCTATTCGTGGACCACCAAGCTTGTTGGAAACCAAGTGCCTCATGCACAACCCCTGTCTTCGAATATGACCGGTGTCCTCCTCGTGCGCAGAGGCAGCAGTAGATACCGTGGAGGCTGACCTGAAGGCCCACGATTTCTGTGCAAGAACTACTTCCGTGCGCACAGCAAGGCCCGCACGCATCAGAGGCCATGGGCGTGGCCTCGTTCTTCGAGGCCTCGCTAACAAATCAATCCAGCTCTTGGCTGCATTCTGCGGCCACGTCATCCGACACATCATTTGCATTCATTTGCTCTCAGCTGTTAACCTCCTTGAGAGGAAGAACATCCAAATCCACCCGGTTCGCCTGTGGCTCTGGAAAGGCTTTGGGGTCATGCACTCATGCAGGTGACAGCGTCTGGGCGACCTCCATTTCTGATGGCGCTGTTTGGCAGTTGCCTCGGTTAGCAGCCCTCTGGCTCAACAAAAGACGTCGCTGCCTACTCAGCAGCCGACCTGAAGGAAAAGCAGCAAACTCTTCCTGGCAACGAGTCTCCGTCTGACTACCGAAGTCGCGAGTACAACCTGACTATCCCTACCGGGCCCTACCGTTCGCAGCACTATCTCTACGATTGGCATCACAAGCTCCGGGCACTTGTACAGGGCCGCGGACTTGCACTCTCACCCAGCCTCGATGTCGTACCGCTCCTTTTCCAAGAGGGTTTAGGGTTTAGGGTTTCGGGTTTAGGGTTTAGGGTTTCGGGTTTCGGGTTTAGGGTTTAGGGCACGGATGAAGCCTTGTCTGCAAGACCGGCCCACCTGTTCCCTCTCAGAGGTTCTCGGCGACAGGTTGAAGTGGCACGTGTGCGCCACCTGCCATGTGGATGGCACATACGTGAACCGAAAACACATCGTGCAACACCGGTTGTGAAGCTGATAAACTCCCCGCCTCTGCGCTGAAGCTCTTTATTTCAATGAGGCCATCAGCATCTACCTGCGCGTCGCCAGCTCTCAGAATCTAGCGGCGTCACGACATGCAAAGCAAACGCCGACTGTGGGCGGCCAACAGTCGGACACCACGGCACCTGGTCATTTGCTTCCGTCGGCGAGTTCGAAAACCTGGAGGTGCCGAACGTTGAATGAGCAAACAATGCTCTGCTTCTAGCGGGGACGGGGCAGCACCCACACGAAAGGATGTGGAGCCAAACATGCAGCGCTTGCAGCAGCTACTCAGTAGCTCTTAGTTGTGCACTGTGCTTCAGGGCACAAGTTCGGTGCATGTCCCGAGAGTCGATTTGGGATTCGAAATAAGCCGTTTTTTTCCTAAATTCGTTAGGCTCTTTGAGTCCTTCGATGTGCTCAGCCCCTTGCCCGGAGCGCGGGTAACCGTCATCGCGAGGCCTGACTCGGAGAGATGAGAAAGTGCTACTCTCCCAACATCTCATCCCGGGCTCGCCTGTCAAAGTCCGCGTAATTCGCGCGACGGCCTGGCGCATCAGCATCATATAGGTCCCGGTGGATCACCAGGAAGCCTCTTACGTCGGAGCCTGGGCCTCGACGTCCCATGCGATAGGATCGTGGCTCCTGGGCACGGCTGTCGCTGTCATCTTCTTTCTAGGAACTTTGTCTTCCCTGCCAAGTACGGGTTCTGGCTTGCCACAGTCTGGACTCTGGTCTTCAAGTATCTTGAAAGTTCTGAAGTTTCGAGGGTCCGGCACTGTCGACATGCTTGTAGGTTGCCCGCACGTCCACCTCCGTTTTGCCTTCGGGTGTCTCCTGAATCTGAAGATGGAGCACAGATAAGCTTGTCACATCTTTTCACTGGCACAACGAAGACAAACCTTGCACTGCTGAGCCAAGGCTCCACCTCACGCAGCTCAAAGCGCCGGCCTATCCTTGGCAGGTGCTCACGAAAGATCTCTCATAAGCAGGTCTACGGCGCAAGAGTGGCCCTGCCCAGCCTGCTTCGGCTGTAGAGCACAACCCGCTTCACGTCCTGCGCATAAAAGATGATAATGACTTGCGCAACAACCTGAAAAGCGGCTGACAAGTTCCCAGTACATCCGCGGATCCTCCTCCGTAGCCCCTTGAAGCTCCGGCTCAGAGAGCACCGCCCCCCTGAGGAGCATTTCTTTCTTGGTCGACGGAATTTTCGGAAACCAGAACGGTTGAATCAGAAACCAGAACCTGAATCAGAAACCGAAACGGAAAAATCAGAAACCAAGCTTGAATCAGAAACCAGGGCGGCTGAATCAGAAACCCAGACGGCTGAATCAGAAACTGAAAACGGGAAATTCGGAAACCAGGAAACGGATGTTTCAGAAACTAGCGAACGGCTGATTCGGAAACCGGCAAACGGCTGATTCGGAAACTGGCAAACGGCTGATTCGGAAACTGGTGAACGGCTGATTCGGAAACTGGCAAACGGCTGATTCGGAAACTGGTGAACGGCTGATTCGGAAACTGGCAAACATCTGATTCGGAAACTGGTGAACGCCTGATTCGGAAACTGGTGAACGGCCGATTTGGAAACCGGAGGGTTTAGGGTTCAGGGGGTTGGGTGTAGGGTTTAGGGTTCAGGGTTTAAGGTTTAGGCTTTAGGGTTAAGGGTTCAGGGTTTAGGGTTTAGGGTTTAAGGTTCAGGGTTTAAGGTTTAGGTCTCAGGGCTCTTGCAACTTCAGCAACCGGGAAATCAAACCTAAGCTTTTTACGGGTCCAAGAGCCGCGGCGGCCCGCGAAGGGGTTTAGGGTTTATGGTTCAGCGTTCCACCCCCCCCAGCCGCCGTTTTCTGACCCCCCACCGCGTTTGCGAAAGGCAATTTCTGACATGGGCTGGCCACCTGTACGCGACTGCCCCCCCCCCCCACCCCCCCCCACCCCGTTTCTGAAAAGCAGTTTCTGACATGGGCTGGCCGCCTGCACGCGACTGCCCCCCCCCCCCCACCCCCCCACCCCCCCCCACCCGTTTTCTGACCCCCCACCGCGTTTGCGAAAGGCGGTTTCTGACATGGCTGGCCGCCTGCACGCGACTGCCCCCCCCCACCCCCCCCCCCACCCCGTTTCTGAAAAGCAGTTTCGGACATGGGCTGGCCGCCTGCACGCGACCACCCCAGATTCTGACATGGGCTGGGCCACTGCACCCCCACCCCCCCCCCACCCTGTTTTCTGACCCGTTTGCGAAAGGCTTCTGACATGGCGGGCCGCCTGCACGCGACTGCCCCCCCCCCCCCCACCCCCCCCCACCCCGTTTCTATGGGCTGGCCGCCTGCACGCGACCCGTCAGCAGTTTCTGACATGCCCCCCCCCCCACCCCCCCCCCATACCCCGTTTCGACATGGGCGCGACTGCCCCCCCCCCCCACCCCCCCCACCCCCCCCCCCCCCCCCCCCACCCGGTTTCTGCAAATGCAGTTTCTGATTCGTGTGGGTTTCAGACGCGCAGTTTCTGACTCGCAGTTTCTGATTCGCGTGGGCTTCTGATGCGCATGTTTGCAGTTTCTGATTCGCGGTGGTTTCTGATGCGCAGTTTCTGATTCGTGCTGGTTTCTGATGTGCAGTTTCTGATGCGCGGTGGTTTCTGATGCGCAGTTGCTGATGCGCGCAGTTTCTGATGCGCAGTTGCTGATGCGCGCCAGTTTCTGATGCGGAGTGTCAGGTGCGTGGCTGGTTTCTGATGCGCAGTTTCTGATGCGCAGTTTCTGATTCGCGGTCCAGTTTCTGATTTTCCTGTTGTTCTTTCTTTGCCCCAGCTTCTTTGTTTCGAGGAACATGAGGCTGCGGCAGGCTGATCCAGCCATCGTTGGCATCTGCTTCATCCTTGAGTGCTTGAGCGGAGACCAAAGGAAAGGACAACGGCGACTCCACGATTCCATTGCTTTCGTGGCAATGTAGGCTTTCTACTTATTCTAATTAATTGATATGGAAGTCAATCTTGCAGGATGAAGCAGCGAAAAGCGTAGAGTTCAGACTTGACTAGCGACGCTTTCGCCGAGCTGTTTGTATTCTAGAGTCACGCCTGCCTTTAGAATGCAGAACCACCTCAGCTATGAGACATCTGTTTTGCACAGCTTGCTGAGACCAGGGAGCCACACCGAGTGGTATCGAAGCCACGCTGCTAGAACTCAGCCGGGGCCGCACAAGAGAATCAAGAGAATCAGGGAAATGTTCTGCTGGGCACGACGATGAAGCTGTCGGGGTACAGAAGCGGGAAGTTCCGGCTCCGGGCAGGTCCCCCGAGTCGCTAGCAATGCGAAATTCGATCATCGCCTGGACCTGCGCACAAACAGCCTCTCAGCAGTGCATACTGTATACGAACAACATCGAAAAAACTCACAGACAGCAACAATATTCTGCGAAAAAACGCATGTCTTGGCGCCTCCGTTCCGGTCCCGCCGCCCGGAGCCGTTCGAGAAGAGGACCCTGCCGTGATCATCTTGGCGTGCTGCCGTGACGAGTGCAGAACTCACGGCACACCCCTATTGCTGACCCCTTGAGAATGGCTTCCGTCATGAAGCTTGACCCCCAAACAAACTCTACTGGTTTCTCAGAGATTCCCACACATGCTGCATCATCGCACGCCGAAGCTCCTGTCGTATGACCGACGGTCCTCCCGCATCCGCGCGCCTTAGTTGCACAGGTAATTTGCAGTCATTTGCAGCTTCATCTGTGGGTGGCCACACTCGTCATCAGAGCAAAGGCACTTGGGCTCGAACCCTGCCGCCTGCCCGGCTCCTGCATGAAACAATCAGGACCATGGAAGATATCCGTAATGTTCGTCCATGTTCGTTCAAGTACCGCCCCTCATTTCCAAAGCACGCGAGCCCCAACAAACCATGGAAGAACCAGCCCTCTACCCTAAACCCTAAACCCTCTACCCTAAACCCTAAACCCTAAACCCTAAACCCTAAACCCTAAACCCTACCCCATAACCCCTAAACCCTAAGATGCCAACCCGGGCCTCCGGTGCTTGGGCACCTCACGGTCAGTAGATGGACTCAAAACGCCCAGCAGCTCTCTAACATCCAAGGATCAGGATGGATCCCAAGCGAATCTCAATCTGCCTAGCTCGGAAGAAGGTTCTGACTAAACCCTGAACAATCAACATCACAATCACTATCATAGACTAGAACAACAATGATGGCAGTAGCAATCTAGCCAGTACTGGCAATACCAAGAGCACTTGGCATCATAAGACTACCTAAACATACATGCTACTACCATGTAACAAAACATCAACATACTGGTAAACCCCCACAGTTCCTAAGCCTTTGGCAAGCCAAGCTCTTTCGCTTAGCACCATGTCAGAGTGAATGTGCTGAATGCGGACCCCGACCCCCGGCAGGGGGCGGCGAGGGACCCTGAGTTACGGTGCCCCCTTATTTCTCCAACGGAAGGCTCGTGGGTGTTCTACTTTAGAGCATCCTTATGGGTACCTTGCTTCAAGGCCCCACAAGGAGGCACACTAGTGTACCGAAGCTGGGATCTCTGCTACAGCATAGAGACCGTTGCAAAGCAACAGCAAACTTTCTAAGAACCATATGCAAACAAAGATATGAACAGCTCAACGAGCACGAAGATACAGACAGACGTACATACATACATACAGACATACATACATGCATACATACATACCTACAAACAGAATTACTTACATACACACATACATACAGACATACAGACAGACATACATACGTACATACAGACATACATACATACATGCATATATACATACCCTAAACAAGCTATGATAAATCTCAGCTCCCGACCTCTGGACGCCGGGCCCTGCGGACAGGCACTGAAAAATCCGCGGTCCCCCCCGAAACCCACCTCTACTGAACGTGGTGACAAATAACTCAAACAATTTTGAGGCAAATATCTACTGAGTGTGAAGTGTGAAGGAAAATTTCTCGAACAACTATAGGGACAAAAATGTTCCATTCGATGTGGGAAAATATGCTTCCCCATATTTAGCCGTCGCACATTAAGACCTCACCACGCAATACAAGGACCGCAATTCTCGTCTTACATTTTCGAAGGAAGTGGAGGAAGTATTTTTCAGAGCTCAAGCTAAACCCTACTGCAAACCCTAAACCCTAAACCCTCCCTAAACCCTCCCTAAACCCTAAACCACCCTTCGTTTGCTAGACAACGACTGATTCTGAGAAGAGGCACCTCCCTGGATCTTGGGGCATTGAAGAAGTCGTCCCACTCGTGGCCTTACATCAGCGCATGGCTTTACGTAGAGACAACAAGCTGATACCTAAAAAGGCCCCTTAGGGTTTAGGGTTTAGGGTTGAGGGTCTTGAAAGAGCAAAACAAGGCAAAGCCGCAAACACTTGCAACTTCATGCACACTCTCGCTCATTCCACAAAGGTTGGGGCCGGTGGTGGCATCCGTCACTTTTGCACTCGGCAGAGTCTTGCCCTTGCACCGAGCCGCAATGGATCAAACCCCGTGAACCTTGCGCTCTATCTCTAACCCTTCAACACCTGAAGTTCGCATCCTTCAAGATGCCTGGTCACTCTGTTCTGATGCCCCATCACAGCAGCTACGAAAAGCACAAGGCCTCCCAGGGATCTAGCTCACTGTGGCCAAGAGTCTCAGGTGGACCTGACAGCCAGGCTTTCTGAACGCAATCCTGGAGTAAACTCCTTCTTTTCTAGCTTCCCTAGACTCGTCAGGAAGTGCCGCCGCAATCACGGCCTTTGGGCATCGCCTTCACGGGCACGCTGTGTGGGTCCTGGACTTTGTTGGACATGCACATCGCACTGCCAAGAGGCACACAAGAGCATGCAGAAATTCAGCTATCCCCAAGGCCTTTTCCCGTTCGCGCGGCGTCCCATCCATCTGACATCAGGCGCAGACTTGACAAGTGCAGGGGTCCTAAGTGCGTGCTTGTCGTTGAGGAGATGAACTCCGGCCCGCGCGCGCGCGCGCGCGCGCGAGGTGTCCGAGGATGCCGAAACATGCAAACATTGTCAAAATGTGGTAGGAAGAACACCCTATCGTCATGAGGCTGCCGTTTTGGTGGCTTCTCTTGGCTTGCTGCATATACACAGGTGTGTTGCGCAGCTCTGGAGGCTCAGGATGCTGATGCTTCAATTTTGGCGGCTTCTCTTGGTGTGTTGTTTTGGTTTGGGTTTGGTGCCAAAAACGCTTTGCAAAGCACGATGCTCCTGATGCTGTGCTCTTGTGTGAAAGGTGCACGATAACGTGGCCTGTGAGTCGGCGGGCTTGGCTGTGCCGTCCAGCCACCTGCCAGGAACTCCCAGGGCGGGGCCCCGTGCGAACCGTGGTTTTTCTCGTGATACCATGGCATCGCCCCGCAGAATTTCAATTCCAAGACTTCTAGTATAGGACTGCCAGAGCCTGGTGCGTGGAGGCGCAGGGGCTTGCGCAGCACCGCTGCCGCCCTTGCAGGGGCGTAGATGGGCACAAGCCACAGCTTAGATACGCTCGGATGATTTCACATCGCCTGGGCTCTGACGATCCCCTGTCACTAGCATCTGTACCCACAAGCTAGCTAAACGCAGTCTATTGTGCCTGGGCCACGCCCTCTGTTGCCATGAGGGGTCTTGCAGGTCGACCGTCAGCTAGTCAGGACAGCCATCAGGCACATCTCTGATGTTTGCGCCCCCCCCTGAAAATGCGAGGAAAGCGATCACACCCATATGTGGCTGGGCTTCGAAACTCTTTGTACAGGAAGGTGGACAGGCTCCTAGACTGCTCGGGGAAAGCAAGAATTGTTGCCATGCTGGCCAGAAAAACGTCATAGGAAGCCGAAAAGGCCTGCTTGAGGCTGGGTCGCACGAACTGTGCAGCGCGGGAGAAGGGGGCACTTTGCACCAAGCCAAAGGCGGGCTTGGCTCTTTTTTTAATTTCCGCTGGTCTGGGCAGACTCTTCTGGGCTGCCCAAAAACAACAGGCTCCGTGAAACAAAATGACTGAAATTTCTGGTATTCCCAGCAGGACTCCATTGAGGACTTCGGACTTCCAGAATAACATCCACGTCAGTGCTGCCCTCGTACCTTTAGCGACACTAGCAGCTAGAGCTGCTTTGTGTTTCTCTGGTGATCGCTCAGGGCACAAACTCTGACTGTTCGGAAGGGTGCTTGTTCAAAGTTTGGCGCGAGAACTTGCTTGTTCCGCAGCACTGGCGAATTGACAGCTGGGTCAACCTCATACCAGGATCCCGACGTCCTGCAGGGCTTGATCGCATTAGCTTCGAGCACGGGGAAGCGTGCCGCTGCCGCTCCAGCTTCTTGAGGCAGCACACATATCACCCGCACATACCAAGTGTGACCGTCTCATCCGCAGCACTTACAGTTGCCAACCTACCACGCCTTCCGGTAGAGTGCAACCTCCAACTCTGTGACCAGCGGAATGCTGAAGGACTGGCTTCCAGCGGCCACTTCGTAGCCGTGCTCCTGCGCTGGGCTTCACACATGTGCCGCTGGTGTAACTCATCCCCGAAATAAAACTTTTGTCTGCTGGCTGATCCTCAGAAGCTGCGATCGCAAAAGCCCTTCGCCCAGAGAACTGTGGAACTCCTCCCCCCGAATGTTAACCCATAAAACACTGCCACAAAAGTCCTTGCATGAGCCCAGCTCAAACTGGCCAATGTTCTCCAGCGGGGCCTGAAACTTCCTTTCACGGGTGGATCAATCTGCTCTGCTCTTGCTCCCACAACAGCGGCTAAAGCAAATTGTCGCTCCGTACGCGCCCTTTCAATGTCTGCTCTGCCTGCTTACTTTGTGCTCTGAACGGAGGGCCCATATCGGCCATGTAGCTGCCTACTTTTGCCTGCAGGGAGTACGACCCTAAACCCTAAACCCAAACCCTAAACCCTAAACCCTAAACCCTAATTAAATCCTAAAACCATCTTCCAATTATGGCTTTTTGCCCAGAGTCCTGTCGATGGACGCCTCCGAGCAAAGGGCGCCGACCACCTTGAACATCGTCACCGTGTCCTTCAGGACTTTAACAAACCCAACAATCAACCACTCCCACTCACGGCAATCTACCCAGGCTGGACCAAGAAACTGCAGAGGCTTTTGTAACAATACTAGTAATGATACTTTTATTATTGAGATTCATAATATACAAAATATTAACACTACTGGATACTATTGATATGCTCGCATCTCTGCGCCTGGGTGAGGGCAGCGAAAATCATGTGCAGGCCATCCAGGACATCCAGGTCTCCAGCCTGCTCCACCACACGACATTTGACACAGGCGATGCCTTGCAGAGGCCCCAAACTCTGTGCTTGGGATGTTCCCCCTTAAACTAGCAGTCCTGAATAGGGACTATCGCAACGTTCCCATTGTACTCCCCACTAAGGACTGTTAGTACAAGGGGAACATCAACCCTAAACCCTAAACCCTCTCTACGCGCTAGAGAGGAGAGGCTCACAGAGGTTCGGCCTTGCGGAAGAGGGCGAGCTCCTTGCCCTCCAGGCCGGGGAGCTCCCTGGCTAGTCATGCTTCTTCGGCTCCATGACAGCACATTCCAGTATATGAAACATAATCTATGGGATAATCCATGGAATAACTGGGACATACTGGGACCCCCATGTCTTCTTATGTCTGAAGAACTCAAGACAGCTGAGGCGTTTGCTGGCGCCCGGCGTGCTCTGTGTATCCAGCTGCCGCACAGGTGCCCTCCTCGAGGCCAATCCTGACACTGCGACAAACTACCATCATAACACCTATATTACCCTTAATAAGGAAGAATCTTCCTTATTTTCCGGGGTTCTTAAGCAATTAGTAGCAAAACTGTCTGAAGACGCCACGCGTTTGGCAGCTCAGAAGAAGTGTGTGGCTAGAAACAGACCCTGTTGCGAAAAAATGGCTGTAACGCAAAGAGTGCTGGGGCATCGCACTGCTTATACGTTTATTCGGGTACGCCGATACTTGGGAACCCTAGTTGGCCTCGGCCATTGAACCTCCTCCCTTTGGGACCCCATGTCGTTCCCAGCCCCCATCGCACTACGTGTTTGGGTTTTTCCATGGAGGACTGAGATCTTCACGTGCTGGGAGTTGGCTTCCTCCGGGGTGGCCCGCTGAGACCAGCTCTCTCTGGAATTTCCACATGCCTGTCCCCAACATACCATCCCACAGAATATTCCTCGAGTGCCCAAACCCAAATGATCCCGATTGAGCAGTGCCTCTCAAAAGCTTGGTTTTTTGGATTGGGGAATGTTCACAGCAAGATAGTGTAAACATGCGCCGCCGTCGACCCCAAACGGAAATGAAGCTTTAAACGTATGTATCACTCGGAGAAGAAATCTCTTGCAATTCGAAACGGGAGGAACATTATGGTTGATTGGTTCATCTTGTTTGCACGGCGCCACAGCAAGGGTGCCCGAAAGAAACCCTGGCAACATGGATCACGAGCAACCATTAGGCCAACCATTCGGCAGCCCAGCAGCGGAAGCTTCAAGGAAGTCTCTGCTTCGGACTTGGACAAGGGCAGCTCACCTCAGCGAAGCGTCGGCAGCCGGTTGAGAGATGAGTGATGTGCGGGCACTTCATTGTCAGGGCTTAGCGGCTTAGCGATTGACGGCGACAAAGTGCAAGTGACTGCGAGAGAGTGCACGAGAGGGAGGGGGAGGGAGAGAGAGAGAGAGAGAGAGCGAGGGAGAGCGAGAGAGAGAGAGGGAGAGCGAGAGAGAGCGAGAGAGAGCGCGAGAGAGAGCGAGAGCGAACGAGAGAGAGCGAGAGAGCGCGAGAGATAGGCGAGAGAAAGCGCGAGACAGGTGGAGAGAAAGAAAGCAATAGAAACTGCGAGCAAGGGAAGAGGAGGGAGGGGGAGTGAGAGTGAGATGTGGCCAACGACAGAAACAGCATTCCATTCGCGACAGTCCTGCGTGTCCACGAACAAGATTAACCAGCCTTCTTTCACATGGCTTGCCGGGAACAAACATCATCAGTTAATTTGATGTTCCCTTTGCAGGCCAAGCCGCCGCAAACACCGAAGGCTACCTCTGCAGCATCACTGGCAGTTGCAAAATCAGGGTAGGGCACTTGCGCACTTTGCCATGGACCTGATCAAGACCGTGCCTTGCGCAACGTCACCGTGTTTGGCGGAGGACGGCTGTAGACATCCCAACTGAATGACGCCGGATCCACGCCCTCTGCAAATGTCAGAGAAGTCAAGGCAAACATATAGGAGCGGCCTTACCTGTGGTTTCCAACTCTTCCTTTTAAGCAGACTCGAGCATTTCTCGGGCTATCACAGCGCCAGAACGTGCCACAACGTGCTCTACAATGGCCGCCTTCATGAGCGTCGCGTTCAGGACAGGAAACTTACGCTCGAGGCATCCCCGGCCGTTTGACGGCTGGAAAGACGAATCCTGGTCGCAAGCGCTGGCACTGCTGCATCTCACAAAATTTTGGACATACAGTCCGTCCAAAGTCCTAAACCTAAACCTCCAATTTTTTGATACCCTTCTTACACCAACTCGTTTGGCCCGCATTCCCTGTATTTGTGTGCAAGTCTCTGCGCAAGTATGGTGGGTCAGTGGTACCAGAACCCCAGAGTTTCCCCGAGGGTAAACTTGCTGGCTACACAACCCTCAATCTAGACTACGAGCAAAGGAGACTTCCCTTTCACTGTGCCCGAAGCTTCTGGCGAGGGTCCAGCAGCCCGGACAAGGAGAGGACCATCCGCTTCGTCATGCTGAGGCATGCCTCGGAGAGACCGGCGGACTGGCATTGTTACTTCTGCAAGGGCTTCTCCTCACGAGTCATACAATGTAAAACTTAACAAATGTCCTGACCCATTCCTGGCCTCCTGGCAGCTGTCATCGGACTCAGCGACATACTTCTCTTCGCCCGCCGCACAGGTGGTGCAGCAGGCCGATCCTATTGAATGGACAAGAACCGTTCCGTCACGAGCGGTCAAGTGTGAGTGAATGATGACCTTGCCTCGAGATGCAGGCTTTCCGCTCAGCTGCTCGCCTTGGAATGCGCAGATCATCAATGACAATTTCGGTACACATGCTTCTAGACAAGAAACTGCAAAGGAATGAAACCCTGGGTTCTGCACTAACTTGCTGCGCGATTCCCAGGACATCTGGCCTTGACACGTATGGCAATTTCACTCAGCTTCACTCAGTTCGCTGCCGGCCATTGCCTACCAAGGGCCTTTCCGCCTTCATGGCGCAAACCCCGGCCCACTAAACAGACCAAAACAAGGCCTGAGACTCCGAGGGCGTCGCTTTCGGAAGATGCCCAGGCCCAAGCTCCCAATCCAAGGAAGGGTGATCTGCAGCCACTCAAAAAAAAGTCTTTCAGGGGTTTAGGGAGGAGGAGGGGGGGGCTTGCATGAAGTTGCATCCTTGAGGCTTTGTGAAGGCCTCTCTGGTGCCACGGGACTCTGTGAAGCCCAAGGACTCGCAGGATCCCTCCTGGCCACCGAGTCCCCTAGTGTCACTACGATGACAATTAGTATCACTACCATGGTGATGAGGAGTAGTCTTGTGGTTTGCACGATTCTAGTCTGGGCTCAAATACCTCCAGACTGGTAACTATTGAACCGGAGAGGACCGCACATAAGTGCATGCGCTCATCGCTGCTGTGGATGGAGCGCGGCTGCCGGTGGCAAATGGGACATGTTCAAGCACGTGTGCCAAATACCTGGTGGAGGAAATTTATTGTACCGCTGTGCACAACATGCACCTGTGTCTGGCAGATATCATGGGGCAATCACCATGGAGCTCGGCTTCTCCACGATGTTGCTTCTGGATATATCTGCGGAAGTCTTCTGCGCAAGATTCAGATCCTGCAGGCACTCGGCGATGCCCTCCAAGGAGGACGCATTCGCTCTGGTTGTCTTCTTCGGCTTCTATGCCATCTCCATCCAGGTTTTGGTTGCGACCTCAACATCAAGCTGGGGGCATGTCCAGGCTCTGATGCTGCTGGAGGCTGGTTCGTTGCGCTGCGTCACAGACACCTGTGCTTCCCTTCAACTGGATTATGTTCCCGGATACTTCTACGGCAGCAGCTGCGGCATTGTCGTGGCGGCCACTTCGTTCCCCATCGGTTTGCTCATTTCCCGAGAGCATCGGAGTGGAACCAGTTGAACACGAACGTGCGGCTTCGTTGGCCTGGACATGCACAGCGGACTTTCCGAAGGACGGGCAGAGTCCCAAACAACAATGCATGAGCTCCGTGACGCGAGCTTGAAGGCCGCAAGTTCGTCGTGCTTTTCCATCCTTCAAGTCTTCTGCGCAAGCCGCATCAGGTAGGCCACGCACAGCAAGTGTTGCTCTTCCTGTAGGATTTCCGCTGGCACCAGTCTGGCCGGAAAAAGGTTGTCGCCAGCTAATACAACTTGGCGTTCTTGCTAATTCGCCGCCGGAGCTTGCAAACTATGCACGGAAGGCGCATTAACTTTCAGCCCTCTTTGGTGTGTGTAGCCTATGGAGCGCGTGATCACCAAGGACTCTCACGCCGTACCGCTCGGGCGCGAGCATCCAGAAGCATGTGTTTTTTGGCATGATTCTTAATTTTATGATTAGTGCTATCATGAGTACTATTGCTAGTAGATTATATATATATATATATATATATATACGTATCTTATATATATATATGCACCGGAGTCTTACCGAGTCTGCATTGGCAAGCTGAGCAAGCTCCTGAAGCCCAGCCAACTCCTGGGCCCAGTCTGCCTGGGACGCGGCAAGGCGAACCTGCAAACCAAGCGCGTCCCCCAGATTAATAATGATGATAATGATAATAACAATCATAATCATAATCATAATCATATATCAAAATCATAATCATAACAAAAACAATCAGAATAATGAAAGTAAGAATAATAATAGTAGTAAGAATAATAATGATGATAATAATGAAACTCAACTTCTGGAAGAGCCGCACCTGCCCACATTCGATCCCCACGAGCTTGTGCATTTCTGCAAAGGGCTGCCCCTGAAGATCATGGGCATGGAAGGAGGGTTTAGGGTTTCGGGTTTCGGGTTTAGGGTTTAGGGTTTGGGGTTTAGGGCTAGGATCCCGCTAGCTGTCCCACTGAAACAGACATGGCGACCGCGCACCTCTTCCACCACAGCAGCTGCATGGAATGCAGCTGCGGCCCCAAGCAATGCCTGCCAGGTCCGCAGGTGGCAAATGGCACAGAGCATGAGAGGCTGTACTTGTTTGGTGGGCAGCTGTCAATCCACCATCGAAGTTCGCTTCAATGCCTTCAACGCTGCCATTGCGCTGCGAGACTACGGGCGATGAGATCGGGGATGCTCCGGGACTAGGCGCCGATGGCAAAATTCCGTTCGCTCTGTAACCAACGATCTCTCGCATGCAGCAGCACCAAATCTTGGTCAAAGCGACTGCTTCAGAGGTCCAGTGGCAGCGACACGAACAGTTCGCAAGAATGGCGACATGCTGATTGTATTACTGGTGCTCAAGTGATCGGCTGAGCAACACTGGAAGAATGCCACGAAGACCGCAAGAATACATGCAGACCAGCCTTTCACGGAAAACCTCTCAAGACAGGGCCACTTTGGGCCCATGGATCTTTCCGCAGCTGTTCCACAGAAAGATGACAAATAGATCTCTGATCCGAGGAGGAGCTGGCGCAGGGCGCATGCCTTGGCATGCCTTGCCTCATGGACCCCCTAAACCCTAAACCCTAAACCCTAAAGTTTAGGGCCTAAACCCTAAACCCTAAACCTAATGCGCAATGAAAAGGCTTCCGGGGATGAACTCACGCGGCGGAAGCAAGCTGACCTTGGCTGGCTGGCACAACAACCTCAAGTACGGCAGCGTCAGATTTAAACAACAAAGAGGGGACCCATGAATGCCTTTGCAAGAGGCTGTCTTCTGAAAGGGCTCCCGAAACAGGAATCCTAATTTGGTGGAGACTACAAGCTATACCCCCTCCCCCCCCCCCCCCTGCAAGAAATCCCAGACACCGAGGGCGTTGAGGTCTCCAAACGTCGTCGCAATTCCCATTGCAGCTCCCTGAAACGGTCCTGGGGGAAGAGGGCTTCTTGTAAGCAGAAGAAACCCTCTTCGGTTGTTACAACCTTTTTCCGCCGGTTCACGGCTCAGGGGATGGAGTATCGAAGCATGCCAACCTTTCGCCTGTTTCGGATGCTGCCCTGCTAGCCCCAACCCCCAGACAGGTCGACGGTCCTTGTGGCCGTTGGGCGGCGTCACCTCGACCCCCCGCATGACTCCACGGCGCGTGTGTTTTTGTACTTCTCGGCTCGGAGATGAACCCCGTTTAACAAAGTTAAAGAATATTCTTCTTCGAGTCACGCCGTCCAGCTCTTTGAGAAGCCGCTGCGCGCGGCTGTGCAGAAATAGAGAAGGCTCCTGCCAGTTGGAGCTTGGGAGGTGACCAGGCACCTGGGACCTTCCCCCTGATTTACCGGGCGCCGATCTTCGAGAAAACCCACAGGAGCTTTGCAAGAGCATTTGGCCCTTGTGCCTGGGAGAGGCCAAGGGAAGTGAGCCAATCCCACACCTGAGCCGCTGAAGTGACGGTGCTTCGGACAATGCCGGATGCCAATACATCCAAGACATCATGGCATCTGACTCTGCAATGCGCAGACAGCAGCAGCGTATCATGGCAGTTACGGCAACACTGACGCTGACCACCCAAGCTGTGGGGCCTCGATCAGCATAGCTGCCGTCTCGGTTGCAAATGCTGCATCCCACTGCATGTACGTATACCTGCCAGGCATGGCAACAAAGGTTCGCCAGTAGAAAGGGGCTCGGCTCAGATCCGCCGAGGCCACAGGCCCTGGGCGTCTTTGAGTCCCATCCACCCAAACCCTCCTGCTGCGATCGAGGACGCTTTCGCAGCTATTCCTCCTGGACTTTATGAGGATCCTGGGCTGAACATGCTGCTAAAATTCGCCAACTCGGCTGCATGAAGCGACAATCCGGCGCTTCTTCGCCAGAAAGTAGCATATTTGAGACTATTAGGATGACCGTGAGCTCACAAAGGCCTGACGAGGGATAGATCCAAATCCACGGTGAAGAGGAGGCCTGGGTAAACGCAGCTCAAGCTCCGCACAACCAAGCTTGCTGACGGGGGGGGGGGAGGGGGGTTGATCCAAATTCTAAACTATGGAGTCCTTTTGTAGCCTACGCTATACGTAAGAGCTAGACTTTCAATGGGGACAACAAAGGAAAGGCCCAGAACTTAGCTCAAGAAGTCTGGATCTCGGCAAAGGCACCCCACTGCCAAATCCAATGTCGTCGACCGAAGAGACTTCCTGCGTCGTCTGCCAAACCTGCCGGCTCAAGGCTCATCAGCAACCGTCCAGAAAGATCGAAGGAAAGTAAACTTGGGATGACTTTGAAAAACAGGGGTGGTGTCAACGAGGTTCACCCAGTGCAGCCGCAAGGCGTAGCGCCGACAGCACGAAGCCCTCATCTGGCAGAGCAAGACCTCCAAAGGCAAAGCTCGGGCTCAGACTCAGGACTAACCCAGGGTAGTCAAGCTGCGACCAACAAACTGGGCAAGATGTGCGCAGGAACTGGGCTCCAGCAAGGCACCTTTCACCCCAGCCTGCGACGCCCTGGGCTGGTCTGGCAGAGACAGCGCCTTGGGTGGGACGCATTTCGAGACAGCCCACTTCTTCCAACGCATCGAAGTCAAGCTGCTGAGAAAGATTGGCACAGAGGTCTGTGCAGATACAGACATGACATGCGAGGCAAGCACGGTAACCCACAACGACAACTGCCGAATCGGCAACACTGGACGAAAAGGTCAACATCAGACGGCAGATCTACGTGAAGACATCACCAGACTAGGTTTGGCACAAAAACTCTTTGGGCCACCTCAGACAGCTCCTTCTCCTCAGCTTTCTGCAAGGTGATCGTACCCTGACTCAAGGCACCTCACCTGCTGCAACTTTTCCCTCCCTCTTGCCGAGGTTCCACGGACATCGCTCCGGTGCTGCATCCACACTTACACCGCCAGCTCTCGCCCCGGAGCCGGGCCCAGCCGGCGCAGATTCCTTCGGGGCCTTCGGCTTCAGCCCCAGACTCTGCATCCCTCTCATCCTGGCAGGAGTCCATCCGCTTCTTCTTTGAAGTCCGTTAGCCAAGTGTTCTCGCACGAGAGACTTTAACACCTTTAGCAGAGAGCAAGCCACAAAAAGGCAAACCATCCAAATCGGCCTGTTTGACTCGGAGGGGTACTTTTTGCAACGTCAGACGTCACTGCGGCACGTCTCCGAGCTTACGAGCTCAGAGGAACCATCACTTGCTCTTGTGGTTGTCTGGGGGCATGAAAGGCTGCTCACCGACGCAAGCAGTGCTGGACGTCATGACATGTGCCGTGTCGAATAAAATCAGCCATGCAACCCCGAAATCCTACAACCTGGACCTGCAAGCAGTGTCCCAGCACATGAATACAAAGCAGCATTCAGCAAGAACAAGCAGCATATGAACCCACGATAACCCACGACAAACCAGCCTTGTCCTCCTCCTGGCCAGGTCTCCAGGGCTCAGCCGCGCTGGCCGCGGGCAGCACGTGGTCTGCGAGGCTGTGCCGGTCGTACCAGTTCAAGCTCAGACCTGCACCAACAAGGCTTCAAAGCTCTCCCAACGGCGAGAGAGACAAAAAAAACACCCCCCTTCAATCTTCTCAAGGCCCTCTGCAGGGCCTCGCCTTTTCGCGATGCAAGCGCCCGCTTTTGGAGACGGTTACGCAGCCTGGGCTGGGCTTTGGTGAGGATGGGCCAACGGTGTCTAGGCAAGCAGAACAGATTCCTTCTGCAAGCAGAAAACAAGAACATAGGTGGAGAGCCTCGAATGGTCTGTGCTAGAACCGCATGTAGGCAGACAAAACATTGAGTCTGTCCAGGCAGCTCCCCCGGAGGAACTCCATCATTTGTGCGCAGCGAAGGAAGCTTGCCCTCACAGGGCTCAACCAGGCGACCCAATCCTCAAGGATCCACGAAACATGTCCCAGGCAAGGTGCCGAAAGGGTAAGCTGAACTGGCACAAGCTGAACTGAATCAGGGACGAGATGCCCAGCGCCGCTCCATCAATCAGAACCCACCCCGAGCTTTGCCTTTGTCAGCGTCGGATGTCCCAATCCAAGCAGACCACAAGAAACGACAAAAAAAAATAGCAGCAATACACGCCGCTCAGAACACAGCAGCATTGGACTTCGGACTCCAAGGGCTCTAGGATTCTTGTACTCAGTGGCTGCGAAAGACACTCGTGGCCAAGGGCCGAGTCACCCGTTGAACTCAGACTTCTCGACCTGCACCCAGGTGCCTTCCGGCGTGCTCCTGAGCCTCAGAGCGCTGCCCGCAGTACAAACCAAACCGTGCCCAGTGAACCAGAGGAGGCTGGCTTGAAACCATTGGGCAACTGCCACTAGCTCACGGTTTCAAAGGGCAAACTCAAAAAACACAGATCTACGGTTGGGATTCTGAGTGATTTGAGGTAGTCTAGGATCTGCCGCCAACGCTTTCCAGGCTTCGGGGCTGTGGAGTTCGCCTGTAGGCGCCCCTCCGCTTTTCACATCACCTTCCCATACCGTTCTAAGCCCCGAGTTCCCTTCCGAAAGGCTCGCCGGATGAGTCGAGCTCGATGCCTGCCTGGCTGACACGCAGACGGGGGGAAAGGGAAGCCTTGCTGCTTCGAGAAGGATATCGGACATCAGATCACACTAGCATGCCGAACTCTAACGAGCCTTAGCACTGCAGCCTATTCTCCCGAAGGAGGAGCCTTCAGCAACGCCACAGCACGGCTCTTTGTCGAGGGATCAGCACGCTGCCACACTGCAGGCTTGTTCACAACCTTGCTTCGTCGCTCTCCCCCCCCCGACCGCTACATCCCAGGGTCACCACAGGACAGCCACAGGCGCTGAAATCAAATCCGAGCTTCTGAAGCCACCGAAACCTCAAACCAAAGCTCCTGCAACCTGTACGAGTCTTCATTGCAATGGATCTAGGGCCTGGTATTTCCAAAAGCATGTGGGCAGGTCTCCCAATTATGGCCCCTTTTGGGGCACTTAGACCCCAATTTAAAGAACTGGCCATGTCAGAGACGAAAAAAGCCCAGGTCCGGTCGTTGCTTTGAGGCTGCAGTCCCCATCAGCTTCAACATGATCAGGTCGCGTGGCTCAACTGCATGATGTCGTCCCAAAAAAACCACAATTCCCCAAACCACATGCAACCTCAGCCTAGGCACTCGCCAGCGGCAGGGAGCCCGGCCGAGGCAAGCACAAGCTCGGTCTCTCAATGGGTCCTGCCATCCGGCGTCGGCTTTGCAACATGGAATTTTAAGCGAGGGCTAGAGGAACGATGGAAATCAAAACGCCGCAAGCATGCGCAACTCTAGCTGCTTTCTCGGAAGCACCTAACCGGAGGATGCTGAACTATCGCTGCTCACTAAGCAAGGCGGGCCTCGGAGCTAGTGCAGCGCGGGCATTGGCATATGAAACCTAAAGAGCTCCGGAGGCACAAGAAGGGTCTCTGTACTTCTCGGCTTACACGTCTAGAGAGTTCTCCTTGCCAACTAGAGAAACTGTTGATGGTCAGCAACATGCATCGCCCAGTATGCTTCGCATCTTAGCACGTGGTTCTGCTGATTGGCATGGCGGCAGCATACGCGTTCATGTTGCATATACATACATATATTCAAGCATCCCAAGCATCCGAAGCTTAAACTGCAGAAGCCCGCAAAACTTCCATGTCAAGAGGCACTTCGAGCGCCAGAGAAGCCATCTGCGTTTTCACGGGTTTCGGATGTGTGCGGCAAAGTAATGCCAAATTCGTTCTTGAGGCTCCGTCAGCTAGCGCCTGACCCCACCTGTACTTCCCCGACTCGGCTGGCAAAAAACTTCTTTTGAGTCAAGTTCTCAAAGCTTAGATCGGCTGCGTCACAACTTACAGTATTTCATGAACGATGCACAGCTCATTCTCTCACGTTTCAACCCTCGCTGGCCTGCGCTGGCTCGTGGGCAACAGAAGCTCCTCTCCCAGGTAAGAGATGCTGATCTCCTGGAGTTGAGTTGAGAGCGCCAAGAGTGCTGGGAGTGGTGCGCTGCGACCATGCGATGTGTGCTCTCATGGTTGACAAGGCAGGAGGGCTGCTTCAAGGTTCAGGCATCTCGTGTCCTCCCCCTGTCGAATAGGTCTCAAGGTTCGGAGCCCCCAGCGGCCAGGAGCGTTGGTGAAGACGCAGTTCGGGGAGCAACTGTGGTTGATGCGGCCTTGCAGCACGTAACTACTGGGCAGCACTAGCAACCAACAACGAACGAAACCTTGCAGCTACGCCTATCGGCTGCTTTCGCAACGGCCAAGGAGCTCATCGTCCAAAAGATCCTGCCCCCAGGAAAGATGTTCCTGGGCACCCAAGCGTGCAAACAAGTGTCGTGTGGCAGCGGCAAGCAGCAATCCGCGCAAATAAGAACTTGCATCCAGCTCGAGCGGCATCTCTGTGACCAGGATTCCAGTTTGCAACCATTCCACCTCGAATGCCTCCAAACTGGGTCTAGTAGTAAGCTCGCACCCGCTACATCTGCGCAAAAAGTTGTCCAGGGCACCAAAGACAACCCTCCTGCTACGAGCTTGTGCAGATCAGCAAAAGTCTGCCAACATCATGGGTTGTAAATTGGGCATGGCCTACAATGTACCGAACAACCTATATGCCACTGCACTTTGCAAATCCGATCACTGTATGCTGGCGCCCGAAGATTCTTATGGCTCATCTGTTGTTTGATGCAAGGGCCGACATATCTGACATATTTTTGCACATTCACGGACTTGAAAACAAAAGAAGCTTCCACGACCAGCAAGTCTACTCCACGCTTGTTTACTGGGACAAAGGGTTGATCAGAGGGTCGGCAGTGCAAAGGCCCTGGGCATAGGGTGGGCGCTGTCATTCCGGGCCTGACATTCGGGCAGCCGCTCTTTACAGAGCTTGGCCAACTGCAGCGCAACCTCAACAAGGCCGTGGTCCAAGTTCAGGGGCGGGAAGCTGAAGGACAACAGCGCACCTTGGCACTGTGTCAGCTGGCATGTGCTTGCTCAGAAGACAGCAGCGCAGCATAACTTCTAACTGTGTGTGTGTGTCTCAGCTTGACTTGTGCTGTGGAGCAGCGTCGCGCAACGTGAAGCAGTGTGAAGCAATGCGACGCAGTGCGAAGCAATCATGCTTCAAGAGTCATCGCAAGGTGCACAGGCACCGTGTGGTGGAAACTACAAATGCTGCGCCTCGTAGGCTGTCCGGCATTTTCACAAACCCGAGGACGTCCCGCACGAGGGCGGTGCTTGCCTTAAGGCACTATGTTCTTCGCACTAGGGGCCTTGTTCGACATAAGTGGTGAGCATCGCCTGTTGCATTGGAATCGCTCTTTAGAAACTGTAGGCATCACAGCAATTCGATGAGGCCACTGGGTGCTTCCACATCTTGATACATCCTGCGCCCTATCCACGCTAGTGCAGACGCTGCAGACGGAGCCAAGCGGCCAGTAGAGGCTTTTCCTTGTCACTCTCTCCACCAGGCAGACGCATCGGTGCTTTGATGCGAGTGAAGGCGGCGCTCCAGTTCTGGCAGGAATGCAGGGGGGCAATCGCATGCTTCTCAAAGCTTTGAAAACAGGCGCAAGTGCCTCGTCCCACTCAGGTCGGCCATGCAGCTCTCCGGGTGGAGTCCGGGTATAGAAGGGCTCTTCCTCCACTGAGTTCTATCCATCGAAGTACCGAGGGTTATAAGGTTCAAAGGTCATTCAATACAAGTTTCCCCCTTGCCTCGATGAGAACCTGATTTGCCGGGAGGTCCACGACGGCATATGCTGACTTGCCCTGACCTGCACTATCCGCGGGCACGAGCCGCGGAAGAAGCTCTAACATGCAAAGAGAGGCAATGCTGGCAGCGCAGGATTCGAGCTGCCTTCGGCCTCACGGATCTCCAACGGCCACTTCGGAACACCCGTGGACGTCGGCAGCGTGTGGCCACAGCTGAAGAGGAAGCAACTCTTGCGCCCGAACTTGCCTCAAGATCACGAATATTCAGGCTAAAAAGGGAAAGCACACGACTGGATCGGAAGGCTCATGCGGACAAGCAGCGAACCACGAAGCGCATGCAGCAGCGCTTGTTTTCACCTGTGCCCAGTGCCGGGGAAGTGACTGATGGCAGGCCTGTTGCAGTGCATTCTCTGTCTTCGTCTGGCCTTCCCAGCTGAAGGAAAAACAATGCCCAAGCCTGTCTGAATCAAGGATCGAATAGCTGGCCTGTGAGGAGGGGAATGGACACCTCCTGGCCGGGCACCTGCACTGCCTGGAATGCAGACAAACAGTCCAAGATCTGCAAGGCTGCGCTCAGAGCTATTGCGGGCAACTTCTAGAGACATTTGTGTCGGGGCCTCGATGGCTGCTTCTGCCTCAGCAGCACAGCCATCGACGACCAGCGACGTCCATGCCTCGAGGAACAAGCGCCACAACTGCATGTCTGCATTCGGCCAAGAGCTGCAACTTGAGGAGAAAACCTGACCCAAAACATCCTCCGACTTTCGGCCAAGGACCTGGCGCGCAGGCCCAATGTGCTGGAGACATCGGCAGACACGTGTCAGCCATGCAAGGCTATCAGGCGGCAGGCGTCACGAATCAGGCGGCAGGAGTCACGATCGATAAGCATGTTCATGCCTCTTCTGCCCTCTTGTTCCAGGAGGTGACGGCGCCCCCTTCCTGCGACAACATCCGACTTCGGGGGAAGGCTTCTTCTCTTGATGGTCTTGAGAGTGGCACCTTGCAGAACAGCCTAAGGGGGCTTCTATATTTAGAAGGCGAATTGCGACCCAAATTCTCAGGCCTTGAAGGAGAAGGACAGCTGTGACCAGGATCGCCTCCGAAAAAAGTTGGAAAAGTTGGCTTCGGCATCATGGAGCGTAAGCTTCGGAAACCGCAGCCGTGAAGAGCCGAATGCGTTACTCAAGCGGAAGCCGACTTCGGGGCGGCCAGTAACATCAGCAACTGAGTTGGCTCCCTCCTTCACCACTCTCTAATTCAGAGCAGTCGCTCAATGGTGCTCTTGTCCACGGAGTAAGCAGGCATTCTGCAAAGACATGATGCCAGCGGGTCGCAAGCTGCACTGCCAGCAAAGACTCCCAGTACAGGTTTTGATTGTGAGTGCATGTGACATGTGCGGAGTTCGAGACATGCTTGGTGGGGGGGGGGGGGGCTGTAGTTGGAAAGTAAGGTCTCCTTTCGCTGACGGTGACTCAAGCGTGGCTGCAAAAGTACCCTTTTAAAAGATGCCAGGCCCGCTGCTTCTGACGTACAAACACACACAGTCACAAGCGAGACTCGCGGATCCTTTTGATGCCGGCGAAACTTGCGGAACGTCGCACGTCTGCATCACTGGCCTTGGGCCAAACAAAGTGAACTCCCCCTAAGCCCTAAACCCTAAACCCCTCTCAAACTCAAAGCTGCTGAAAGCAGAGGAGCGCAGCCCGCATGCCAAAATCCGGAGCACGAGAGCAGCGCAGCAAAAGTACACAAACAAACACGAACATACACATACTGCACTTGCTTCGCCGACTGCATTAGTCATAAACTGTCAAAGGTTTCACACCTGAGCTTCATCTCTACAAGTAACTTGAAGACAGACAGCCTCGAAAAAACATGGGGCACTAGGTTCAGCCGACGAACTGCTGAGTTTTTCTGAGCCTCAAGCGAAACCGCTTCCGGAAGCGCTCGAGAGCGGCATCATCGGTGGCGCTCTGCACAAGGACTCCGACAACGGGACAAACTGACTGGAGTCGGCCGACATTCCTTGAAACCCCTCTTTCTTTCTTTGGAGCCCTTCCATCATTCTCTGCTCTTGTCCCTCTTCCTCTTTCTTTGCTCCTCCTCTTATTCTTCTTCTGCGCTCCTGTCCCGCCCTTGAAGGAAGCGGGCACGCTGAGTCACGGTCTGGGACAGCACCCTGTTCGGGTCATCTACTCCGGGCCCCCGGGCCTACATCGACTTCCAACCTCCTTTCGGCTAGCTACGGTAGAGTCCGAGCCCTCTTCCGTCCGTTGTGTATCGCCCTCTTCCACGACATAATCCGTGCACGGCGGAGTCTCAACCGCTCCAAGCACATCCGAGCACCTCATTGCGGCCCGCAGTGGTGCTCCACACTTTGGTCTCTTCCGCTTCCTCTTCACTCACGGTGTCAAACCCGGCGCATGCTATTCCAGCGGACCCGTCGATAAGGACCAAGTGACCAGCGCATGCAGCATGTACAGAGATGCCAGTAGCCCCGCTCTTGAATCACCTGCATACCCCGGTGCTTGCAGTCCACGTTGTCCCAACTCGTCACGTAGTCTCGTGTGGTCCTTCTGCCCCTCCCCGAGCTTCCACGCAGACGACTGGTTGATCTTTCCCCTCTTAAACCTCCAATCATGATACGGTGGCCCCTTTCTCCCTCTCTCTCACTCTCATATGTCTCCCTTCTGTCTCTCTTACCCCTCTAGTCTCGAAATCGGCAAGAAAGGATTTGGAACACACAAGGGAGCTTGGTGGCCTTGGAGTCGTCTCTCTTGTCGACGTTCATGAACCTGAACCAGCACCATGAGAAGAAGTGAGAAAAACCGAAGTGTGCTCGTAAAGGCTGAATCATACCACGTATTACTGTACTCCCCAAGCACCCACGTGAGCATGAACCCATGAACGCAGCAAGCTTCTTTGCCCTTTTGTGAATGCCCGCCTGGATCCAAAAGCCTTCCTGGTGACGGCGTCTGTCTCAATCACCGCTCCCCTGTCAACTGCTGTCAACTCACTAGCTGACCACATGCAACGAAACCGTCAAACTGGGCCCTAAAACTCTGCAGGCCTGCGTCACATTGTCTCGCAAACGCACATGGGGCACGTATAAGGCATGTCAAGCGTGCACGGCAGCACGGTTTGGCATTTGCATGCTCCCCATACAGGTACTCGCGCTTGGCCTTCTCAGTGGCCTGTCCAAGCAGGCAGAGAGCTGCTTCCTAAACTGCAAAGTTCGATTGGGTGGCCTCAATGTTCTTCAGCTTGTATTCGACCGGCAATGCAACCTGGCAGAAGCAGCTTGAAAATGCCCAACACTTCCCCCAACCAGCCAACAAAACGCAGCGGCACAGCCCAATGTAGCACAATGTCGCATGGCCTTCCCTCAGCTGACGCAAAACCCTGTCCAACATGCGCCTCTGCCAGGCCTGCTACCCAGCTCATCCTTGGCACTTGGGCGTGTAGCACACAAAGTTCCATTGAACTGACTTCCCGGGAAGCCCTACTAGCCATCAATGGGAATATGCAGGGAGAGCTGCTTGTCCACTTGGCTCTCTGCAGCATCGGGCACCTGCACTTGGAAAACAGGAGGAGTAAAACCAGGCCGTTGATAGAGGAGGATAGGGGGAGCATTGCCAGACTTCCCGCTTTGCACAAATAGGGGACTCCGAATATAGACCCCCAATAATAGGATCCCCTTACTAAGGACCCCAAAAAGGCACCCCTAATATCGCAAACCCCCAGATGAAAGAGGCCCGCCTGCAGATTCGCCGGCACCTCATACAGCCGCTCCTCACGGCTCCTCTCCTTCACCGTCTCTTCCTCCTCCTGGCGTTTTGGCAGGGTTTAGGGTCGGTTTAGGGTTTAGGGTTTAGTGTTTAAGGTTTAGGGCTTAGGGTTTAGGGTTTAGGGCTTAGGGTTTAGGGATCGTGGGGCTTGGGGTTGAGGAGTTCGCGGGCACATGCATCAAGGTCAAGATCCAAGTCGATCCGTGAGAGCACGTTACCAGAGCAGGGGGGGTTTAGGGCTTAGGGTTTAGGGTTTAGGGCTTAGGGTTTAGGGTTTAGGGTTTAGGGTTCAGCATCTCAAGTCCAAGCATTCACTAGTCAAGCAATTACTCCAGGAAAATACCCACCCGCCCAAAGAATCCCACAACATTAAGAAAATATTTTACTTATAGAACGACCTTGCCCATGCCCATAAAACGGCGACCTTGCCCAGTAAAACAGCGACCTTGCCCAGTAAAACGGCGACCTTGCCCAGTAAAACGGCGACCTTGCCCAGTAAAACGGCGACCTTGCCCAGTAAAACGGCGACCTTGCCCAGTAAAACGGCGACCTTCGGGGAAGGTAGCATTTTTACTGGGCTGGGCAAGGTCGATTTTGGTCAAAAAATCGACCTTGCCCAGTAAAACGGCGACCTTGCCCAGTAAAACGGCGACCTTGCCCAGTAAAACGGCGACCTTCGGGGTCCAAGGTCGCATTTTTACTGGGCAGGGGCGGAAGGTCGCCGTTTTACTGGGCAAGGTCGCCGTTTTACTGGGCAAGGTCGATTTTTTGACCGAACTGACCTTGCCCAGTAAAACGGCGACCTTGCCCAGTAAAAAGGCGACCTTGCCCAATAAAACGGCGACCTTGCCCAGTAACTCCGCCGTTTTACTGGGCAAGGTCGCCGTTTTACTGGGCAAGGTCGCCGTTTTACTGGGCAAGGTCGCCGCTTTACTGGGCAAGGTCGATTTTGGTCAAAAAATCGACCTTGCCCAGTAAAACGGCGACCTTGCCCAGTAAAACGGCGACCTTCGGCGTCCAAGGTCGCATTCAGGGGCGGAAGGTCGCCGATTTACTGGGCAAGGTCGCCGTTTTACTGGGCAAGGTCGCCGTTTTACTGGGCAAGGTCGATTTTTTTGACCGAACTGACCTTGCCCAGTAAAACGGCGACCTTGCCCAGTAAAACGGCGACCTTGCCCAGTAAAACGGCGACCTTGCCCAGTAACTCCTTAACATTGAAATTATATATGAAAGAGAGGTTTAGGGTTTAGGGTTTAGGGTTTAGGGTTTAGGGTTTAGGGTTTAGGGTTTAGGGTTTAGGGTTTAGGGTGTAATAAGTTTAATAAACCCCAAAGCATCAAGATCCCGACTGTTGGCACCCCAGTATAGGTACCCCGATTTTTGTTGAAACCCCCATGGTCAAAGAACTGCATTCTCTCGCTCGCCGACTTCACCTGAGCCTTGCGCGGAAGTTGAAACCGCTAGACCCTAAACCCTAAACCCTAAACCTGTGTTCTGGAGGCTCCACCTTCCCCTTGTTGTAGAGGCGCTCGTTGAGGTAAGCCTCGTCTGCCGCGGAAGGGAAGCTTAATTGATCACAAGACAGAAGAGGGCAGGTCTTCCTCCCTTGACGTTCAGCACGGCACAGGTCTTTGATTCAGAACCCTATCCTACCTCACACCACTCTGAGTTCGCCATACCTAGCACAGATCGTACGCACAAGTGAGCCAAAGATCTCTTCCTCGCCTCCTTTTGCCACTACATCACGCATCATAGTTCATATAAGAATATATGAGAATATGAGAATATACGAATACAAGAATACAAGAATACAAGAATACAAGAATACAAGAATACAAGAATACAAGCATACAAGAATACAAGAATACAAGAATACAAGAATACAAGAATACAAGAATACAAGAATACAAGAATACAAGAACACAAGAGTAGAAGAATCAAGAATTTGAACATGGAAGCCCCACAGCGCCTCGAGGTGGTGGTCGGGTCCCTTCTGACCAGCCGTGCCGGAGAAGGACTTTTCCAGTAGGCCCCACTGCTCCTTGTCCTCCTCAGCGAATTCGGGGCCCCGAAAAAAACGGGGTCATGTAGCTTCAAGCCACGGGGGCCCCAACCTCCTCTTCCTCCTCCTCTGGCTGCTTCATCATCTCAGGGACTGGCACTACCTGCGCCGACACCCGTTCACGATGCCCAAGTTTGGGAAGACAACGGTCTCTTCACGAACGACATGAAGGACCACAACCGAGCTACGACCAAGACGTGCCAGGCAGACTCCTCGTGGCTTTGCCCACTGCTCCTTCTGAACTAATCGAACCTGCGATGAGAGCAATCTAGAGGCTTCCCATTGACGGACACAAACATCTGCGGGGCACCTCCTGCAGTTTTTGCTGCTCCGCGGTCTCGCTCTCCTGGCAATGGGCAGACTCCTTGTGGAGACATGGTGGTTTCCGAAAATGGGGGGGGGAGGTACCTTTTTGGGGTCCTGTTTATAAGGGAATCCTACTATTTGGGGGTCTATTTTGGGGTCCCCTTTTTTCGTAAATCCCCCACATCGTGGTAAGATCATCATGCAACCATGCTGACCTGCATCACCTCATGTGCTCGCCTCGTCTTCATCGTCTTCATCCACTTTTCGCCGCGTACCTCTCGTGGGTCAAAGGAGCAAGGAGCTAAGGCAGCTCAGGGGCAAAAACTCTAGGGGCAGCTGCCGAAGTTGCAAATCAGGGTTCGAGGAAACTTCGGAAGCTGAGGGTGCTGGGTATCTAGTATCAGGTATCAGCCATGCAAAGCTTGCTGAGGATCAAGCCCTTCGGCCGGCCGCGGTTTTTGAACATGGCGACTCTCGGGGCAGAGCTAAGATCAACTGCTGGATCAATCTGCCTGGTAAGTGGTGCTGTCAAAACAAAAAATGGCAAGGCAGCTTGTCAGGGTCAGGGGCTTGTTCTCCACCTACGTAGGCTTGCACAACCCGCTCTCATGTTACGGAGCCTTCAGCTTTCAAGGAAGTCTAACAGTAGCACCTCAAAGCTGAAGCAGCACAACAACGCCACATACAAGTCCAGAGGACTTGCTGGCTCACAGTATCTCGATGGTGCGCGCGATGCCGCACGCATTGACGTCGCGAGCGGCCGTCACAATGCCATAAGAAGGGTCTCTGAAACCGCGTAGACCTTTGGTCTTTGAATTCCGGGAGCCCACTGATGGAGCTCCACAGGCGTCCCAAGCACGGCGCGGGCAAAACAGCTGGACCCTGCAAATAGATTGAATAAAGGTTGGGATAGAGGCAAGAAAGCCCTGCCTCTCGACTCCCGTGCCGCTCCGCTCATTCAGCGGCGTATAGTGCATGACACAACGTGCCTGCTTCAGGTGCGCTTCTTCACGCAGACTCCACACTGAAAATTGCCGGCAGCACCGTGGCTCCAGCCGAGGGTGTTTGTCACCACCTACGTTTGCCCTGTCGAACCCAAAACAACCGCAAAAAACAAAATGAACGCAAGAGAATAAAGACCCTTGGGCAAGTCCCTTGAGGACGGATCCTGGCAACATGCACCTGCGCTCCGGATGAGCGGACATGACCAAACCGACTGCTTCAGCAAAACTTGGCCTGCCCGGCTCAGCGTTGCGTATACTTGGATGGACCACATTGCTCACGGTGGAGTGCATCAAGTGCAGGTGAGACGCATGCAAGCGAATTTCTTTGAAAGGGATCATCGCAGCACTAGGCAGTTTCGATGTCCCTTCTGTTGAATTGACACTGGCCGGTTGCACAGTCAACAGCACAGATAAAGGACTACGCTTGCATGAACCCCATGTGGAAATGTTGGCACAGACCGACGCACCCATCAGCATTCACACAGAGCTTACCGTCCAAACAAGCATCTTTGGACACACAGCCTCACTTTCGTCAAATGAAACAATGTCGTTAACACCTGAGCAATTCGCACAACGCAAACGCCGCTCTGCCTGCTGGCACTCCTGTGAAAACGACCCAGCCCACTCGCGCTACGTGCCAAGTTTCTCGCCCCCTGGGCTTCTAGCTGCCTTCTATGGCAACTCACTCTTCTCTTACTTGTTAAAGGTGGACTGAGGAAACTACAAGGTGCACCAGGTTACCCAGTCAGTCGCTTCGATTCCCTTCCGAGAACCGGAAGTTCTGGTTCTTGCTTTTGGTGGTAAGACGGATGTATACCCACTGTGTCCTGGGAGTTCCCTTTCTGCTTTTGATGATGGGCTCCCGACAGCGCCAGAAGGCCAGCTAGGAGAAGAAGAATAAGGGCCTCAAACGGCCCATCATCGCACGAGACATCGCAAAAACATCGCAGGCATCATAAGTTAAGCTGACGTCGGCAGGCTCTGGAGGGCAAACTATTGAGTAGACCATGGTAGACCGAGCGCGAGGGCTTGTCCCCTGGGTGGTCCCGAGCATCCGACTGGAGCATCGGCGGTCGCCTTGCTGTCCACGATTGCACGGTCCTTAAACAGGCCCTCACCGACAAGCTCTCACGGGCTCTGCCAAAAAGGTCTGCTACTGACTACTTGCATTTTGTTTGCTCCCCCCCCCCTCCTCTCTCAAAACAGCCTTCAACAGCCTAATTTCGGAACGAGCCTTGCGGCGACTGGGAGCCCGGCAAGGAGTGTCGCGTTCAGCGGTACGAAGACGCCAACGGGAGCCAGGCCAGATTGCAAGAGCGCGTAGACCACAAAGCCCGTCGCAACTTGGACGACAAGCCACTACTGAGTCACCTTCACTCCCTACACCCTAAACCCTAAACCCTAAACCCTACAAAAGACAGCCAAGCGAAGCCAAGCGAAGCCAAGCGAAGCCTCATCGCCGCTAAGCTCGGGACTGCTCGGCCTCCGGCTGTCGATTGCGATGCTGTAGACGTCGCTCCTGAAAGGGTGCTTTGAAGGACGGGCCAACAAGTCTTCGAAGATCTGGCCTGCAGCAGGCATCACCCAGGCCAGCCACAGAACTGCCCAGAGCCTCACAAGACTTAGCAGAAACTGTAGATTCTCAATTGCTTCAGTCTTGCCTTCTCAAGTCACAGCACATCAGACGGCATTGTGGATTATTAGGCATAGACTCAGAAATAAGCCGAGTGCTTGCTGTTGTTTAGTGTGATGACCTACTGTCCAGGTCACTGGCGCCGATCGGAGCACATAACGTTTCCGCCCACGCCTGCTGCTCTACCCGATCTTCGCAGCTGTCTGCCCAGTAGACCTCGTAGCCCAAGACGTCTGCCTCTGCCAGAAGGTGCGTGTGTGTATATATATATATATATCCAGATACATGTATATGCATATTTTGCGCATGTCTATTTATATATATGTACATATACATATGTGGATTCTTGTTGTGTATTTGTGTGTACAAATATGATCGCGGTTCGCGGTCCCCGCCCCCTCCATGGTAATTCCCCCCCCCCTCCCCTGAACCCTAACCCCCCCCCCCCTTCTAGCCTTAAACCCTAAACCCTAAATCTGAAACCTTTAAACCCTAAACCCCAACCCCCAACCACACCTCAGGGGGCCCACAAATTCCCGTCTGGGGCCTCATCCACGGCGGCGCCAACCAGGGCCGGGCCGAATTGCACGTGCCCACGTGCCAGGCCCTGCAAAAGGGGGACCCCCGAAATGTTTCGGGTCACGGGCTTGGATTTGCTACTGGAAGAGAAGGACCCCAGAAAAAATAGTTTAGGGTTTACGGTTTAGGGCTTCGGGTTCAGGGCTTAGGGCTTAGGGCTTAGGACCCGCCTGAACAAGGGACCCGAAGGAGAACTCCCATGCTCAGGAACCGTCAAAAATTAGGCGCCTCTCCAGAGCCAGCATCCACGAACATGGCCTCAGAGCCCGTCTGAACTGCTCTCTCTTCTGGTTGTGTTCATGAGCTCTGATTGGCTACTTGGAGGTTCAGGTCACTACTTATTAGCCCCAAGTATAACTGCACCTATAAGCCCCCTGAGTTCCCTAAGTTGCGTGTACGTAGATGTACAAATTGCGGTTAGAAGTACGTAGCCATGAACCTCCAAGTAGACATCTCTGTTCACTTCGAGCTCCGTAAGCAAAGTTCCCCGCCTCGCAGGCCAAGGGAATCGCACAGCCTGCCAAAGACAAAGGCGGCTTGGTGCGTCTCTTAACCCCCGCAGCTTCAAGCCCAAAACCCTCAAATACCCCCTTCGGCCGCGGCCCTGACCCTGAAATCCCAAACCTTGAACCGAGCACCCCCTAAACTCTGAAGTCCCCCCCCAAAAAAAAACTGCCAAAGAACCCTAAGACGTAAAGAGAGCTCCCTGACCCTGAACCTGCCTGTCATGAGCGGGTCCACCGTGCACTCGATGCCGCTACCTTCGGCATCGACATGCTAGTTTTTGACAAGGCGACGACGCTTACGAGAGTGACGCGGGGGTCGTTGCACAAGACTTCAAAGTCTAATTTCAGGGTCAAAGGGTTTACTCCATGGCTTTGAATGCCAGAAGCCCTGACATCACTCTGCAACACACATCCTCGCCTTGCCCCTTTCAAAGCTCATACAAGACACCCAACTTTCAAGGCCCTCAAAGGCCCAGAAAGCCCTCTGGGCTGCAAGCCGGGCAGGCAAACCTTCTGCGCAACTCCTGCGAAGCACAAAGAGGCGCTGATTGAGTTAGGCTGCCAGGCGCTTGAAGCGGCCGTGTGGCTTCACCAATGCTTGAAGTCCAAGAAGCGGCTTAGCTTTCTGCTTCAACATGTCATCAGATCATCAGCACCTGCATAGCCGGTGGCGCAGGAGTAGGTGACCGTGTTTTCGAACTGGTCTCGGGTCCTCGGCGCTCGTGACATTCTGCGCAGCTCAGCAAAGGATCGGCTTCTCTGCACTCCAATGGACTAAAGGCCCGTCGGTAGAAGAGTTTGCTTGTAGTTTCGCTGTTGCTGCAGGGCACGCTTTCGTTACTGTTGCTGCGGGGCGCTGTTGTTTTTGCCGTTGCTGCGGGCACTGTTCTTGTTTTGCTGTAATGCTCGCATGACGAGTTTGGAAAGGGTCCGCATGCGCACGTCCTCTTTATGGCATGATCTTCTGCAAGCTCGCAGGGCTCCAAATCTTGATTCATGCTTTGTCTTAACCACTGTTATTTTAACCAGTGTTCTTCCTTTCTGAATTTATGTCTTTCTCTCACTCTAAACCTTTTTCCCTATACATATATATATATGTATGTATGTATGTATGTATATATAATTCATAGCAAAACCTCTATTTCCTTTATGTCTATATTCTAATAGGAAAGCTTCTATTTCCTTCATATGTTCATAGGACAACCTCTATCTCATCTATACTTGAATAGGAAACCCTCTCTTCCTCTGCATTTATTGGAAGACCTCTACTTCCTCTGGTATGAAGAGGAACCTCTCTAGACAAAAATGTCCAAAACGCAAAACACGCAACAACGACAAAAGTCCTAAACAATTAGGGGCCACATTGTGTCGTGCTGTGGGGCGCCTGATTTTGTCTTCTGCAGGGGGCGGTACCTGTGTTTGTCCTGATAAATTTGTTGGCGCGTTATGTTGGCTGTTGCTGTGGGGCGTGTGTCTTTGTTTGGGCCGTTGCTGCAGGGTGTGTTCTTTTCTTGACGTTGCTGTGGTCCGCGCTGAATTTTTTTTGTTGCAACACAGCGGGGCGTTTCTTGACGTTGCTGTGGTCCGCGCTGAGTTTTTTTGTTGCAACACAGCGGTGCGCTTCTGTTTGCGACTGTTGCTGCGGGCCGCGGGCGCGCTCAATCACTCACGCGCTGGCCCATGGGTTTGGTTTTGGCTGTGGCAGTGGGTGCGCTTTTTTGTTTTGTTTTTTGTCCCTCGCCCCGGGCGACGCAAAGGTTCCAACCCTGTTCCCTCAAACACCTAAACCCATAGACAGGCCTCGAGCCCTTGACCCCAGACCTTGGAAACTCTTAAACCCCCCACCTAAACGCTTGAACCCTCTGAACATTGTCAACTCTTATACCCAAGACGTCCTCTAACCTCTCAAACCGTCGCAAACTCTTCTAACCCTTTCAACTCTTGCACCCGGTAAGTCCTAAACCCCACCCTGGATCTCAGATCCACGCACATTGTAGCCAGGTGGGATGGGGTTCGCCTCGGCACCTGACTTAGCAACTTCAGAGTCTGACTTAAAGGGTTAAGGGCTTCAGGGCTTCAGGGCTTCGGGCTTGGGGAACCAGGGTGTTGAACCAGGGCACTGGGTTTCAGAGTTTTGGGTTGCAGAGTTTCGGGTTTGCCAGTCCTTTGGCGCTTGGAAGGCCCTGCTGCTCTGCGGGTGTCGCAAGACATTTGCGAGCACAATCGCTACCCCTGAAAGCCTTGAGCCCTCAGGCCCCAAGGCCACACAAGGCCACGAGGCCCTAAGCCACAGCAATGGGGCCTGGAGCTGGATGTTTGTGCTCGGGGTTCGAAGGTCGAAAAGCTGAACTAGGATACTTTTTCCTCGAGTGAGTAGGGTTGAAGCGTGTTAGGCTGGGAATTCACCACCACGCTGCGGTATGCCGGATCCAAGGCCCCCACAGCCGCAGACAGGCAACACACCTTGCAGTGGCGTCTCGGGATCTGTGTTGGCCACTGGACCTTAGGCCACACAAAACAGGGCAAGAGCCTAAAGACAGTGCCCTCGAGTGGCACTGGCACTAGGGAAGGCGCAGGTGAAATCCGTCTGCGACCCGAGGTAGGGAGCCTGCCAAGAAAGTATCCAAAGGCCACGAACCGAATTCACAAAGGAAAAATCCGAGACACCGCAGAAAGGAAAACCAGAACTGAGGGTGCCTGGCACCTGATGCTGCACACCTGTCCGGGCTCCACCTGGGCATCTCTGCACTCATCCGGGGTTTCTGAATCAGGAGGGCCCTCATTCTGGATCAAAAGCCCCGACTCAGATACCCCCCGCATGAGGAAGGAAAAAAAATGCTCCCCAACCCTGCACTGCACCGCACTCAGGGATGCCGGCATTTGCACAGCCGGAGGTATCATACCTCAGTGTGCGCTTTCGCGCGCTTTGCCGGGAAGAGCAGGGGGGAAATGCATTCTGATCTGCGGGCATGCCTTTTGTTGGCAGAAACCCGTCTGTGTTTGATGCACAAAGTGACTGAGCGATGATCGTACCAGCTTCGCGTGGCTCACCACGCTCATCCATTTCAGGAGGGGCGAAACTCTCGGAACAACCCTCCTGTTGAGATGGACGTTTTTCACAAGCAGACCAGGATCTGGAACTGCAAAAGCTGCCAAATTTGCTTGGGGGAGCTGCAATGCGAGGCTGTGCGGGGCCAGCGTTTTGGGCTGGAAAGCTTGGGACCTTCCCCAGACTTTGGGCGACCTTCCCTAGGACCCCGCCCAACCTTTCTTGGACCCCTTTCACTTGCCCTCGAGCCCAGCTCCAGCTGGCAACAAGCGCACGAGCACTTGACAACAGGCGAAGGTTTCGCCTCGCCTGCTGGGCAGGCCCGGCTACAACTATACCACGTAGTAACTTCGTGCTGAGGCACAGATGTCTTAAGCTGTCAAAAAGGCAAGCCGCTATCCTGTTTCAACCACACCTCGAAGCTGAGAATATTCGCCTCGGCTTCCTGCCGAGAAGCGTCTGGAGCAAGCAGACCCGATCGGGCCTTCTTCCCCCTAACCCAACCCTTCCCCCCATGCAAAATTTTGTGGCGGACCCCCCACCCCCCCCCCCATCGCTTGGAGGAGCTGCAAACCGATGCCGTGGAGGGTCCCGCCTGTCGGCGGCTCCTACAGAGGGAGCGCCACAAAACGAACTGAGAACCCTCCCTTGACCCCCGGACCTGGACCCTTCCTCTCCTTTTTTGCAAGACCCGGCCCGGCTACCGAGGCGGCGCGCGCAAGCGTTTACAATTAATGCAAGAGTCAAAGGCAACAACCACGCTTTGAAGGCCATTGGCCGCACACACAGAAGAGCCCTTTGCTGTGCAGCATTGGAATAAAATCATTGGTCCATGGAAATTGGCACGAATGAAGGCGATAACATGAAGGTGTGATGGCATCTTTCCTACACTAAAATCTCCACCAAGACGTGATGCGCCTGAGCGACTGGCATGCAGGGTAGGTCGCCGAGATCGGGGAGCGCGCAAGGCGATTCCGATACGCAGCCAGAAAGGACTGGCGTGGCTTCGCATGCGCCCTGGCGGGTCTCTCTGCATCCGCCATGAGCTGGCAAATTGTGCCCGTGATCGCCTCTGCCCACTCGCAGGTCTTCGTGACCATGCCCGAGAAGCCCGGCGCACACCTTGACCGAGGGATGATACTGCAGGGGATTTTGAAATGCACAAAGCACATCTCCCTGCTCTCCCACATCGGCATAGCCAGGCCACTCCCACATGCCCTCAACCTTCTGGTAGCCGCCCCCATCAGGTGGGTCGGCACAAGTGTCGATCGTACAGGCCGGCGGAGTCCACACCTCGAAGTTTTCGGCTGGCAAGAGGCACGTACACATACATACGCACAACCCCCAAGAAGCCGCACAAGCAAGTAAGTAACTAATCTAGGGCTTTCGTAAATAAAGTAATCCTGCAAAGAAGGTGCAGATTTCTACAGCGGGTGCAACAGCAAGTTATTGCTCGAAGACACCAAGCCATCTGTGGCTGTGTTGCCGTCCAGGCATGTTGCGACTGTGACGGTCCCGGCGAAGGGAACCTGCTCAGAGCAAATGATCTCGACATAACAAGACAATCTGCTGAATGTAGACAGATTCATCAGATTCCAAGACAAGAACAAGCCTGGCACCGCACCATACATGTAGATCCGGGCTGTACGCTGACACAGCCGTACATGTCATAACCTCGTTCAGTAACTGTCAGTAAGCCAGTCTACCACAACAAGCTGGGCGAACAGAACGATCAGAAAAATGCCTGATCTGCCCAAGGTCCAGGCGGCAGTCAGACTGCGGTGCTTGGCAAGGCACAAGCTGGGCACAGCCCTCCAGGACAGCCCTGACCTAAGGTCGTTTCGCAGCCTTTCTTTCGCTAGGCCGAAGGTTCCCACCTAGTGATGCTTTAGACCAAGGAGCCTCGCAGCTGTCTGTCATCTCACAGACCTGTCAATTGCCAAGGCCGGAGTGGAGGCCAACGTATTTCGTATTTCCAGACTATTTCCATCATGCTCTCTGCACGGCTCCCCACCTTCTGTGCGAAGCCGGTGTAGCTCTGGGCGCATTCCCAGTTGTCATTTACACCTTGGAGGCTTTCAAGTCTCAAGGCACTCAGATGCCAAGAACATGGAGCTTCCATAAGCTTTCATGGGCTTCCCTTGCCAAGCCGGGTGTCGTCTGAAGCCTGCAGGGATGGTCCCCGGTTCGTCGCAGGTCTCCAGGACACATGGAGGTCGTGTCCAGACCTTTGGAGGCTCCCATGTTTACATTGGCATGGCAAGTCAGGAGACGCGCAAAAAACGTGCAGCATGCCACATGTTCTAGAGCAGCACACACAGCATGACAGAGACCACGAACTCGAAATCCACGGCAATCACCAGAGCTGCTGTGCCCGCGCGACATTCCCCAATACACTTCACTATACATCTTGCTCAGAGATATGCTGATGGCATTTCGCAAGGAACGGGGTGTGGGCTGGTAGGTTACCTTTGGCATGGCTGGATGGCACGTCTGCATGCCACGAAAACCCATGTCACAGCGATTCCCCAAAGTGAGGAACCAGCTTTTTGTATGATTGGACCCCAACACGACTCATCTCTCCAGATTTGTGACACTCGCGAATGCCCGTGGACGCTTGCACAAACAAAGGAACAAGCACTTGCTGTGCATTCACGAAACGGCTCCGAAAAAGTGCAACCCATGCCAGAAACAACCCTTCTTGCTTCGCGGCCAAGCCGTTGGGATTCGTGTTCCCATGAGGGCAGTAGGCCTGCAGATGGTGCTGCGCAGTCTCACACATGAGAGAAATCTTCTGACATAGTATGATGCAAGCAGTCACTTGTGCAGCTGCGTGTGCTCCATTGTGCTGCAACAGCCAGCGTGCGACATGTCACGTACAGGGACCCCTATCTGCATGCTCCCGTTACTTCGTGCCGCCGGCAACTGCCGGCCACCATTTCCCTACACTGTCCATGACCGGCTGTCCTCGGTCTTGGCCCCGGTGAAAGGATTCTTGCAATGAACCTGCAGCGCCAAGGCAGAGCAAAGAACAACAGAAACAACACCCTTCAACAGCAGGTGCCTCGCACATCTCGCCGGGATCCACGGAGGTGCAAGCAGAGAAATCCTGCCACAGTTACAGTGACGGTCACCAGGAGACATGCCACAGAATCCGAAGCAGACATGTGCTCTCGAGGGCAATATCAGCCGGAGCGGCTAGTGCGCAAAACTCAGTTCCCGTAACCGTTGGAGCCAAGCAAGGGACGACAGGACTACAGCCAGTCAGAGCCTCAGGCACGAAAGCACCGCAAGATGTTCACACCCATCAGGCTGCGACCATGACAAACTCGCGAAGGTGAAAAGTGCCCCAAAACTGCCTAAGCCCCCCTTACAAGGCGAGAAAGTTCGCAGACGCAACTTCCCCAAGGCCCAGAGCGCGTGCCGGGCAACAGCCGCAGCAGAACAGTCCGAAGTCCACGTATCCTGAGTGAACGGGCTTTCAGGACGTTATGTTCATTACTGTTTTATTATTGTGGTTATTATTGTTACTAAGGTGAACAGAACCCCACATGTGAGGAGTAGACTGAGTAGGCTGCCACACAGCTTGGAAGAAATAACAAGTTGGCACGCATGTCAATCCAAGAATCGCTCAGCACGCACCGGTTACGGGCAGTTCCATTGTAGCCATTGGCACACGCCCACTTGCCCTCAGGGGTCTTATTGTAACCTCAGCCACTTCAAATGTAAACTGTTGAGGTCAACACGGTGCTGCTCTTCAGTATGGAATCGCCTCACTGCATTTCTCAGGTTGAGGCCCATGGGCCAAGGGGATGGGTCTGGACAGGACTCGAGAAGGCAGGTGAGAGGGAAATAGTCCAACTCTTGCAACGGATCGGTGTTGAGATCCTGGCGGAAGAACAAAGCGAACAAAGCCAGCGGATCCAACAGCATCCAACATGCAGGAAGAGGATTGATTCTGGGCCGTGGGTGCATATTCTAGACCGAGAGCACGCTCTTGACTTGACGCATTCGAATCGGTTCGAGGGCCTGTTTTGGGCACCATCATCCTGTGTGGCCACCGTTTCTGTTCAGTTCCATGCCTTGTAAGCATCAGCCCTGAGCCTGTCGCATGAAAGCCAGAGCCTACGAAAACAAGCGGGCATCATGCGAAGTCAAAAGTGTGAAAAACAGGATGCGGTTTTTGCAAGCGAAGCTTGCCACTTCGTTTTTACCTCCCAACTCGATTTGGGAGAGTCACTGCTACCATTGCCGAAGCGACCCTGCCGATGTTTGGGCCAAGTTCCTCAATCAGTGGCACCCCTCGTTTGTGGCTTGAGCAGTCCAACCACAGCTAGCCGTCTGCACCTGGTAGGGGCCCTTGTGCTTGCGGAAACCAGCCACCAGCAGTTTCTCACCACTCTAAAACCCAGTCGTCACGTGCATTCACGGCTTTACGGCCCCCATGAAAGCAAGAATCTAAGAAGCTCCACAGCTACGAGTAGCTGCTCCGAAACAGCACAACGGCTCCACCTTGCACACCGCCACTGTGTGGTTTCCAGTCAAGGGCCGCTGGCAATGAATCTGAGCGGGCAAAGCCACGGCCAGGTATTGTGCAAACTTTCTCTGGTTCACTGCGGAGCATGATTCTAGCAAAAGTCAACTGGCACAATGAGTCCTTTAAATTGCTGGATGCCTGCAATCCTACTAATCACTTCCCCCTCGTATTAAACGTACCCCTAATTACAAAGCACTTTCCGGAAAATCCTGACAAAACCGACCCCGCCTTTGAAAACGTATTCCGAATACCAACCAACATCCTGAAGCTCCCTTCCCTCCCTTCCCTCCCTTGCCTCCCTTCCCTCCCAGCCCTCCCTTCCCTCCCAGTCATTGCGCAGCTTACGCTGTCAGGGTTTAAGTCTTGACTTAAGCCCTCCAAACCCTGAAGCCTAGACCCTAAACCCTTTGGACCCCAAACATGAATTTGGATAAAAACATCCCCTAATATTAAATTATTAAAAGCACATTTCGAGTTTCTATTGGGGGGGCGGGGGGCCCCCGTTTAATAATGGGGGATGCGATTATGTCCGTATGTGCTTCATAAACGCTGCACGCAGCGGCTTTGGCTATGACAAACCCAAAAGCCCATCACAACTACTTGCAAGCGCCAGCTACGCGCCTCGCAGCTGCCTCCAGGTGGCACTTGCGTGCAGCGGGAGACGTCGAACCTGCATTGACGTTTTAGAGGGAGAGCTTGGGGTTCTGTGTGCGTAGGGCCTGGTCTGGAAGCGGAAACCAATACTATGTGCCACTTGCCCCACTTGCCCCGATTGCCCCACTTGCCCCACTTGCCCGACTGCCCCGCTTGCCCCACCACTCCCCCAAAATTGCCCCACTTGCCCACTTGCCGCGCTGACCCCCATTTGCCCCTCTGCTTGCCCCGCTTGCCCGGCTTGGCAAGTGGGGCAAGCGGGGCAAAAAAGACTAGTGGATGCTGCCGCTGACGCTCACAATGCCACAGCATGTCCACTCAACGCCGTCGATGCATCGGCCTACAGTTGTCAACGGAGGGCATCGCACACGGCAGCAGCTTGTCGCAGCCACGCAGAAAAGTCTGCACTCCCGCGCAACCTGCTCAGGGTCGGAACTTCCAGCAACGCACAGAACGTCACAGAACATCACAGAACCATACAGCTCTCTTAAAGCCCTCCGTCCCTTACAGTAGCACCTGGGAGCGGCTGGCAAACAATCTCCGGCATGCCGGCGAAGCCCTGAGTGCACCGCCAGATCCCAGCGCTGTCCTGACAGGCGGAGAGTCTCTGCTTGTTTTCCCAACATCTACGCACCTTCTCTCCTTTTCTTTTTTAAGCTTTGAGTGGTTCTTGGGAAACTTCGTTGTGCCTGCATGCGGACTGCGCTACCTCTCAGCAAAACTCCCGTAAGAGACTGCATGGTGTCCTTTGCATAGCCTTGCTGTGGCACTGGCTCTGGGCACGTGCAGACGGGTTCTTCCCATACCAGCATTCTGTTCCTTGGTCAAAGGCTTCTCCCTCAAGTCTGGTCAGATGCTTGCGGTTCTCAACATGGTTACTGCCCAAGGCTCGGTACACTGTTGCCGGCTGCGCACATGCCAGTGCTGGTGTTTCCAATTCGCACAAACGGCGCAGCGCAGTCTATCTCACAGGTCTGGCCGGGACCCACATTCATGCAGGAGGTGGTGTTGAACATGCACCTGGCAGCGCAGCGATAATGTGGTGAAAGCAAAGCTGCCTAGGGCCTAGGGGAGAGCGTGGTCACTCCTAACCGTCCTAAGCATTCACCAGCAACCGGGCCCCAGCCTCTTCATGGGATCATCGATTCTGACGGGTGCGCACGGCTGGCACATGGGCTTCCTCAGCACCAGGGGGCACAGACGGATGAATAACACGGACTTGAGGGGCAAGCCGAGGTCAATGAAAGCCAGCACTGAATATCGCGGGGCTGTTAAGATTCCTTCAAACTAACATGAATGAAATACAGTGATTCGTTACGCCCTACCCGACCCCACAGTGACTAATTCCGCCCTACCCGACCTCACCGTCACACTCACCAGCACACCGGCCCCACGCACTGTTGTTGGGGCTGAAAGCGAACACTCCCACCTCACCACGCCCACCCACACCACCACCACCACCACCACCACCACCACCACCACCACCGTACCACCGCACACCACACGCCACCACCACCGTACCACCGCACGCCACCCCACGCCACCCCACGCCACCCCACGCCACCCCACGCCACCCCACGCCACCCCACGCCACCCCACGCCACCCCACGCCACCCCACGCCACCCCACGCCACCCCCACGCCACCCCACGCCAACCCCACGCCACCCCACGCCACCCCACGCAAGCCCACACCACCACCACCACGCCGCCACATGCTCACTCCTCCTGCTCCTCCTGCTCCCTCCTCCTCCTGCTCCTCCTCCCTCCCTCCTGCTCCTCCTCCTCCTGCTCCTCCCTCCTGCTCCTCCTCCTCCTCCTGCTCCTCCTCCTGCTCCCTCCTCCTCCTCCTCCTCCTCCTCCTCCTCCTCCTCCTCCTCCTCCTCCTCCTCCTCCTCCTCCTCCTCCTCCTCCTCCTCCTCCTGCTCCTCCTGCTGCTGCTGCTGCTGCTGCCGCCGCCGCTGCTGCTGTTGTTCTTGTTGTTGCTTGCAGCTGGAATCCATATTGCTCTGTTCACGGTTGAACCCCCACCCCCGAAATCCATATTAATCTGTTCGCTATCGGAGGGTCGGAGAGAGGCTCTCTTGACAACATTAACATTGACCCCGCTCCCTCCCTCCCCCCGCCCATCCTATGAGACCAGTAGAATCAAAAGCCCGCAGCTTTCCGGACATTGTCCGACCCTACCTGCTTAAGCAAGACCAAACTCAAACCTGGCTCCGCTAGCTGTGTCTTTTGGAAACTTGTTTCCACCGTGGTGCTGATCAGCAAAGCTCACCGCCGGCTTCGCTGCGCAGATCACAGGTCCCGTCTGCCTGAGAGCGGATTGTGCCGAGATGGCCGAAATGGGCATGCAACTGACACTAAAACAGGACTGCCAAAGCCTTGCCCCAAGGCTCCGGCGTGGTAGTGCTAGTCTGGTTGTCGTCCTTCCAGCTGCTGACAGAGACATGATATCTCTAGACATATCTCGACATCGCATGTCACGCCTGCACCTGATCCTGGCATGGAACCACGGACAGCTGATGTAGGCTACGCCCAGCGCCATTCATGAAATGTAGACTGCGAATGTTGCGGCTCCAGCTTGCCTGCTGCAACCAGCGGCCATGGCCGGGACTACGCAGGTGCTCAGAACCTCCCGCGTCAGTCTAAAGTAGGGCCGCGATCAATGAGTTGAACGAGGCGAAGACTCCGCTTGCGCACGCGTGACTGCGTGTTACTGGCTCTAGTACTCAGGGTCTAGAGGACCTGCAAAGGCAGGGAGGGGTGACGGTCAATGAAGCTTGGCTGTTGCGGGTTTTTTCTGGTTTGGGCTTTACCGCCCCGATGTGGCCAAACATGGCTGGGATTCATGTCTTGGGATTGAGGGCCTGCCTGGGGTTTGCGCTGCCCGTCTCGCGTTCATTGGGGGTTTACGAACATAAGGGACCCGAATATAAACCCCCAAATAGTATAGGATTCCCTTATCATAAGGACCCCTAGAAGATACCCCTGTACTTTCGGAAACCCTATCATATGCATGTTCCCTTCATGAGCCCCGCGCCAGCCGCAGCCAGCGGCACACGCAGCAAGAGCAGCCAGGCCAGGAGCTGCGACCTCTTTCTGATTGCAAGGCTTTGTAAAAGAGACCACCTTGAGAAATGGCGACTTCTCTCTAAACTGTGGTCCCTTCTTTGGGGGGGGGGATACCACTATAAGGCGGCCTCGAGTATGTAGGGTACCTTCACCAAAAGGGACCCCAACTTCGAGAACGACCTACGCATGGGAAGCGAGGCAGGGGCCCTGCACGTGGAGCGCGCCGCACCGAGCACATGGAAGTGCTACGTGGCAACTGCCGCTTCTCAAGGCTTCTTGCAGGAGTGAGCTGAAAAGTTGCAAGGGGGTTCCTCGGGTTTGCGTCTCCTGCTGGCTACTGCTGGGTGCCCGGAGCTAGGGGAGGCCTAGGCTCAAAGGTCGTGCTGGGGTGAGTGCCTCCGCATGTGCTTCTGTACTCCACATACCTAGAAACTACTTTGGTGCTTGACAGCGGCAAGAAGAAAGAGAGTAACAAAGAGCCAAGAAGAAGTCAGGCTCACTCTTTGATTCACTCCCGATCATGATCCTTGTTGCAACACGCGATGGTGTCACGGGTCGCTCTTCGCCTACTTAGCTTGCTTTGGCGCCTACTGCCGGACCGCTTTTCAGGGTCACCACAAGAGGGCCATCACTGCCCCACACATAATCAGCAGGCTCGCCTTGGATGGGTTCACAGCTGCATGTCTGATGCAAGAAAACCGAACTTGCGGGTGCACCCATGTTCGTTCCTGAGTCCTGCGCGCCAGCAGACGACGTGCTACTCCTGACCACACAGACCCACGCAGAGGGCGCTCCCACTGCCGGAAGCTGTATCATGTCGTAGCATCATGCCAATTGCCGGCTGAGCAACCCATGTGGCATCGAATCTAGATCATGCACTTTGTTCTCGGACATGTGAGAGAAGGATGCATCTGGCATAAGAAGACTTAGTTCTGAAGCAGCCTGCCTTTGGTGCGCGTAGCGGTCTCGTAGAGGTTCCCTGCTTGTCTCACTCTTTGGAAAGATCATCAACTCCTGGTGCAGAAGACTTGAATGAATCTCCGGGTGCACCCTTGCTAAGCCTGCTAAGCTTCCTCTAAGCACATTCTGGCAGAAATTGGCCGCACATGCTCACCTGTGGAAACTCCATGCCCTCCGAGGACTCGTGAGCTTCCCCTCCCACACGAATGACCTGGTCGGTCGCTGGAACATGTGGCACATCTTTCACAAACGGATGCTCAAGATTGTCAATGCAACTTTCCCATCCCCCGCCCCTTCCCCCTTGCCCTCTGTGCTCTACAGTACCGGTACCCCGAGCAGCCCTGAGCACTGAGTACCCCCGCCACGTAGGTGGAGGAGGTGCTAGCGGCAAATCGCAGATCATCCTGCACTGGGTGACTGTAAGGAGTTTGAGGGTAGTAAGGTCAGCTTAAGCATGAGATCATGCCTTCGGAAGTCCGCACGAAGATGGCTGAGCTCCCATGCAGCACTTCGCTCATGGCTCCTTGGTCGCATCCTCGCTGCGCAACCAGAGCCGGTAGCTGCCAGGACTGACCTCGGCAGCTCAAACGAAAAACAAGCGTGGGGTCCGCCTTTGACAAACGTGGAGTTGAAGTGCCTGGCAGAAACAACTGAGTCATACCACAGCTGCTCGCCACCGCCTCGGTTCCCGTTAGTTGGAACAACGTCAAGTGCCGAGACAAGCCGCCCATGAGAGTCAGACCTGCGTTCACCTCCATGTCCCGACCGATTCGCACTTCGGACTTCTCAGGGCCCTGGCAGCACGGACGCGCTGACATGCCCGCAAAAACTGGCTGCAGATGGAAGTGAGAAGTCACAGCCCAGCCCTTGCATAGCGCAGGGGAGGGCAGGAGGCTAGGGTAGTCCATGACAGGGTGTGACAGGGTAGCGTCAGATAGGGCAGCGTGCAAGCGCGGCAGTCTGGCATCGTAAGTGTCCAACACGGCCTCAGCGACACGGAGGCATCGGGTCTGTGCCACCTTGTGCCACGAAGGCGAGCTATGGTGGGGTGCTGAGACCCCGACAACAGGGACAGACTCGTTCTGTACAGGCTCGAATGCATGGGAACGAAATTGAAGATCCAGGGAGTTTTTGCCCTGGCCTGCAGACGCTCGGGCATCTCTTTGGAGCATTCTCCCCAACAGTGAGACTCAATAAACTCTGAGACTCAAACGAAAACAGACCAGGAGCAGAAGCGATGCCGACTTCGGAAGGTCCTTGGCTCTGGAGATGCTGGCAATATGAGGCTGTTCATGGATCTTCTGACAATGATTAGATTCATCAGCTTCGGGAAGCCAATGGACGACAAGAAGCCGAGAGTTGGAAGGTGTTGCTTGGGCCATTCCGCAATCCAATGTGCAGCCTCTCACCTGCCTTGCACCCACCGGGCATCCGCAAGGCAGCACTATGACAAGCGCTGCTACATTTACTGTTGACAGTTCTTGCTTTGCCTGAAATACTGCAGCCTTGAAAACTCTACTTTCAAACGTGCATGCGGACAGACAGCCAGACAGACTGGAGAGCCCGATGAAGCATCGAGACGACTCATCAGAACAGCTCCCCGGGCGCCTTCATTGCGCTCGACAGGGGCACGTCCCGACATGCCTTGTACGATAAAGGCCTCGGTGCGAGCATCCTTTGCGACTGAAAGAGTCCTTCGGAGGCATGAAAGGATCCGGGTTGTCATGCCGGGTGTCCCCGCTCGTCGCCAGTCAGGATAGTCTCCCTCCAGGCCACGGACAGGGGCTCGCTGGATGGGAAGGCGTTGCAGACCCTCAGCCTGGGCCGTACATGGCCGTAGTTTGGCGAGGCGGGTTCTGCCAGTACTCGGGCGCGTGCTGCGGCATCTGGTTCCGAGGCGCAGCCTCACGGAGCACAACTTGTGAATGCCAGTGCTGTGAACTCTTGTGTACCGACCTGCCTGCTGTTGCTAGAGGCTCGAGACAATATAGACAATGTGGAACTTCATCCACCGTCTCGACTTCTCTCGACTTGTTGCGGCAAAGATCCGCAGCCAGAGCTCAGAGCTCAGAGCTCTAAGGAACCACATGTTTTACTTCGATCATCCCCACACCCTACAACGAACCGTATCCGCTGAGGGAGCCATCCTGCCGGTTTTTTGGATAGTCAAGGATACTGCAATACCTTGGTGCAGGATCCTGTCACGGTTGCTTTCCCAGAGACAGGCACTCTAAGGGCCTCTAGGGTACTTTGCGGGATAGGACACCGCCGGGATTGAACCAGGGGACTGTCTGGGTGTGGGCACCCCATACTCGCCGGGACTTTTTGTGGATGGGCACTCTAAGGAGACTCAGCAGGATGGCAAATCGGACGAGGAGCACGGGCGAGGAGAACGGCTGACACAAAATCCGACAACCCCCAACCCCCACACCCAGGTTGGGCAACAACCACTTCTTCTGCAAACCCCACCGACGATATACCACTACAGGTGGCAAAGCGCTGCGAAAATGGCCGCCTGTGGAAACTGAAGGATGTAGGAATGATATTAGCCAAGCATCTGCACACCTACGTGACGACTTGATGATGAGCTTCTATCGGAATCGTACGCTCAAGGTGGCAAGAGAGGGATGCACAGCCTACGTTCACTGTTCATCGTGCAAAATGCAGCTGGGCTCACTCACAACGCTTGCAGCTCAATCCATCTGCAAGCTGAACTGTGCTGGTGGCAAACCACGTTGCTCAGAACTATGGCCACGCGAACGCGGACACACACACACACACACACACACACACACACACACACACACACACACACACACACACACACACACACACACACACACACACACACACACACAGAGACATGGTAAGAGAAAGTTCGCCTCGGCTTCCTGCCGACGTCTGGAACAAGCAGACCCGGATCGGGCCTCCTTCCCCCTAACCCAACCCTTCCCCATGCCAAATTTTCTGACGCCACCCCCCCCCCCCCCCGCCCTGTGGAACCCCCCAATCCCTTGGAGGAGCTGCAAACCGATGCCGTGGAGGGTCCCGCTTGTCGGTGGCTCCGACAGGGGGAGTGCCTCAAAAACTCCCCGCACCCCCTCCCCACCCCCCCCACCCCCCCCCCCCCCCCCCACCCCCCCCCCACCCCCCACCCCCCCCCCACCCCCCCCCCCCACCCCTCACCCCCCCCCCCCCCCCCCCCCCCCCAACCGCTCTGCCCTTCCTCCCTCTTTCCTCCTTCCTGTCCTGGGGCCGGCCTTCAGGAAAAGCTCCACTAATGCAGGGTGCCTCGAAAGCTTTGCGCGGGGTCGCAGGCGAGAGCTGCATCGCCTGCCTGCACAACGGAAAACTCTGAACCACTGAACAACCGCCCGCTGTACTCTGAAAAAGATTTGCGCGACAGCCAAGCCGCGCGGAGGCACCCGCCGAAACACGAAAAAGACCCTCATCCCCCCCTTCGAACTCTTCGGTGTTCGACGAAGCTTCTCCCTGAAAGCCAGGCGTGCCTGCCCGACTGCCCGAGAACAATGGAAAAATAGACTCAAAAAATAGACTCATAGAATCATGTGGTTTTGAACATGTAATCATATGGCAAAGTATGGGTTGGACAGTATATTCGTAAACGAATGTATGAATACAATCCTATAAAGCAACGCAAGGTACGACAATACAAAGATAAGACAAAATGACAATATAACAATATAACAACATGACAGTATACCAATATAGCAATATAACGATATGAAGATATAACAATAAAACAATAACACAATAAAACAATAACACAAATAAAACAATAAAACAATAAAACAATAAAACAATAAAACAATAAAACAATAAAACAATAAAACAATAAAACAATAAAACAATAAAACAATAAAACAATAAAACAATAAAACAATAAAACAGTAAAACCATGAAACCATAAAACCATAAAACCATATAACCATATAACAATATAACAATATAACAATATAACAGTATAACAATATAACAATATAACAATATAACAATATAACAATATAACAATATAAAAATATAACAATATAACAATATAACAATACAACAATACAACAATACAACAATATAACAATATAACAATATAACAATATAACAATATAACAGTATAACAATATAACGATACAACGATATAACAATATAGCAATATCACAATAAAGCATTATAACACTACAACAATACAACAATACAACAATACAACAATACAACAATAGAACAATAGAACAATAGAACAATGCAACAATATGACAATATAACAATATAACAATGACACAAGATTGCAATACAGCAATGTAACAATACAACAATAGAACAATATAACAATATAACAGTACAACAATATGACAATATTCAAAGACAACAGCATAAAACTATAACCATGTAATCGAATAACAATACAACGGTATAAAGATATATACATACAACAATATAGCAGTGTAGTACTACACTACTGTAATGTTGTAATATAACCGTATAACAAGACAACAACATATTGCTAATCTAACAAAAAGACAACAGAACACTGGACCAATAGAACACTACACAAAACATAGCAATATCGCTCTCTAGCAGCATAGCACTATAGACATATAGCAATGTAATAAAATCCAAAATGACAATACAACAATATAAGAGGCAAGAAGATAAGAAGATAAGCGTGGAAGAAGAGCAAAGATAGAATACATGTTGGCAAGAAGATCATAACACTGCTTATATCGAAATATGCTAGAACCATAACCTAATAACATCATGACCTAAGAATGTTGCACTACAACATGCAACAGCCAAAAAGATATAGCAGAATACTGGAAAATGCAGATTCGGGAAACCGCGGGTTCGAGAAGCACACCGGTGACACGAACGCTATCATCCACCCCCCCCCCCCACCGCTTCTAGAGCCGCACTTTCATGAATCGCCAAAGTTTCCTGAACTCTGGTTTGCTGAACAGGAATTGCGGTCGAATCCTGCCTGTGGCCTAGCACGAAGTGAAATTCAAAATTCCGACTCGTGCCAGTTCCCGCTCGAATGCTTCGAAATGGTGCATGTCCCTGTGTACTGAAAAAGCACCTAAGAGCTTCTCCCGCACTGACCTTGCCACATTCCTGCCCTGCACAGTCCCGGGGCTCCACACGCTGGGGCCAGCAGCGCGGCCAGCAGCGCGAGGCCGCCAAGGCGCTGAGAAAGAGATGGGCAGCTCTTTGTGAGAGGCCGGTTGGATGTCACATGAAGGTACACTTGGCAGAGTGCCTGCTGAAAAGCGATCATGATCGCAGGAATCAGCAGAGCACTGGCCTCAGATACAGAACGATGCACTGTTTTCTACCAGATTCTATCACTGCTGCGACAGCATCGCTATACTCGCAAGCCTCGAGTGAAGGTGTTCACCCCTGGGAGTGCACGTGAGGAGCACGCGCGAGCGGAGCGCGCGCTGCTCTTCAAGCTTGGCAGCAGATCCTGAACAAAAGACGCTATGCCTCCAGATTGCAAGCTCTCTTCCCGGGGTGCCGCCTTCTCCGGTTCGGGATATGTAATCAGCTCCTGCAAGGCATCTGACAGGACATGAGAATTTAACTTCTGCTTCTTCTTGGTGTCAAACTTCATGTTGCCCATTTTCTGATGCCCGACATCCAGGTGCGTAAGAGCCGCGTTCCAAGCCAGGCTTTACAGTAGGCCCTTCAGGCCGAGTATTGAAGACCCGCATCAGTAGCGGGAGGAGCTCGACAGATTCTGCTGAGTTTCGAAACACTCCTCTGCACTGGTTAAAATCACATCCAACGTGGCAAGTCAGAGCCTGATCGAAGTGATGACGAAGCCTGCTCCATAGCAAGGGGTTGTTGACTCTGCACTTGTGCCCACGCTGTCAACAAGCAATGCCAAAGTGCATTGCTTCAGGCAAATTATCGAGGAAATGAGAACTGGTGCACCAGATTCCTGGCTCCAGCAATGCGCCGGTGCTCTGCTTGAGCAAAAGAACAATGACATAGAACGCCTTTGGTACGGGGACTTCAACTTCTACCTTCCAGCGTTGGCCACCGGTCTCACTGCATCTTCTCGCTCGAAAATCAGGGAACCGGGATTTCATCGCCCAAGGTCGGACAAAGCGATGCTCTCTCCTACTTCACTGCAATATTGGTAGCTTGATACCTGCACGTATTCGTCCGAGCCTGGGAATACCTCCCCAAATAAGCGAAGAAACAGTGCAGCGGACGGGCAGCCATACGCGGTCTTCAAGGCATTTCAGACAATACGTCTCAAGCTGTGCAGGCCCTTGGTGAAAGCTCGAAAAGTGTCCCAGATCCACCTCCCTAGTGCCAAAAAATCAACCCTCAGCGAGTAGGACCCGTATTCCTGGAGAATCACCCCTGGCCTGCTTCGGCAAGACTTTAAACTACTATTAACCGACCAGAAGGCTGGCAAGTCAATAAACAAGGACTCAGTCATGCAATCAAGTGTGCTTGGTGCTAGAACAGGCTCGGTGTTCACCTGGACATGTGCGAATCACAAGCATGGACAGAAGCGCATCGCGATTTAGAATCGGTCCCGCACTCCAGTTCAACTGTTGGTGCCTGCCAAGCGTCGTCGTGCTCACCCTCAACAATCTGACAAGTCCTGGTAAAACAGGTACATAGCTGGGCTCGTGCTCTGCCCGAAAGGGCACGAAAATTCAGGGCTAAAGAGCCTGCCATACTAAAGCCCATCCTCCTCCATGAAGGGAAAGCTCATGGAAGCCGAAAGCTCCTGACCAGCTTACTAACATCGCCACTACCAGTCAAAAGCGCCGCAGCGTCCAGCACTGACGTTTGGGCAGGTGATTTCAGCCGGCCAGAGCATATTGAGGCATGTTGAGGCAATGCATGGCAATAGGAGGGTTGCAACAAGATCACAAGTCCGGTCCTCTTGCACTGCTTCGCTTGTTGACTTTGGCGGCGTTGCCTCCTTCATCACACCTGGCAGATCGATCTGGCCTTCGATCTCGTCTGCGTCAAGGTCGCTTTCTTCGTTCAAGACTATGGCCGCAAGGCATTCGGCAAACTCGTCGCTGCGCAGGCAATAGGTCATCTTGCGACGTTCTTCTTTCGAGGGGGACCTTGATTTGCCCTCGCGATGTCCAGCTTTCCCCGGGTCTCTGCGCATGTCCTTGGTCAGTCGGCTGGCACGGATGGCTGCATGTCTGAGCACGGCTTCTGGTGAGAAGCTGACATGATGGAATTACACTTCCACGCTACAATGTGTGGATAAGCCAAGATCGGCAACTACTTCGCATGACAGCCTCCTTTGAACATGCAACACTAAAAGCTTCCATCAGCATGTAGCTTGATCTCTTGTACCAACATGCCAACATCACGAAAGGTTCTGCAGCTCCCGCGTTTGCGATGCGGTCTCGGTCTGCTGTAACACCTCGGGACAGGGTTGACTTGCAAAGCTCAAACTGAAAGGCTCTGCTCTCAGTCAAAGGCCTTCCGAAAGAATGATGGCGTCCAGCTTTTCAACGTGTTGCGGTCTCTTCGGCTTCATGACGAGGCGCCGCAAGAACATCCAAGTCTGCAGAAGTAGTGATCAACAGCCCAAGTGGACATCACTCAAGAAACATCCACAAGACTGCAAGAGACAACAGAGAGCAATTTGAAGCGACGGCTTGCCTTCCTGAGATCATATGGCTGCGAGAATGACCCCATGGCTTCGGAACCCCGCACAGCAGGCCGAAGCTGTAAGCCGCGGCAGGACAAGTAGATTAACAATGTGATGACATATTCACAGGTCAAAAACTCACATTTCAATATGTGAACATATTGTAGGTGAGACTGTAAATATAGTAGTATGTTAAGCTACTGATAGACAGACATTTTGGAATATTGATATATTGGTATGTTGATATGTTCATATATTGACACATTGATACATTGACTCATTGATACACGGATACATTGTTATATTGATAAACTGATATATTGATATAATGGTATATTGGTATATTGATATATTGATATATACTGATACATTGATATATGAATATATCAACATATATATATATGTATATTGATATATTGATATATTGATATATTGATATATTGATATATTGAGATATTGATATATTGATATATTGATATATTGATATATTGATATATTGATATATTGATATATTGATATATTGATATATTTATATATTGATATATTTATATATTGATATATTGATACAGTGAGTGATACATAGATATACTGATGTACGTATGCAATGATTATTGATCTATTGATGATATGGTGATGATATCTTGATGATGTATTGATGATATACTGATGATATATTGATGATATATTGATGATATATTGATGATATATTGATGATATATTGATGATATATTGATGATATATTGATGATATGATATTGATGATATATTGATGATATCATTACATTGATGACATACTGATTTGATTGGGCGACGTCCCTTAGCACGACCTGACATGCCGAACAGAACAGATACATTGATATTTGATATATTGATGTACCCACAGCAAGGTTGGCAAGGAGCGCGTGACCGAGCAGCAGTGTGTCAAGCAGCCGTTCAACTTCAGCCAGCACCAACACATCACACAGGCACATCCAGAGCTAGCACATCCAATGGCATCTCCAAGGAACACCGGCAACACTCAACATCATGCTCATCCAGCTCCAGCGTGTGGTGCTTGTGAATTTGTTGCCCGCTTTGGAGTTGGGCGTGGAAGCTGCCGGTCTATGTGCATGTGAAGTGCTACTGGTCATGGACGTGCGCTTCGATCTTGTGATGCTGGAGGCGGTGCTTGTGGGTGTGTTGCTGGCTGTGGACGCGTTTGCGCCGGACTTGCTGTTGGTGCTGGTTTCTGCCATTTTGGGCATCTGACCATATTGCAGGTGGCGTAGCAACCGTTGTGAAGCACTGTCAGCTTGCAGTCCGTCTCCTTGCAAGCATTGAGCATCAACAAGATTGTCCGGCATTCTTCGAAGTTCCAAATCTTATTCGCATAACTTCCGTATAGCATATCATGAACCCTTCTTCTACATCAGCCTTCTCTTACTCTCCATTGACTTGTTCCTGTACACGAGCAAGCCCAAAGCTGATGGGATCCATGTGTGTTTGTGTACATGGGGTCCACACCTTTCTGTCACGCAGGTCATCAGCAGGGGACCAGGAGGAGGGGAGGGCATCCCAGTCAACGACAACCTGCCTCCCCAAGCCCGTGTAAGCTTGCCTGCGGTTGATGTGAGTCGCCTCTGGGCACCGTCGTGTGCAGCTGAAGACCACTCACCATTCGGGGCTGATGGGGAGCACTGGACCCAATCCTCACCTCAACCAACGTTCATTCGCATCTTCACCCTCATCATCATCAGCAGCAGCACCGCTTCCCTCATCTCCATACAACAACAACGTCTTGCATCGCTGGTGCATCTGAAAACTCATGACTGGTCACACACTGCGAGCTATTGCGACAATGCAGGACAGCCGTCGGACTGGCCTTTTCATTGCTTTATTTGGAAACTGTTTGGCCCGAGGTTTCTCTGCACCGCACGCCGCCTGTTCATGGCGAAGTCCAGAACGCCGCGGACAGCATAGCCGTAGTGGCTGTGCATTGCTGAAGCAGTTTGCTTTGTGAGCAGCCGGTGCTTCTAGCATCTGCAGCTGCATCCATGTCACAAGCAACCCAGTCATAAATATCGCCCAAGGGAAAAGAGTTATTGGGCGAGCAGCCTGTGCCCTTTCAAGCTACGCCAAACACCGTGGACACCCATGGCGTGTCCCACATTACACCACATGACGCAAACGGATCAGGATGCGACTCCAAAGTCGCACAGGCACTACCCATTGTACTACCCGGTACTACCCTGGCTTCATCAGCTCTTGGAGAGATGCATCCCTGATCCGACAAACAGGATGCCGAATGTCCAAAAGGCAAATCGCATAGGGATTTTGTACCAAGGACAGTTGGCACTGTCTGATGCGGTGGGAACAAAAAGCAGAACTTTGGAAACAAAGCTAAACTTTGAGAACGGGGGCCACGAAAGCTGGACGGCTCGCTAGTGTCTTCGCGCATGCAGGCTATAGGGTTGAAGGTTACAGCATTGGTGCCCAAAGGGGACCTCAGGCTCGTCGGGCTGATGTCAAAAAGCAACGCCGCTGCCCACGTTTTGAATGCTGCGAAAGCAAGTTGAATACTGTGACATGTCAGGGTAAAGGCTCCCCTGCCTTAGCATCAACTAGCATGTGCCTAGGGCGGGAGGGGGAGTTGAGAGCTTTGTGCACTTTCTGTACTTAGCTCCAAGGAGAGCAGATGCTTTCGTGGCAGTGCTTGGTAAACAAGTTTCGGCAAATCAAAGCAACGCAATGCCGGTCGAAACACACGCAATCCGTTGCGTCTCAACAGCTCCAAATGAGCCATTGTATGACGCTCTCCAGAGCGTATGCCAGCATGCCAGCCTCTTTGCATAACTGTAGCTTTGCAAAAAATAGGAAAGCGAAAATGCCTGGCTCAGAGGAGTCTTCAGCCTTCTCCACGCAACAGCATCAAGGCTCTTTACTTGACAACACACCCTATCGCCGGCCATCCTCCACACCTCGGATCTAAGGCTCAGGCATGACTTACGTGACCCATGCCACGTACCACGTCGCGGTGAGTGGAGCCTTTGTCGTCCACCCTCCATGAAATACCCCTTGCGCAGACATGACTATGGGCTTCGCATGGCCACGGCACTCTTCATCCAGGACTGCAACAGTAACTTTCAAGCCGAAGCCGAGGAGCTTCCACGACGCGTTGCAGTCAGCTTCTCAGGCGCTCGACATCGCATCCCAAGCAGCGATGTGCAGCGCCCGATGTCGCAGTGCTTCAAACTCGTGCTCTTCCAGGCAGTTGACCCGTTTGATCAGGCATTCTTGGAACTCTCTGGTCGGGTCCTGAATGTTGGAAAATCGGCAACAACGGCCAATTATGGCCAAGCGTCCGACAGGTGAACCCGTCATGTGATGCCCTGCCTCATCTTCCTCCGGGCCACCTCGTGGCTTCACACAGATGTGTATTTCCTAAAACATTGGTACGAGGGGTACCCCTTTTATACCCCAAATAGATAAGAATCCCCTTTAAGGGACCAAAAAGGGTACCCCACCTACTTTCGGATCTCTAACACGAAACTGGACTCGCGCTTCCGGCTTTCGACCTTCGACAGATTTCTACTGGGTTTAGGGTTTAGGGTTTAGGGTTTAGGGTTTAGGGTTTGGGGTTTGGGGTTTGGGGTTTGGGGTTTGGGGTTTGGGGTTTGGGGTTTAGGGTTTATTGACACCTGGAAGATGGAGGCATCCCTCGAAGACATCGTCCGTCGATGCTGTGTGCTCCAGGCCCCTTGATCGTGAGGAGTCCTTGGCTTGCCCCGAAACTTTTGCAAGGTGGGGGGGGGGGCGTGTACGAAGAGAAGGGAATTCTAGGATCCCCTTACAGAAACGGGTGCCCCGAATAAGGTATCCCCAACTATCGCAGACCCCTATAGGTGGACCGGCGTGCCCTACCGGCACTTGCGCACAAGTGCAGTCGCTGTGTGCCCCAATCTCTGAGGTCATCACCTTCAGCAGCTGCGCCAGGCAGATGGCGGAAGTTGAAGCATCGTCATCAACATCTGCAGACGCAAATAAGAGGAAGAGCTCGAAGAAACACATGCATGTGACTCTTTCTTTGCATGCATCACCAATCCACTCCCCGAGGCAAACCTTCCCTCTTTATCGCAGTTTGCCTCCTCTCATTTTTCCAGAAAAGGATACAGGGATGACGAACCCGTCTCTCTTCCTTCTTCCGTCCCGCGGACAATAGGAACAAGCGAAACCGCTTGGCCCATGCAAGGCCACAACAAACCACCGCGCAGGAGCCTCCGATGCCCTGGCCACATCAGGTGCAGCGTCCGGGTTTTGTTGCCTTTCTTGCGCTTAGATCCTCAACAGTGCGATCAAGCGCTTGGGATCCTTTTGGGAGCCAAAGTGGACCTCAGAACCGGCGGCTGCTGCGCGTTTTGGCAGTTTTGGTTGGCCCTGCCGCGGCTGCCCTTCAAGCCGATGCCTCTGCGTAGGCGCTGTGCCACGCCATGAACATCCATGAACCACTGAACGTTCTTCAGCATGTACGTTCGCACAGTCAGTTTTCCAATTCCCTGAAATTACAGGCTTTCAAGTCTGGACTTTCTGGACTTGCCAATTGCAATGCGCAGGGGCGGGAACCAAGGTCAGGGTGCTTGCTCACCTGCCTTGGCGACAAGGGTTGGTGGTTTCTGACTCAGCGTGGCCCTCTTCAAGTATTTGTGGGGAGCTCGGACGTGGTGCAGGATGTTTACAAGCTCCGCAAGGTCTTCCGTGTGAAAGTCCGCAGCCAACTGCCCCCCATTAAGAGCCTGCATCTGCAGATCGCAAAGAAAGGAGGTGGGCGACCGCATTGCGTGAGGCACTTTTAGTTGCCCCTGGTTGCCGACTTCTTTGCTCAGCAGCCGGATCCCACTTTGTGGAATTGCCTCTTGAGCATCAGCATGCTCATGATTCCGTTGCATCCCACTTCTGCGTGCTCTGCATACTCCTCCGCCATTTCCCACTGCTCTGTGCTCAATGTGGTACAAAATGGTACAAGCACTTCTTCCCCTCCCACCCTTAATTAATCTGGAACTCCCGGTGTGCTTGTGGTCTCTCTGGCGCCCATGTGCTGGGGCTGGCGACAGGAGCCAAAAAGAATCTGGGAGCCTTGTCTTGGGAGTTTTCGTAGTAAATTGAAAATAAAATCGCACGTCCATTAAAATAGCCCGTTAATAAGATTGTATTGTATGCTGCAAAAGACCCACTAAAACTACTGTATTTCGCTGGGTCTTTTAGCGAGCACCAAGACGCAGCTTATGATGGAGGAATTTGCCAGTAGTAGTCTCTTCGCTATTGTTCACTTGTTCGGAAGTCCCATTTGAGGTTTGACGGGCAGTCGTCTTTCTCCTCCTCCTTTTCTTCTTCTTCTTCTTCTTCTTCTTCTTCTTCTTCTTCTTCTTCTTCTTCTTCTTCTCCTTCTCCTTCTCCTTCTCCTTCTCCTTCTCCTTCTCCTTCTCCTTCTCCTTCTCCTCTTTGTCGCCGGCCCAGCCGTTCCCTCCCTCTCTCTCTCTGCCTATCGCTGCTGCTCGCCGCGCCTTCCCATGCCCCAGCAGGTACTGGAGCAACATTGGTGAACGGTCGCGGACAGCTCTGAGGCTTCTTGGTGTTCATTCTCATGGCGGAGAGACCCTGGAAAAAGGCGGACAGAAAGGACAACGTCTCAGAATCACAGGAAGCGACCACGTGACTACACTCGTGACTAGGGCCCAAGGCTGCCTAGCTTGGAAGCTTCTGGGGATCCGTTCTGCTGCCTCCCTCTAAGCATGTTGGCCACCGCCGGTCCTTCTGCATTGCCGCGCGCAAGGCACTGATCTTCATGGCTCGGCCAAGTCCACTGCCAAGGTACCAGAACCCCCCGTTGGAGTTCGAGACTCTACGGGCTGAAACTGTCCGGCTGCGCAGAACAGGGCCCGTGAGGTCTCGTGGACACTGCTGCCACAAAAAGCAGGTTCAAGCAATCGTGTTCAGGCAATGTTCGCTCAAGAGAAGATGTGTAGGTCCTGCTGGAAACTGGGCCCGCGCTGGGCCTGGATGCCAGAGCGCAGCACCTACGACGGTTCGACATGCCTAACTTGCCTTCCACACATGTCGATAACGTTGCTTTGAGACAAGCACCACGTACTTGTCCCCTTTGCGCGCTCGCACCTGACACGAGGAGGGTCTTCGCAGATGATGAACAACGAACTGAAGCTTCAGGAGGGTCAGGAGATTCCGGCATAGTGACTTGGTCCTGGGCCGGGACCACATCCTGCAGGGTCAAGAGACTAGGGAAACTTTGCTGCATCCACCACGGGCGCCTGAGTCACGTTTGCATCATTCTGGAGGCGAATGGTGTAGTCCCCTGGGTTCAAGGAGATGACCTGAGCAGCATACGAAGCTACCGGAGATCAACGGCTCCAAAGGCACATGCAAACATGCTAAATCGAAACTCCACCAGTCACGCTCCGCAATCAGGAGTCACAGCACGAGAAGAATACGTCACTGAGCTGCTGCACTCTGCCAAACCGAAGCGTCTCCGACAAGTTTCCAGCGTAGATTATCGGCCTGCCAAGCACATCAACAGAAGGAGCTCATTGAAGAAGGTGATTGAACGGTCATCTGCAATACTCCCAAAAATCCCAACAATGGCCAAAATTGTGTTGCCGAGGCAATGTCAAATGACAGGCCGCATGTCTCGGCATCTGGCGTGAAAGTTCATACATTTCGGGGGGAGCGATGCTGTTCTGTGTTTCTGCTGTACTTTGCGATAGCGGAAACTTGCGACTATCGCTCACTGTTGCTTTGTTGGTCCTATGTTGCGGTTTGTCCCCATTATTGCTGCTATATTTGTCCCAGCGCAAATGCTCACCAGGCGCCCATGCACAGATCCACAGGCGAGGGAAGTGAGTTCATTCAGTCCAAAGACTAGCGTCGTCCACTTCCAGAACACGGTCAATCAAAACCAAGGAAGCACATTATGTACACGAAGGAGGCGCAGTAGTAGTAGTAGTAGTAGCAGTAGTAGTAGTAGTAGTAGTAGTAGTAGTAGTAGTAGTAGTAGTAGTAGTAGTAGTAGTAGTAGTAGTAGTAGTAGTAGTAGTAGTAGTAGTAGTCGTGTCGTAATAATCGTAGTAGTCGTAGTAGGTCGTCGTAGTAGTAGTAGTAGCAGCAGAAGGAGTAGCAGTAGCAGTAGCAGTAGCAGTAGCAGTAGCAGTAGCAGTAGCAGTAGCAGTAGCAGTAGCAGTAGCAGTAGCAGTAGCAGTAGCAGTAGCAGTAGTAGCAGTAGCAGTAGCAGTAGCAGTAGCAGTAGTAGTAGTAGTAGTAGTAGTAGTAGTAGTAGTAGTATAGTAGTAGTAGTAGTAGTAGTAGTAGTTAGTAGTAGTTAGTAGTAGTAGTAGTACTAGTAGCAGTAGTAGTAGTGGTAGTAGTAGTAGTAGTAGTTGCAAAGCGCGCCCCCAGGCAGTTTGGTGCGTTTTGGTGCGTTTTTTGCTCTTGTTGGGGGGGGGGTGGGGGGGTGGGGGGGTGGGGGGGTGGGGGGGTTGGGGGGGGGGGGATAAGAACATCATTCATATTGCATCCATGCCCAAAACACTGGTATTTACAGCGTTTTCGCCAGTTTGTACAACATACCGCGCAAGGTTGTGGAACAAGACACGTTGTCACAAGCGTCCCTGCCTTTTGCGACCATGCCCAAAACACTGGTGTTCACGCCCAAAACACTGGTATTTACAGCATTTCCGCCACTTTGTACAACATACTGCATAAGGATGTGGAACAAGAAATGCATTCACAAGCGTCCTTGCCTTTGGCGACCATGCCCAAAACACTGGTATTTACAGTGTTTTTGTTTCTCTACGGGCTGCAGACTTGACCTTTAGAACAGGGACCGGCACACAGCAACACATCGCTTCCAAACCCTGAAACCTTCCTTTCCCTTGCCCGCGAGTAGTTTTTTTTTAGTTACATTTTCGGCCTCTACCGGAAATGACGCAAAACACCAATGTCCGGACGTTCAGCCGCAGCAAAACGACCAGGCGCCCTGAGGCGCGCTAGCCTAGTAGTTGTTGTTGTTGTAATAGTAGCAGTAGTAGCAGTAGTAGCAGTAATAGCAGTAGTAGCAGTAGTAGCAGTAGTAGCAGTAGTAGCAGTAGTAGCAGTAGTAGCAGTAGTAGCAGTAGTAGCAGTAGAAGCAGTAGTAGCAGTAGTAGCAGTAGTAGCAGTAGTAGCAGTAGTAGCAGTAGTAGCAGTAGTAGCAGTAGTAGCAGTAGTAGCAGTAGTAGCAGTAGTAGCAGTAGTAGCAGTAGTAGCAGTAGTAGCAGTAGTAGCAGTAGAAGCAGTAGTAGCACTAGTAGCAGTAGTAGCAGTAGCAGCAGTAGCAGCAGTAGTAGCAGTAGTAGCAGTAGTAGCAGTAGTAGCAGTAGTAGCAGTAGTAGCAGTAGTAGCAGTAGTAGCAGTAGTAGCAGTAGTAGCAGTAGTAGCAGTAGTAGCAGTAGTAGTAGTAGTAGTAGTAGTAGTAGTAGTAGTAGTAGTACCTTGTTGTTATGCGCTTCTGTCGCTGTACCTGTTCCATTTTTCTGCCTGTTCCATGGAGTTCCTTGTGCATCTGCACCCTGTTGATTCCTTTTTTCATGAATGTTTCTTGTTTCTTTCGGTGTGTCGTCTTGTTCCTGATTTCCCTAGCCATGTCTTCCCGCCGTTTGTTATTACTTCTTTCTTTGGTTCTTTTTTCTTTGTTTCTGTTGCATTCTTTCGTTCGTTCTCTTTGTTTTCCGTATTTCTGTCTGTATTTCCTGGCTTCGAACACGACAAAAGAAGCAGAAACAAAACAAAAGGATGAAGGAAACCACAAAGTGAAAGAGCAGAACATCCAGCAAGATGGCGACGAGCAGCAAGATACAAATGCTGGCTGAAGCACTCCTGCCTGAATTCAGTAGTGCCAAGAAAAGCGTCGATGATCGCAACCTGTCACACACATGTCCACGTGCACACGGTGATTGGAAGAGCTAAGCTACGTCTGAGCTCAGCTCTCCAAGAGACAATCGCTTTGTCTGTCACATTGTCAACTCAGAAGTGAAGTAGATGTTACTCACGACGTGGCCTGTGGGTTGGGATCGTCCGCCATGAACATGTGGGACTCGAACGACACGGCTGTGCTCTCAACATCGTGGCCTTGAAGGCCACATTGTAGTCACGTGAGTCACATGAGCTGCATCCAAGGGAGAAGCAACACTCTCGAAGGCCCAAGCGATAAACCACCAGCAACAGGAGCGCGGTGGATTCGGGCACTTCCGACCTCGCATGTTGCCCATCATAGACTCCCACAGGGTCACCAAGAGTCCAAGACAGTACATGATGCCAGTATCTGTCATCGCATGACAGCATATGATGTCATCAGGAGCTGTTTCAGCTATTTAATGAGCTTCAGGCACAGAAAAAGTTCCAGTGGTGACATTGCCGATCTTGATGTCCAATTTGTCATTGGCCTGCCATCCATCAAACTTTGAAGTGTTACCAGCAGGTCATGGCAGGACCCTGCCCTTAAAGGTGGCCTTGAGTGAAACGTCAAAATCACGGCATTGCCGGTACGGAAGCTGCCTGGAGCACGTCGTGTGCACCCGCGTGCACCCGCGTGCACGCTGTACGGTGCACAAACACGGTACACGGTTCTCAGTCTGCGAGGCGGCGGCTTGTCTGTCGTCAGCTTCTCCTTTCCTTGAAAGACATCCTGGGCCCAGGCCATGGCTGTGTGCAGGCTTTGCGTAGGCGTGATGTGAGTGATGTGTGCCAACTCCTAGCGGATTAGCGGAACCTTCTGGCTGCGGCCTAGCTGCAATGGCAGCTTCGTATGGATAGGCATTGCACCTGGCACAGGAAGCTTGCAATGCGCTTGGTGAATATGGGGAAGAAGAGTGCTTCGCAATCCGACGCGCATTGAACACGAGGTTCACAGGATTGTTTCCCTGCACCCAGGCTTTCGAAAAGGAGCCCAAAACAGGCCAGCCACAAGCGCAGCTGCTGCTGCTTCTGCTGTGTCGCTACAACACCATGCAGCCGGCTGCGCCTCCAAAGCACTGCTCAACAAGCTACAGCAAGCAGTTGTTGAGACGATGGTCAAAGAGTCAAAGAGTTCACAGCACATTTGTCTGCTTTGCTGCTTAGCCAGCATCGTGCCAAAAATCACTGCCCACCGCAATCCTAGAGCCCACAATGAAAGTCTCAGTTCCGAGCAAAACTACATTTCTCTGAACCTGGCAACAGGAGCTGCTTCTCCATGCATCTTGTTCTGAGAAGAGAATGCTTTCGGCGCTAGGATGCACCGCCAGGGACGTGTGCTTGGAATATGAACTGGCGTGCCTTATGCGCAAGGGATACCACGCAGAGCAGGAGCACAAGGCCTTGCATTCTCAGTGAAAGCCGTGGCAGGGCAATCCTTCAGAATCGTTCATCGTTATTGAAAAACCTGCGGCTTGCTGGTATACGAGCAGGACACATTCTCGAGACCATCAACTCAGGGAGCAGCATGCCCTCGCCATGGCTCAGCATGCGCCGGCTCTGCTTTCAGACCCACGGGCCAAGTCGGCGGAGATCAAAAGTACGGGGCCCGCAGATCATCGAGAGCGCTGTTCGCAACATGGTTTTACAGCCTGGGAGACCTTTCGGGTGCACCATGTGCCAAAAGCAGCCTCTCTTTCGTGCGGACTGGCACATTGGAAGAACCTGTCGGTGCTGGGTGCTAGAGCATGGGGAGACCGGTGGAAAGTCCGCAATCCACAACGGATGACTTTTTCGCGCGCGGAAGCGGAGAACTCCAAGCAAGAGATAACGAAAACCTGGGCACCGCAGGAGGCAAGTCACCTATCTCCCCTGGGCGTACCAAGATGTCTCCCTACTCCTTCGTCTCCTGCAGCCTAGCAGCCAGGTTCAGACTCAACCGCACTTTAAGCGCAGTAAGAACGAGCCTATCGAGACTAGAAGAAAAGTGGCTGAGGAGGCAATGCTGTCCGACTTCCAGCACGTCTACGACGGTCTTCCGAGAGCTTCATGCAAAATCACGGCATTGTCGGCACGACATCCCACTTGGCTGGGCGCTGCCTCCGCATGTTCGACATGACATGGAAAAGTTGCCTGCCACCTCCTGGAAGCGTGGCCGATGGTTTTCTTGTTATGCTCACCACCAAACCCAACAACCAAACCCAACAACCGTAATCACGACCACCGCCAAAAACCAGACTGTAGTGCAGCTTTCGATGGCTCTTTTTGCGGCCGGATCACGTATATGGAGATAGAACGGACTGCACAAAAACTGAGCATCTGGCAACACACACGTAACAGTAATCGGTGATGCTACGGCCCAATCTTGTCTTTGCAGAAGGTGGCCTCTGTCCATGGAAAACTACCTGCACCCTGCGAGCTCCAAAGCCACTCAAAGCACAACGAGTACTTAGCTTCAATGGCCGCCTGACTCTCCAAGATTCTTCGAGGAAATCTAGTCGAAGTGGGGAAAGGCTGTCATGCGGCAGTATGCCCCTGAGTGCTTTAAGATTTTGCCCCTGAGTGCTTTAAGATTTTGCGCTTGGTCGCATTCTCTTGAGACACCGCAAGGAACGGACCTTCTGCTGGTTTGCTGCGACTATAGGGCGGCGACTGTAGGGCGGCGACTACCAACCGTCAGCTGTCTCTGGAGAACACAGCGGAATTAAAGAAGCTAGAATTAGAACGGATCTTGCACAAAGTGCCTGGGACCGCGTTGAAAGACCATCCTGAGCGGCAGGCGGTGTGCCTTCGCGTGTGGCTCCCCGCGAAGTAAAGGGGCAAGCATTTGAGGGTTTAGGGTTTAGGGTTTAGGGTTTAGGGTTTAGGTCACCCTAATAAAGTGAGTTCAAGGTTCAGCTCAATGCAGCCTCTGGCACTTTGAGGTCTACGTCTATTGTCCACGCTCCACGCATCAGGCGCCGAAGTGGTGGCCTCAGACGCGGACCTTCGGACGTTGCAGCGGCTGAACTCTTCAAAAGTCTTTTTCGCTCGCCGGCTCTAGCAGTGGAATAATGAACCGCAGAGTTGGTGCCAGCAACAGATCAGCACTCAAGATCGCCTGGACTTATAGCCACAGTTGCTGTGCATCGCCCAGGACCCTATCTTCGAAGGGTTTTGAGTTTTGGGGTTCGTGGTCATCTGACCCGTTGTCTGTCATTGCACATGCTGGAAACTCGATTTCTGCTACTTGTAGCGCAGCGATAAGCTGTCGGCAAAATAAACGGCATCTAGAAGTCGGATTGCTCGCAATACTGCATGTCATGCACTGGGGAATGCACCAAATGGATGCGACTTCAAGTGGCGGAATATGTTCCCTTTTTTGTGGTGGCGGGTGCTAGAGGGCGACGCTGTGGTGGTCTCGAAACAGGCCTTTTGGACAACTCTCCTACTGAGACCCGCGTAACAGGGCATCCCCAAGAGAGACCCTATTTTTGAACAATTTGAACAAGCGGCAAGTTCCAGTCTTGGTGGCCTCAACTCTCAGCGAGGGGCGCCACTTGACGTCCTTGATTGCTAAAGACTGCAGTTGCCCGAAGCATGTGGGATGGTGCGTAAAGAGGCGCACACGAGAACTAAGCTCACTATCCAAGTCTCTTCAGATCTGCGGCAAGCTGGGCTTTCTCCTTCATCTCAAAGCAAGGCTAGAACTGAAGCACATTCATAGGACACATTCAGAGGATGCTTTCACCGATACCTTCGCGCCGGAGCTCACACAGGGATTCTCACGGCTCGCATAATCGGGTCTAGGGCTTCGAGCTTGGGGTTGGGGTCCAGGGTTTTAGGGTTTAGGGTTCAGGGTTTAGGGTTTAGGGTTTAGGGTTGCAAGGGTTGATGGGTTGCAAGGGTTGCAAGGGTTGCAAGGGTTGCAAGGGTTGCAAGGGTTGCAAGGGTTGCAAGGGTTGCAAGGGTTGCAAGGGTTGCAAGGGGAGCTCTTCAGGGCTCTGTGTGGCTCTCGTGTCCTGGGCAGCCGCACGTGCCTTCTCAGCCTGTGCCGTGAGCTTGGCCTGCGCAGCCTCGGTTCCAGCCACGGTTTAGGGTTTAGGGTTTAGGGTTTAGGGTTTAGGGTTGAGGGTTTCTACCCTCAGGGTCGGGAGGGACAGTCTTGGGCGCTCTTGTGTAATGTGAAATGAAGTCCCTAAATGTTCACCTCGGCTTCCGGCCCAGGGGCGTCTAGAATAAGCACACAGGATCTCGTCTCCTTCCCTGGCCCCCTCTCCCGCCTCCCTCAGCAGGCGCGCCAAGAAACACAAAACACAGTGCTCCTTGACTTTTCCCGAAACCCCCCTTGCCTGGGAGTGCCAGCAAACACCCTCCAACCCTCTAGCTTCTGGGAATCCTCCGATGCCTTATGAGGCCTTGCCCCCCCCCCCTAGCCAGCACCAAACGACATTTGACTGTGGCTTCCTTCGCCTGCGACGCGCACGCTGCACCCGACGTTGGGCCGGCCCGGCTGCCGAAGTGGCGCGTGCAAGCGTCTACAAGTACAGAAGTTCCCTAACCAATTGCTCAAAGCATGAAACAGCATCTCTGAACATTGAAGATTCTTCCTAAATAGTTTCCCTAAGCATTCAACACTAAACGTCGTTCTCCAAAAAACACATCCTAAACACTACAGTAATAGCCTCAAAAGGGTGAGGGGCGGGGTTTGCGCAAGAAAAAGCCAACAACCAAAAACCCCCTACCCCACTCGCCCCCTCCCCTTCCCTGCCCCTCCCCTTTTACAGACAAGCTGATAAGCAAGCCGTGTTGCTTACAAGCAAATCCCTTTGCTGACAAGCCAGCTTGAACATTAACTGATAGTAGCTGAGTTACAACAAAGATAAACCAACCAATATTGTAGGACAGCTACTGGGGCAACCTTGGGTGCAGACTAGCACCCAGCACCGCCCCTTCTGTAAGTCTCTATAACCCTTAACAAAGGTTTAAACACGAACGACGTGACATCTCACAGGTGCCTGTGCTTCTTCCACTGCTTTCTTGGCAGCGGCAGCCTGAAGGTGCAAACAGGAGAGACACAAATCCATGAGAAACTCCTAGTCTTCTTGTATCCTCACACGACGAGAGTACCATGTTCTTGAAGTATTTGAAAAAATATGTTGTAAAAAAAGAACTATGTATTCTTAGACTATTATACATTGTTTTGTATGATTGCATATCAATGTGTTCTTAAACTACTATATTTTCTAAATTACGACTATCTTACTACTATACTACTACTATACCACTACAAGACTGCTACTATACTACTACTATACTACTTACTACTACACTACTACTATATTACTAGTATGGTACTACTATACTGCTGCTATACACTTCCTATATTTCTCCTACATTGCTACTATAGTATTAGCACTTTATGTGATTGCAGATTGCATGATTTCTCTTCTTGTATCCTTGTATTCTTGGCTGCTTGCATTATTGTACTCTTGTATTCTTGTATTCTCGTATTCTTGCATTCTTGTACCATTAGAAGCACCAAAGAAGGACTGGCGGGATGCACCTTGGCATGCAAGTCCGCCGCCTGCTTCTCGGTCAATTCCCTGCAGGTTGAAGGAATCGAAGGGAGTGAAGGGCAAAAAGTCAGGGAAAAAAAAGGGTCCTTTCAGTTCCCCTCCCCCCCTTCCCCCCCCTTTCCTTGCCCTCTTGCGGTCACCCGATCTTCTGCGATCCGGGCAGGACATGTCGGGGCCCCGTATGTTCCCAGGCCTCATCTCGGAGAGAGCCTCATGCTCTGCTAGCTTTGCCTTCAAAAGAGCACGAGCACAACATGTCATTCCAAACGCGATGGCTTCACGTTTGCCCGGAGTCGCCTGTTCAGCTATTCGTCGTGCGGACAGGGCTTCCTCCACAGTCCAGAAATGAGAAGTTGAGACCATAGCTTCGCATGAAACACAAACAACAACACGAACCAATCCCATTGCCACCGCATGCCGCTGCTCTACTTTCTCTAGATTCTCGTGCTGCGTCCTCCAAGGCTTTCGCCTTGGCGGCCTGGCACTTCAACGAGTCCGCATGCCAGGCCCTCAACAAAAGCACCCAGGCGTAAGAGAGCAGCGTCTTCGGCCTCGGCCTGTTCTTTGGCCTGGTGCGCGGCTTTGGCGGCAGACACCTGCTCCTGCACCTTTGCATCCGCTGCCGCTATGGCCTTGGACAGACGCGATGGGAGACACCACTTCTGTTTCTGGTGTTTTGAAGAGAATGGCCTGGTCAGCAGCATTGATGGCTTCCTGTGTGGCCTTTTCGGCTGCTTTCCTTAGCCAGGCAGGGCACACCAGAAGAGCTCCGCTTCTACCCACGCTCAGCAGCCCTTGGGGCAAACCTCGAAGCTTATTCGAGCGTCTTGGCTTCTGCAGCATCTGCAAGGGCATACTTCTTGTCTGCCTCGTCATCCCCGGGTTACAGAAGCTCCCTACCCATAGAGGAAATGCAGCCAGAAACCCGACCGAAGCACATGGGAGGTTCCCTGAACTATGGTCCGGGTTCGATTTTACTACGGAGCCTTGTATGTAGGGTACTGCAAAAGGGCCCCATCATCTAAGAAGGATGTTCCCCCTTATACTAGCAGTCAATAACAGGGGCTTGCAATAGGAGGTACCTGAAATCCCTATTCAGAAACCCTAAACCCTAAACCCTAAACCCTAAACCCTAAACCCTATTCAGAACTGTTAGTAGCAAAAGTTCGCCCGACCTTCGCATCCTCTGCGGCCTGCTTTGCTTTGAATGCCTCCTTGGCCTCCCTGGCAGCCTGACAAGACGCTGTGCATCTGAGCATGCCTTGGGTCAGGCTTAGGGCTTAGGGCTTAGGGTTTAGGGTTTAGGGTTTAGGGTTTAGGGTTTAGGGTTTAGGGTTTAGGGTTTAGGGTTTAGGGTTTAGGGGTTTTAGGAGGGAGTTGGCCTAACAGTCTCTTTTCTTGCAAAATCGCAGTTTTGCCTGCTCTTCAGCTGCCTTACGAGCTGCATCCGCTTTCGCGATGGCCTCCTTCTTGTCAGCCTGAGGTTGAATGCGAGACAGAGATAACAGGCAGGCCCTGAGTGCCAAAAAGCCCTTTTCTGTCCATGCATGCGCACCATTCTTGCTCAACTGGCTTTCGCAACCTTTGTACCTAAACCTAAGCCCTGAACCCTAAACCCTAAACCCTAAGCCCTAAACGCGCCTCAGCTTTTTTCTTTGTCGCATGGGCATCCTTCAAGGCCTGTTCCTTGTCAGCTGCTGCCTTCCAGTGGTGTAGGGTTTAGGGGGTTTAGGGTTCAGGGTTCAGAGTTCAGGGTTTAGGGTTTAGGGTTCAGGGTTTAGGGTTTAGGGTTTAGGGTTCTTATCGCTGCTCTCTTCCGGCGCGTCCCTCTCTGAACATGCGTCCCTTCCGACTACCGGTGTGGCACCTGCTCGGCTCGTTGGTGCGCTGCGGCTGCCTTCTCAGCCTCGGATCGCACCTGGGAACAGCCGAAGTGACCCCTGATCCAGTCGGACGACCAATGAAACCCAAGAAACCCAGTAGACCCAATAAACCCAATAAACCCAAGAAACCCAACAAACCCAACAAACCCAAGAAACTCAAGAAACGCAAGAAACCCAAGAAACGCAAGAAACGCAAGAAACCCAACAAACCTTGATGGCCCATCTTGACCGAGGGCAGCGCTCGCTCCTCGGCTTGTTGTCGTGCCTTCTCCGCAGCCTCGAGGGCAACCAACTTCGGATAGCAGAGCTGCTATGTCCACCCCAAAGCTCAGGGAATTCGAAACAGATTCGGCTCTCGACTGCATGTTTGTTACACAGAGTCTGCAGCCACAAGGTGCCGATTCCTGAAGTGAATGCAAACTTCCCTCCACCCCGTCAGCTTGTGTACATGATGGCATTAAACGAAGCTCGCCCAGCACACTTTGAGCAGCACCTTCTATTGTTACTAGCAGGTCCCAACAGCTTTGCCTTGGTCAGCTCCTTCTTCTCCTCTGCAGCATCCTGTCAGCGAGGGGGTTTAGGGCATCCGGCTTAGGGCCCAGGGGGGTTGCAGACTGTGGCCTGCTTTGCACGCTCAGCTGCCTTGAGCCTGAAGATGTAGCAACTGCAACGCAGCTCCGGGCCGTGCCAAACTGCGGTGATACACAACTGCTTCTACTTTCATAAAGTACAAACCCGTGTCTTCAGCATCTGGGTGCCGTCGAGAAGCGCGTACTTTGTCTCTGCTTTGGCCTGCACCACCTTCCCGAACAGAGCGCGTGCCACGTGCGCACGTGGCAATTGCAATCGATGTGCAAAAGAGGCCTTCTCAGTGGTTGCCCAAATCTTGTCTTCCGCTTCTCTGAATCTCTTCTCGGCATGCTCCTGAAACTCTTCCCTTGGCAGGTTGGGCGCTTGGGACACATGAACACTCGGCTCTTCAGTGTGAGGATGCTTTCTGCTTTACATTCCCAACCGTGACCATCTCGAGCTTGCCGCATACGAATCTCATTGCAATCCACATGCCCTGAAGCTCGTCGGCTAGTCCCATTCAGGCTGGCTGCGACTTTTGCTTGATCAACTTCTTCTCATTGTGGCTGTTCTGGACGCAGGGTGACAGAGGAATGTCACCACACTCGATACTCGATGCCGGAGAGGCACAGACCATCAAAGCTACATGCAAAAGGTTGCTCGCGACATCGAAGGCCTCAAGGTCAACGGTCAGCTTCTCAACATGCTGGTCCTTGCCTGACTGCTCAAGGACGTGCCAGCACAATTTTCTAGATGCACAGAAAGCCTGCAGAACAGTGATTCAAAACATACTCAGATGTTCGAAGGGAATTCCAGGCCAGCAATTGCTGAGCGCTGCTGCTCTTCAAGCTTGCTTCGAGACTTTGCAGCTCTTGTGCAAGCTGCTCGTTCTCGCTTGTGGAGACCTGCTTGCCATGCTTGCCATGCAGGTCTGGGAATCATGCAACACTGAGTTGCATCATGACCAAGGCCTCTAGCTGCTTGGAAAGCTTCTTTTCCTTGGAAACAAGAGCAAGACTCCTTCCTATGCACGGAGCTGCAGCAGTTCCAGGAGCTAAACACACTGCTAGTCAAATCTGTCTGGATGCAGCTGCAGACAAGCTGCATTTTCGGCTACGACCTCGAGCTGGCCTGGGAAGAATCCATAGGACAGATCATCACGGCAAGTCACAGCCCACCCCGAAAGAGGCCGAAAGATGCCCCCCCCCAAATTCACGAAGTCCCTTTGAGATTCCGGCTGATGCGGTCGAGCAAGCGCTTGTTTTCCTCCTCCATGACTGGTAGTCGCTCCTCCAGCTCCTGACAGTGCGACAGTGCAACGACCAGGGGTACCTTACTGGGGTCCTTATTGTAAAGGGAACCTAACTATTTGGGGGTCGATATTCGGGGTCCCTTATTTCCGTAAACCCGCATTTGACGTCGCAAGTGCCGCTGAGGATTCTTTCACTTAGGGAGCCTGCATCAGGTTCTGTGCGGACTTGTGAGGCTGTTACAAGCACAATCCCTAAAACCCTAAACCCCAAACCCTAAACCGTAGATCTTATTGTGTGGTCTTGAGTTGGGGGCAACTCTGGAGCTGGCACCTTGCTTTTCGCCGCAAACTTCTTCATCATCATGAAGTAGTTCTGCTCGCGTCCTCACCAGCACATGTCTCAAAAACCAACAAGTTGGCATGACTTGACCTCCACCCTGGGGCCGGGGGAAAGACACCCGAGTCCCTTCTTCCCAATGTCCTGCAGCCACAACCGCAGCTTCCTTGAGCATCTCGGTTTCTTTCTTCAGCGCATCGCCTTTCAGCTCACAGGCCATCAAGTCTACTCTAGCAGACTCTAGGACACTCAATGACAACACGTGCGAAATTACACAGACAAAACAATGGCAAGACCGGCTCCAGTTCCAGGGCATGCTGTGCCCGGCTCTTGCTCCGGCCTTCAGCCATGACTTCCTTGAGCTTGGCATTCAGCAACTGCGAGCAGGTCAACCACGGGCCGTCACCAACGCTCACATGCGAAGACGAAAGCTCAACTTCAATAGAACATGCTGCAGTTCAATCGCATGGAGTCAGGTGGGGCGACTCGCACGGGGAGTTGAGCAGCGCTTGCTTGCCTCCTGCTGCTCCTTGGAAGCCTTCAGGCTGTCCTCCACGCTGCGTACCTTTTGCAGGCGCTCGAAACGTTTCTGAGAACCACGATGCTCCCTGACGAGTATGTTGCCTTTCAGAAGTTGCCTTTCAGCGTAGCACTGCACCAGTGAGGGAAGGGAAGCATGAAACCTGACGTGTGTAGCAGCAGCCTTCTCGTTCAGGGCCGCGTTCTCTTTTCGGGCGGTCTTCAGCTCGCTGACAACCTGCGCACATACGTCGTATACTCGCAGGAACTTCGGACAACGACCGTTAACTGTGCCTTCAGAGCTAACTGCAAGGTAGGCCCGGCACTTGGCTGGTCTCATTCCTCGAGGATGTCAGCCTCAGCGAAACAATCAAAGGCAGTTCCGGCAGTCACACTTTTTAGCACTTTGAACCCCCTGCCGCTGATGTTCCTCTTCTCTCCAGGCACTCAGCTGCGAACGCCTCGCGTGTATCTGTCAGCTCGGTGCGGATCTTCTCTTCCTCGGTATGCGATGCAGCTGAAAGCTGAAGACCAGCCACAAAGAGAGAGAGAGAGAGAGGGAGAGAGAGAGAGAGAGAGACTGCATGCGTTCACCACCAGGTCAACTGTTGACTGGCTTTGCTGAGCCAGCTCCGCGGAGGTTTGCAGGTGCAGTTTAGGACGTCGTGACATGGACATCAAACCACGTGCGTCTGGGACTTCGGGATGGACTGGGTGAGCTGCCTTCTTTGTAGCTGACTCACGCTCCGCCTGGGGCATAGCATAACAGACATGGCGCAGGGATAAAGTAGGAGAACCCCCAGAAAACGGCAGAGGTGGCTTTGCCTGCATCTGCTTGTCAAGCTCCCTGACAAGCAGCCATGGCCATTTCAAAGCCGTCACGCAGATGTTCATGGAAGCACTTAAGTGACGTCTTCATGCCCCACCCCCGTTCCTCACGGTGATGGTAAGCTCCTTCTTCTTCTCTTCAAGCTTCGCCAGCTGTTCCTGTCAACCCGAAACATCCCTAAGCCCTCAAAGAGACACAAAGTTTGTGCACACAAGAGGTTTCCACATACTCGCCATGGAGCATCGGCCTCTTTCTTTTTCGCTTCTTCTTCTGCGTCCTTCTTCTGCTTTTCATTTCTCTCTTGCTCTTCCCTGCCGGGAAGCATTGCATTCAGCCCATCCCTTTCCATCTCCAATGCTCCGCGAGTGACGGAGCATCAGCGTAGCCATGAAGACGCATCAAAACGGAACCCTGAGCTCCGCACTTCAGCATCTCCTCCAACTTCTGAACGTCCTGTGACGGAGGCAGATGACTGCCAACAGGCACCCGAAAAGGTAACCTAGAATGGATTTAACTAGGTGACATAGGTCATGCAAAAGCTCGCGGCAGTCCTGCCGCAGCTCATCCCGATCCACCTTGTCGTTTTGCTTTGAACGCGCAATGCAGCTTGTCTTTCACAACGACAGCAGTAGAGCACAGACCAGGTACAGTCTGGGTACTGTATGGTATGAGCACGTTTGAGCACGTTGCAACCACTCCAGCCTGCAGCTTCTCGTTGGAAATCTGTGACATCTCCAGCTGGTCACTCACGCTTGTGTACGTCTCCTGGCCAGGTCAAAGCCAGAAGCATGCAGACTGGAAGCAGCGCATACACTAGGCAGAGTTCCTAGGCCTAGGCAATGCCCAGGCAGCCCACCTGCAAAGCCTCGATTCGTTCCCGAAGCTCGGTGCCGACCCCTGAGCAACAAATCCACCGCGATCTCGCTGGAGAAGGGCGCGCGCAGCGTGCGCACACACACACACACAACCCAGTGCAAAAAATCACCCGGCGTTCGACAAAAGCCAAATGTAAGGGGTCTAAGTCCGAGGCGAACTTCTTCTGCAAGTTGAGCCTCTCAAAGGGCCGTGGCTGGTCGTGGCTGCCGCTGCTTCGTGGATTCGGACCTCCATCTTATTCTGGATCTCCTCTGTTTGGCGTTCCATCTCGGCAATCATCTTCTCTTGCCTCTCATCAAGCTCCGGAGCGCTTGGGGCTTTGGGTTTAGGGAATTCAGGGTTGCCTCGCCTCTTCTTCTGCGCCTCCAGCGCTTTCTCCAGCTCAGCCTCCAAGCAGCGAAAGCACGCGCAGAGGAACGTGAGACCCAAAAACCCTGAAAGCTCTAAACTACTCCACGAACCCTATCATCCCCTGAAAAAGTCCCTCAAACCTCGAACCCCCCAAACCCTAAACCCTCAACCCTCAACCCTCAACCCCAAACGGGCCTCGCGGCTGCCGAAGAACTCTCGGATTCCTTTCAGGGCCGCCTCGCCGCCATCCTGGCCTGGACGAGGGCTCCAGGGAACATCAGGGCTCCGGGGTTTTAGGGTTTTGGGGTTTGTGGTTTTGGGGCTTAGGGTTTAGGATGTAGGGTTTAGGGTTTCGGGTGAGATTTAAGGCTTAGGGTTTGGGGCCACAGGATGTTCAGGGGGGAGGGGGAGGGGGATGCAGTGTTGAGGCTTTGGGTTTCCTGGATGGGAAAGCAGGAACAGTCTGCCATCTCTTCTCTACGTTCGGGAGGGCAGTCTGAGAGTTGGGGGGACTATGTTGCCTGATTTCGTCTCTACTCCTTACTTGTCCATGTTATTACTATGGGCCTTTCTGGGGCACCTTAGCTGAACCTAGCTGAACAGCCCCCAAAGAACATGGCGGCACCTTTATGACTCCTGACATGGACCGGGTCCCGGGCTGGCAATGGAGGCAACATGCCTGAAGCAAAGCAAAAAAGGGACAAGGTGCCGAGCTTCCGACATCTCTGGGGCAGGGCACATCGTGAGCAGTCATGAGTGTCGTTCCATGTTACTGACCATCACTGAAAACGGTCGAAAAACCAGGCAACCTAGGTAGTTTGCCCGCCACGAGGCACAGGTAGGCAGCAGATCAACCCCAGCGTGCCCATGCATCTTCTGACTGGGGAGCGAGCGAGCTTAAGCGCTGACCGGATGCATCTGCGACAGGGCCCGGTGGTGGGCTCGGTGGTGGGCTCGGCGGCGCCTGCATTCCCCAAGCGGGTCCACAAGCACCGAAGGCAACAAAAGCAGCAAAGCAACCCAAAGCAGCCTCGGGCTTGGCTTCTTTTGGCTTCTCTTCCTTCTTGTCATCACCTTTAGCCTTTCACAGGGCTCACCGTGCATGTAGATTGCGGGGGTGAGATAGAGAAGGTCTGGCAAGGAGCTGGGCCGCTGATCCATACGTGTCTACTGCATGTCTCTAGATCCCATAACATGCCTCGGACGTCTCTTTCTTGGACTCTGATGTCTCCTCAACATGGCAGCATCCATGCCATATGCCATGCTGCGCTCGAGGCCCTGGATCCAAACGTGCATGCGGACTCTCCGAAAACGTTGCATGCTGCATGACCTTCTCGCTGTGCTCCTTCTTCTCATCTTTCTCCACCTTCTTCTCGGCTTCATCTTTCTTCTCCTCCTCTACCGAGAGAGCAGCGAAAGATTTTGGCACAAAACTCTCCAGTATCAGACCTGCTACAGAGGACTAAATCTGTGGGGCAGTGAAGCTGAGACCGTTCAGCAGAGCCGAGGGGGTCCCCTTGCGGGCACTTGTAACCCCGAAAGAGCCCCTAGTTTATCTCTCTCTCTCTCTCTCTCTCAACTCTGCTGGCCTTCTTGTCTTCCTTCTTTTCTTCCTTCTTCTCCGGTTTCTGGTCGGTGTCCTTCTCAGCCTTGGCTTCTTCTTTCGGCTTGTCAGCGGCAGCATCCTTGCCATCGCTTTCCTACTTACTACAGTCCCTCGTGCCTGTCATGAGGTACAACGAGCCTGAGACTGCCATGGCTGCAAACAGATCACACCATCATCTTAACCAATTCAAGTCATGATCAGCCTTCTTCTCGTCCTTCTTCTCATCCTTCTTATCCTCCTTCTTATCATCGTTCTTCTCGTCCTTCTTCTCGTCCTTCTTCTCCTCCTTCTTCTCCTCCTTCTTCTCCTCCTTCTTCTCGTCCTTCTTCTCCTCCTTCTTCTCCTCCTGCTTCTCCTCCTTCTTGTCCTCCTTCTTCTCGTCTTTTTTGTCTTCCTTCTTGTCTTCCTTCTTTTCTTCCTTCTTCTCTTCTGTCTTGTCTTCCTTCTTCACAGCCTCGCCCTTCTCCTGATCCAGATCTGGCTCCAGTACACCATGGCTTGCAGGGCAGGCCCACAAGAAATCCTAATGGAAGCACACATTCCGCCTTGGCATCGTCCTTCTTACCCTCCTGGCTTTCATCTTTTTTGTCAGACTCTTTCGGTTTGTCCTCCGGCTTCTTGTCCTCCTTCTCCTCCTTCTTTTCTTTTGCATCCTCCTTCTCCTTTTTGTTGTCTGCGTTCTCAGGCTTGGCCTCCTGAAAAAGGAATGCAAGAGGTCAGAATCGTTTAGGAGTTTCGAGGTCAATCCAGAAGTGGGGGACATCAAAAGACAGGCTTGGCCTTGTCCGCTTTGTTGTTCTCTTCCTTCTTCTGCTCTGCCTGACATGCTGCGGCATGGTCCTGTAAACTCCAGCTTCCCGTGGCACGAAGCTACCTTAAAGGGCCTCCGGGATGTCCTTCTTCTTTATTCCGACCTGCTGTCATAGGAACTTGGGAGCAGCACAGCAACCACCAGCAAGGCGCTAGTAGAGCTGCAAGATGTAAGGCGAAATACTACATAAATCTACATAAGGCAAATCAGGGCACCTTGTCAACTTCCTGCATCAGCTTGGATCGCGGCTTCGGATCGGCACCTTGGAGAACGGCAAGTTTCAACACTGCCAGGCCCAGCGGAAGCTACAGAGCAAAGCTGACAGCTTCCGCAGGGAAAAGCCCGCCGGAGAACAAGCGCAAGTTCGGAAAACAGCCACCAAAAGCCCAGTGAAGAAGCCTGGCATACCAAAGCACATGGGCACAGCTTTCTGCACAGCTAGGGTTTTGGCACGCCGATGTGCGAAGTGACCTCAGGTACTAAGTATTTGCGAACACGAACGATTGACAAGAAGACATTCTCCTACAACTCACAGGCCTGCGCTGCCGCTTTGCCAGCACTGCAGCTGCAATGGTGAGCCCTGTGGCAATGCTCGAGACCTGTTTGGCGAACGGGTCTACGCCAATGAACGCCACGAAAGCCAGAGCGTCATGGGGCTACATATCAATGTTGCATCTGGCATACCTATGCAGTGAAATATGGTGCTTGATGCAACGAGTCCTGTCCTGTGTAAAGGACGAAAACAAGTCTCGGCCGTGGCGGGGGAGTGGGGTGGGGGGGAGGGGTGAGGGGAGGGGCCTCCGAGCATTTAACTGTTGATATATCAGACTGCTCAGACCTCAGATTATTCGTTTCTGACTGAGCACGGAGAGGAAGTTAAGACGACAAACGCCGCAAGTTTCCTGGTGATCATCTCTGCTATGCAGGAAACTCACAACAGCAGCTTGGGCCTGCGTCATCGAGGTACCAGCTTCTGAAGAAGCCAATTGAAAATGTGCGCCCTGCATGCTGCTCATGCTCCGCTCGACCAGGGACGGAAAAATCTATACAGCATGCTATGGACAGCTGGACCGCACAATTTCTCCTCCGCGTTTACAGGGGCTGCTCGTGCAGAGGAGAACTGTCTGCCTCAGTTTTTTGGCAGCGACATTCGCTGCACATCCGGAACTGTCGGCATCGTCTCAAAAGTCACCAGCAAACAATATTCGGATATATAGGTCTCGGACAGCTGGGGGCCACAAAGGTCGCCGCTGCCGCCCCTACAAGACACTGTTACTTTGATGTCATGTTGCCCCCGAGGGTGTGACATCTTGCAAGGCAGCAAACTGCACAAAAGCATGTCTTACTTGAGAATCGACGAGTCGGTCGAAGTTGTTTGCCTGTCACAGTTGTTGCCTGTCACAATTGCTAAGCCATGCCAACTCCACACCCATGTCTCGGCTCAGGGAATTCGCACAAAGATTGCCCTGAACGACATACATACATACATACATACATACATACATACATACATACATACATACATACATACATACATACATACATACATACATACATACATACATACATATATATATAAATATATAAATATATATATATATGTCATTGCTCTCTTCTGGCAGAAGCTACCAACCAATGCTCAAGCAGCCGTCCTGCACATGCCAGTGTCATCGCCGTCACCGGCACGGCCGTTCTCCTTCTTTGTGTTTCTTGCCTACACTTCTGTCGTTCGTTAGCAGAAGACGTACTTCACAACCAGAAATCTTCCTTTCTTCCATGCAACCGACCTTTGCTACTCCGTACCAAAGATGCATGCGGCCAATGAACATCGCAATCGCAGCTTGGACTAGAAGTGTTAACATTCCTGCAAAACACAATGAGCACCTCCTTGTATCTGTGACCATCGCGAAAAGCGGCTGGCCCACTAATCAGCTCTGAAATGTTCGAGCCATGCAGCTACACGCAATATATGTCCTGTACACCTGCACCCGACAAACATGCATCATCACGGCTGCGCTGTGCGTACGTCCAAAACATTCAGGCCATAATGCCGCTATGGGGCGCAATTGGCACGACTGGACAACTTCAGGACATCACTGTGCCGGTGCACAACCGTCTGAACTGCAGTTGCCTGAAAGTGTTGAGAGGTTAGTGCCCGCCATGCTGGGGCATACCAAGACACCAATTCATGTTTGCTTGTTTGATGTTGTGCTTGAAGAAAATTGTACTATTATGGGCCTCTGCTGTGGATTTATTTACCCTGTTTCCATCCAGTTTGGGAGTCCAGACAGGGTACCCAAAGATCCAAAAACGAAACATTGTGATTCGAAGGGCCCTTGAAGCCAAGAGCCCAGGACATCGAAAAGAAGAACCCTAGGTCAGATTTTGCACAAGTAGTGTCATGATGAGACACGGTGAAAGTACACAAATGCTTGCGTGACGTCCGCCGATCTTCCTCTGGCTGCTATGCCCACTGTAGCCTTGCACACAAACAGACATTTCCTGGAGCTTGCTTTGCGATTTGGATGTTGCACTCATTCTTCTCGAACATGAACAGCAGGAGTGTGGGGGCTTCCCGGGGGGTCAATTTAATCTCGAGCCCTCCGCCGCCAGAACTACACAAGCAGTAACGAACTAGCCGCCCCGCAAAAATGGCACATTCAATGAAAGCCACGCGAGTATATGCCGGCATGAAGCTAGACTCTGGTCAACACGTGCCATCACAAGACTCCCACGACTGCGGCTGCAGCCAGTCTCACGGTTCCATCTCCTGGCCAAGGCTACACTTCTTAGTGCTTGCGGCTACAAGCAGTTACTAAATTTACTAAATCTTGACGGCTTAAACGAAAGAAGAATGCACAAGGTGTGTCCCTTGCACCCGCCTGGCACCCCGCCATGGGCCGACCTAACGTCGTGTAATCGTCGCGGGGGCTGTTGAAGTGGTTGCCGGCTTTGTTCCAGACTCGGAGGGTCTTGCCGGTCCCGGCGTGTGCCACAGAGAAATGGCCGCCATCAGCTTCCCCAAGCCGGAAGTTCCCAATTTGCACGAAGCGGTCTCCGAAGGTGATTCCCATGGGCGTCAGCGGGCGATTCGCGGACCATGATCGCCGCCCCCAGCAGCCCCAATCATATCGAATCCCGAAATGCACGGGATGGGGGTCCCATTTACTATTCGATCGATAGATCACGATGGTCTTTCCATTCTCATTGGAGATGGAGAGATGCTTTCCATCCACGTCACACACCCGGAATTTGCCAATCTGGATGTAGCGATCTCCAAACAAAACCCTCCTTGGCAGGGTCAAGCTTCCAGGGCCCCTTGTGATTTAGAGATGTGGGCTACTGGGTTTTTCGGGCTCTTCCAACAACTGCGCCCCGGATGACTTCAAGATGCCCTAAGCAGACGAAAGCCTCAACTTTGGCGACGTGCTCAGACCAGCATCCTAGCATCTTCATGTCTACTTCCACTTACAGGCCAGCCCTCCGGCGCGCAGAAATCTGGGACACGCATTGATCACCCCTTCGCAAGGAGTGTGGCTGATTCCGTGGTTGCAAGCTAGGCCCCCGTTCAGCACAGACTGAAAAACCGAAACCCTCTGACCAGATTGGCGTCTTGTGCCTGTCCGCTGCCTTGCCCTCACGGTTCCACACCCCATGGCGGGCCACCTCGAGGATCTAAGCTCTCTAAGCGCCTTTAGGCAATTTACACATCTACTCAAATCGTGCAGTTCCCGCTTCAGTGTCCACCCTTGATCTCTATCCTTGCCTCGCTTTTCTTGTTGTTGAGTCTTCATCGGCCACCACCCATCTAAACACGAGGAAGCTTTTCGGTGCTCTTCCGATTTGGGGCTTCGCGTGGTTAGGATTTCTCCCTAAAGGTCGGTGTCAATGCCGGCAACCTTACATCACAATGCCATAAGCTCGGACGCCTTGAAACCCCATAAAACAACGAACACCTGAAATGGCCCCTCCGAAAATCATCGAGACTCCCGAGACTGCCTTGCACACGGGCGGGCCCGCCAAGACGCCATGAGAAGCTGCCGGTGTAGCGGAACCTTTGAAACTTCGTCTCGGGTCGTCGGCTTCAGAGGGTTTCTAGCCCCTGCTCGGAAAAGAATACAGTACTCAGTGCAGTCGTGCTCGTGGCATAGTAGGAGGCAGGAGAAGTACATTTGCCGCTGTTGTCGATTCAGCCTGCTCCGCGACATCTCCTTCCAAGTCTTCAATGGCCAAGCAGCTGGCTAGGCTTGAATGTGGCAGTTCACTACCCGCACTAGTCCGTTACGAATGTTCAGTTGCACACGTGAAAAAGGAAGAACCACGCACACCCCTTTCTTTTTACACGCTAGCAGAAGAATCCCTGGCGGTGCTTCAGCTAAGCAGCCTGCGGGCAGAAGCACCCGGGCAAGAAAGGTGAACAGAATGCTGGTCCAAAGCACCAGCAGAGTGTGAAAGAACGGAAGGAGAGTGCTTCGAATCAGACTCTGCTACGGTTGAGAACCTACGGGTCCAAAGCAAGATGCGGAAGCCGTTGCATCGACTCTAAGAGAAGGCCACTGTGGACCAACCGACGTAGAGGACGATGCAAGGAGCAGCGAGGAATCTCGTGCGGCAAGGAAGACAGAGGAAGGTCGGAGGGAGGTGGCGGAAGTCGAAACTGAATCCGAACGGACTAGCTGCACAAATCCGCCTGTCGAGCCAGCAGCTACGGGAGGGAATGAACAGGCGGAACATGCTGTGCCGTTGCGTGCGGGCAGCAAACACACTTGTACACGTACAGCCACGTTTACTGCCCGCACTAGTCCGTTGCGAATGTTCAGTTGCACACGTGAAAAAAGGAAGAACCACGCACACTCCTTTCTTTTTTCACGCTGGCAGAAGAATCCTGGCGGTGCTTCAGCTAAGCAGCCTGCGGGCAAAAGCACCCGGGCAAGAAAGGTGAACAGAATGCTGGTCCAAAGCACCAAGTATTTCAGGCGGCACGCTTGACCCGAAGGGGAACAAGGCCAGCATTCTTCAAGCAGACGCCAGCCAACCGTGAGATCTAGCTCCAGGGGGTGCGTATGACCAGAGAAAGATGAAGGCAGGGCGGACCAAGGAATTTGGCAGCGTGCGGACTCGGAGAAACCCAGAAGTTGGGCGTCATAGCCGCAGCTAAGACCATCTGCTAGGTCATTTCTGAACCCGGAGACATAGATATTGGGTTAGGATGGTCTTCCGGTGCGGGTTTCTCTTCTCCTCCCCAATCGTCCTTCTACGGTTTTGGAACGTTGTGGTAGCTCTGCCCCTTGCATCCCCATAACCCCGGGAAGGAAGCACAACTTCCGCACAGACCCTTGTTGCCTCATCGTGAAATTTAAAACAGCAACTTTGGTGGCGAGGCTTCTTGCATCAGGCTGTGGCACAGATGATTCGTTTGGAGTAGTTAGTTGCCATTAGTTTCTCCACGTCTGGCCCCCACAGGGCATGAGAAGGGAACCAAACATGTGTTGAAGGTAGCAGCTTCAAGTCGAAAGGTGCGACAGAAGCGTGGGAAAGTGTGGAGAATGCATGCTAGCAATCGCACTTTATTTGGAGTAGTTTTGTTGAGAGCCGTGTTAGACTTTTGTCGCCTCATCTTCTGCTGTAGGGAACCCAGTTCCAAAAAAGCCGCTCGCACCTGACTGGACCGAGAGAGACGGCCTTTCGTGGTTGGGCAAAACGAGCTGAGAGACGGCGGCTGGGCTGTCCGTGTACAAGTGTGTTTGCTGCCCGCACGCAACGGCGCAGCATAATATCCATCCTGGACAAATCATTGGCCCCAGTACTTGCCGCTCTGCTCGTGGGCTTCAAATATTGAACGTGCCGATGAGTTGGCATAAAGCCAAACTTTCCGCCTCTGTCATTGGATCGGTTGGCAAATGGACTTCCGCACGTTTACTGTCCCTGTATCAGGACCAATACTGCCCTTCCCTGGTACGTGTTGCCTCTCTGTGCAAGCATGCGCCTGCAGTCCGTGCTCTCCAATGACCATTGGGTCAGGTCTTGCGTCCGCTCCTGAGGCAGCCGCGTGTTCCGTGTCGCCCAGACCGCTGTTCTAACCAAGGAAGTGCCTCAGTTTCCGCCGTCCGCTCGGCGTCTCTGGGTCCAGATCTCAGACCTTGCGCACCCTGACCGAGTCATCTCAGACGCTTCACGCGCCGTGATGGACATGTAGCTTTTGATCTGCCGCTCGGGGACCGACTTCAAATCCTTATTGCTGTCACCTCATTTCGAATGTGAGGCCTTTGCTGACGCATGTGCTGACAGTTCTTCCGCCGGTCTGGGCGGGTTCGTTCGCCTGCCTGGGGGCCAAACTCTTTTTGTCCAGGTCACGTTCTCTCAAGCGGAGCTTTCACTCACTGTTTCCGTGGTTCCCGCCTGATCATTTGCCTCAACATTACATTGCAGCCTGGGAACTTCTCGCTCAATGTGCCTCACTGCGTCTTCATGTCGCGTTTAGATGTGACAACTCCGCAACAGTTCCTCGTCCTGGAAAGGTTTCTCACTCGCTACAGGCATGTGTGGCCTTCTGCGCTCCTTCTTTCTCCTGCAGGAAAGACAGTACATTTCGGTCCATATAGACCACAGATATTGCCATTGAACCAAGCTCCGAACCCGAATCTACCTGCGGTAAGGATGTGCAACGGTGAACGGCTGTGCTCATTTCAGCTACTGGCCGACTCCCGGTGTGAAAGCATTCGGGGCCTTTCTCAGGGCTTTGGGGCTTCTTCGCAAGAACGCAAGGATCATGGCAGTAATCGTCAACGTAGACCTAGTTCGAAAAACGGCGCCGACGGCACACGTGTGGAGGTCATGTCCCATGGCATCTGTGTGCATTTGCACTACAACATGCGCAACAAAAACGAAAACAAAAGCACATCCT